GAAGTTTTCCGGGTCTCAGTTAGGGAAAGAGGACGAAACATCCACGTTTTCAACGCCCATATCTCGTTATATGGGTCATATAGCTGGATTTTGTCGAGCTATGTTTTGCTAATCGACAGCGTTCACTGCTGCATAACACAAAAACAAACGCGTAATTTGCGCTTCATTTAGGGAGAGAAAGGTTTGTTTTTACTACGTTTTTAGACATCATATCGCATGTTAATGGTGATTAATATATTGATACCACGATGGCAGTGAAGGTAAGTTTGGGCATTACATTGGGATAAATTATTCAATGACTGTGGCGCGTTTGGTAGGGACTTCATTGTAATCAATATTTCTAGCACTACGTTTGCACTTAGTAAACACTGTTCTTCAGTGTACTTTAGTAAATGCATGATATTTTTCCACTTACTAACCGAGAATCTTAAACATAAATGAAGTTGAGTTATATTTTTAAGAAACAAATTCTGTGTTGATTATTTTTCCCCAATAACTTGGTAAATAAATTTTTAAGTTCAATGTTCTTGCAATATTTGATGTGTTTGGTACACAGGTTGAAAAGGGATTCGTGAACGAATTGTTCAAGAATCGGATCTTTTCAGTGAATCGTTTAAACCGGTGCGCAAACCGGTTTGGACAATTCAATGACTGGTCGAAAACGTTTTACTATCAGAGAGAGAGAGAGAGAGAGCATATATCATATATGTATACACACACATATACATATACCCAACAAACACATTTACGTTGTAGCGATGTCTGCACAACGTATTTTTTTTAAAGGCAACGTTGCCGCTTACGTGCTCGCTACATTGTCACAACGTAGAAATGTAAGACGCGAGAAGGCTGTAGCAACGTTGTCGTGCGACATTCAGATACCGCGAGGCGGCGTTCTTACTACTTGTATTAATATTTTTTTTGTGGCAGTTTATCAATACTGCCTAGAATACAGGATAAGCAGCAATTCTTTTCCAGTATTGCTTAATATGGAATATTGGTCATTTATTTTTCCTATTTAGTTTAAAAACTGCATGTGTAAACTTTAAAGTGTAAAAATGCCACACAAATGAATATAATCAAACTTTTTATTATATATTTCACAACATTTAATACATACAGTACACATACAGTATCTAATTATAAGCAAAAAGTATAAAATAAAGTTTAGATTATATATATATATATATAATTAAACTAAAGGGTAAACAAACAAGAAAAGTAAACAAGAAATCATTAAAATGTAAATAAATATATAAATAAATATATAAATTAAAATTCAAACACTGGGCAGTGAAGCTCTGGACTGGAGAATACAGCAGACCGGGGAGCGCAGCTGAAGACCAGCCGTAGTTGTTGGTGTGGAGAAAGCAGTCAGAGGAAGAAACAAATTCAACGGATAATCCAGCTTCAGAGATCCCCAGCAGACAAAAGTCAAAATAGGCAGTGAACAAGAGAGGACAGATCAGAGCTTGACACAACAGCACTACACAGGAAATGACTATGACTAGCAAGTTATTGAAGTTTCAGACATTTATTGTAATTTCATTATACATATAAAATCTCCAGAGTAATTATGTAGCCTACTTTATTTTAATGTTTTAATAATATATCATATACCAAAATTACAAACAATTAAATAAATTTAGAGATACAGGGAAAACAGGTTTGAGTTAACAGAAGTCAGAGTTAGTCTCCGAATACTTACTTAAATTATGAGAAGAGAAAGAAGAGGTCCTGTAGTTGTGGTGTTGCTCGCTGTTAATGGAATGTTAAACTTAGTGTCATTTCAATAACAGCTGTACAAAATAATAAAGTAATTTTTCATAAGCATGATCTATTTTCCACATTATGGACATGCTGTTTTAGGTAACATAACTACATTTAATAGTAAATAGAGTAGTATACTTCTTACCTCATTCAATTCTTCTTTCCATCAGGAATTACAGCAACACTGATCTGAGGTGAATTCAACAGCTGAAAAAATTCTGAAAGACAAGTTACATAAGTAATTTGAAAACAACAGTGAGTGATTAAACAATAGTTTCATGCAACTTACGCATAATTAAAATCCAGAAATTATCAATAGAAGATTACCTCCATGTAAAAATAGCCTGTTGAGCAAAGAAAAGAGTGGGTTTTAAATAAAACATCAAAAGACCAATCAAAATAGAAATTTAGACTAGCAGACCTTTTAATTACTATATTAATTAGGCATATGAACCTCAATTTATTATAGGGATAGCTCACCCAAAACTGACAATTCTGCCATTTTAGCCTCATCCTTTATTTGTTCCAAACTTATTTACCTTTTTTTTCTGCTAAACAATAAAAAACATATATTAAATAAAGCTGGAAAACTGTAACTATTTAATTACATAGTGTTTTCCTACCATGAAAGCAAATGCTTACAGTCTTTAGTGTTCAACAGAATAAAGAAACTTAAAGGTTTGGAATCACTTATTATTTACAGGGCAAATAATTCGTGAGTACATAGCCTATCATTTTTGAGTGAACTGTTCCTTTAACGGGACGCAATCTGCACAGAGATGTTTTGTTTTTAAAAGTTATTTTGTGTGTTTTGTAAAAAGTGGGTCGGCTCGTGTGATGAAGTATCATACTAACTGATCACGATGGATATGGAAAAAACTGAACTTCAAAACATTATTGTCCATTTGACTAAAGACAAGGCGTAGGTAAATAATCAGGAAATGTTTTATCGAGAGATTTAACATAATGATTTTAATGTTGTTGCCGTCCGTTAACGGAAGGCCGAAGTGTTACTCGCTCGTAATAACTTCATTACGGCTTTTGTGTGTGTGTAATGTTGGAACAGATTGTTGTCGAAATCGTAGGTTTGTTTGAATATTCACGATTTATGTATCTTATTTAGCATGAAGAAATAAAGCAATACTCACGTCTCCTCGGTCGTTGATGAATGAGACGACGGCTTGTTGAAATTTAAACTGATTCTGCTGTGACCAGTAAATGTTGTACAGTGGTCGTCCACGCCACCTAAGCACAACCTAAAGCATGCGACCCTCATGATGTTTAAATGGCAACCTTATGACATCGTTGTGACAACCTTTAGAAACAACGTAGAATCCTCAACCTTTTTGCAATGTTGGTACAACGTTGTAGGAAGGTCGCTACGTTGAGGCAACGTTGTGTGTTTGTTGGGTATACACTACCGGTGAGTAGGATTTTTAAATGTTTTAAAATAAGCTTTTCCTGCTCACCAAGGCTGCATTTATTTAATCAAAAATACAGTACAAATTGTAAAATTGTGAAATGCTATTGAACTATAAAACTGTTCAAAAGTAGTTTATAATTTAATTTCATAATTTATTCCAGTGATTTTAAAGATGATTTTTCAACTTCAGCAGTCGTCAGAGTCACATGATCATTCAGAAATTACTCTAATATATTATTAATAATAATAATAATAATTATTATTATTATTATTATTATTATTATTATTATTAATGGTAATAGTAATAAAATCAATTATGACTGAATTAATAATTTTAATTGAAACTACTTACAATAAGCAGTTTTAAATAAATACTTATTTAGCAGTTTTTTACATTAACAAATGTTGCCTTGATGAACAGAATAATTTTATTTAAAGATGTATATCTAAAAAGTTTAGATGCAAAAAACTCTAAATTCCGTCTGAAATTTTTCTCTAATTAGCATTTTTATCAGGCTCCTGTTCTGTGTGTATGTTCTGTAATATCACTTTTATGGCAAAGAATAAGTCCTTTTCCTGGTCTTTAAAGTGAAATATGTCAACATATTTCCAAAAGTATTGTGTGTATATGTACTCGGTTTTTGACATAATGAAATATAATTGAAAAAAAGTATTACTTTACTATTACAGTTTTACAGTTTTACAGTTGCTTTGGTACATTTCTCAGATCAGAATTGAAATTTGCAAAAAAGTAAGTGCATTTCTCAAAACACCGCATACAAATAGCAAAACACCATGGATTACCTGCAAAAGCCAGTGCCACTTGCTTAAAATCCTTAGTTCATCTCTCAAAACTAAATTTCTGTGTCAATGAATGTGTCTGTGTCGTCAGACTGACAAGTCCTTGTGTCACTGTGAATCGATAAGACAGTCAAATTACCTAGTCATGTTGTCAGTATAACAGTGTTCTGGAGGGCTGTTCTGATGAAAACTATGGCTATTTTTTACTTTAATTTTTTGCCAGATCTTGAAAAGACAGCATAGCATAACACAAATAAAAAAACAAAACAAATGTACAAAATGAACGTAGGACAATCTCCTTTCAGATACACCTTTATTTGAAAAAGTCAAGATTCACCTGTGAGAAATTTACTAATTCTAGACATATTTAGAACAAAAATGTCTAATGGAAATGCATAGAAAAATGCATAATGACAAAATATTATGACTTGTTCAGCCATTTTGCATTTAAAGACTAATGCCATGAACAAAGGATTAAATGTTGCAGGGGTGAGACTATTCAACAGAGACCAAATTAATACATTTTGATTTGCATGACATGAGCGATTGCTAATATAGGAAACATCACAGAAATGCTCATAATCATTAGCACGGATGTACACAAGCATTTGCAACTTGTTAAAAGTTATGAGAAGCTCCTTTTCTGATGTGCACAAGTCACAAAATGATCTGTAGAACAAGGAGTCTTGAGATTATTATGATCTGAGAAATGCACCAGAGCGACTAAGGAAAAACTGTAAAAATATACAATTTTCACAAGTATGATACATTTTCTAAACATAACATTTCAAACTGATCACATAGGCCTAGCATTGCATTCAAAAACCATTGTATTATAATGAAATCATTGTATTCTGCTTTCGTTAGGGTTTTAATTTTTCCATCAAGTCAAAATAAGATTGTGACACAATTAGAGTGTTTAATCATCCACTTTAACTTGTACAGTAAGCATTTTGAAAGAAACAGTTACTGATGTATTGAGGACTGATTTATTGTTTACTTCTGTGCTGAATAGCCTGGAGGATTGCTGGATAATTTTACAAAATGGTCTTACAATACTGTATGTTTAAACTGATACTTATGACCTTGTCAGATTGTGATGCATTACAGTAATTTGGTTTTGGTTTATCATCATATTGTATACAGTAAAAAGATGGCAAGACCTTATAGGACAGTGAATAAAATAAAATAATATTTGCTAAACTAAGTTAACTAGGTTTAAACTATCATTTGAAGAATTACTTGGGCATTTTGAAACTTCATTAGTTAGGACTTTTAGTCACAGACTATAGTAATAATATATATAAAAATACTATAGTGGTATTGAACCATACTGTAGTAAAGTGTATAATACTCCAACTCTTTGTTAATGAATGCTTCAGCATAGTATTAACTAATGAACTAATAAACTAAAGTATACTTTAGTTTTTTACTACAGTAAACTGTGGTGTATTGAAGTAGTATCACTACAATAGATATACTGTATTCTATAACTTTAATATAGTATGGTTCAAAAACACTATAGTATTTACTGTAAATTAGTATTTCTTTCATGTGGGCACACATGGTTGGCTTGGTTTGATTATAAATGTTGCTCTGTTAGTGCAGTTCATTTGATTACGAATGCTGTGAATTCTGCCATATGAACACTGGTGCACACTGAAGACTGCTAAAAAAGATACGCCTGAGTCTCTCAATCATACAACATTTTTATTTACATCTTAAGTTTCAGCTTTTAAAAGATGATATTATGAAAACAGACAGAAGGAGATGGAGATGTATGTTTTTAATTTTTTTGGTCCAGGCTAAATTTTTCAAGATAATAATCTACTGTGAACTAGTAGTAAGTGTGAAAGTGTGCACAAATGTGTGAACAAATGTGATAGAAAACCATGTCTCAAAACTTCACCAGCTGTTTACATACTGTAGCTTTTAATGCAGGTTGTGAGTCATCTGAGCAGGAATATAATCAAACAGTCAAGCCCACCCCAAATTGAAGCCATGCACCCTAAAATGCTCTCTACTGTAGTTAGCTCACTAAAAGCGCTACACCATTTTTCAAAAAAGTGTTGTGGTAACAGTATATGTAATATACATATCACAGAGAAGTGCAATAATTGAAATTATTTATACAAATCTCACCAATCAGATGGGATTTTAACTATTTTTATTCCCACCTCTTTAATAGGTGCTTTTAGGAGATCTGAAAATAAATACCAATGCTGGGAGACAAGAGAGGGAAATGACAACAGCCAATAAGAATCAGACTTTCTGCTGAGGTTTTAAAGTCTTATGAGCCTATCATACACCTGTCGCAATAAAGCACAACAGGGGTTATGCGTGATTTGTTGCTATTTTCAGACCAGCGCAACACTAAATTTAATGTTTTGCACCACATTGTTTAAATAGCAAATCCATTTCCACCACTTTGTGGACTCCTGGGTGTGCTGGTCTAAAATAGTTGTGTGTTAAGGCGCATCCTTCACTGTAAAAAATGTTACTTAGATCTAACTTATAAAAAGTGAGGCAAGTGGTTGCATCGGACGTTTTAGGTTGATTCAACTTCCAGCCTTTTTTAAGTATTTTAAACACTAAAACATTGCTTAAAACAAATGCAATAAAATTAAGTTGAGCCAACTAATATTTCTAAAATTACTCAAATCAGATAAACTTACTTTTTTTGTTAAACTTAACTTACTTATACATTGCTATATGTTGACTGTACTCATTTTAATTAAGTATTATGAACTTAATGATCTAAATAAAATTAACCATGCATATGTCATTTAAAACTAATTTAATTGACTTCTGGCTGTAACCTCAGAAAATAAATCTTCGTTTCTATATTGTAAGCACAATATACACTAGTAAAAACAGATAAACAGACTTTCCTGTCAATAACAATTAAATAAGAATGGGAAGATGGATTAAAGACCATAACATGTATTCAATATCAATCGATGTTCCTTTTAATAGTGACTACAAAATAGGCCATTAATGTGGCTACACATACACAATACATAAATAAAAACATTAATAATACCAGATCCTATTAAGAAATCATCCAAGGCAACTCAGTGAGGAGATTTGCATATTTTGATAAAGATTTAGGATGCATAATGTCCAGTCCCACAAAGAGTCTCTAATATATCTCAAATGTATACAGTTTTGATGGATACTTGAAGTCGAGGACATCGGTAAGTCCAAACAGGAGCCATCATGCATTTGACAGGTTTGGCAAACCTCTGACAGTCCTATGATAATCCAAACTGTGTTGGGCTGATGGCAAATTTTTCCCGTGGGCAGCCGCATGCACCTCTGATTCCTCACAACTCTATTGGTAGAGACAAAAAGAAACAGGAGTTCAGGTGGTTGCTACCAAACAACATTAAATAGCTAAATACTGAATAGGAAATAACTACAAGTGAAGTTACAAAAGTCCAGTGAGAATGATGCATGGATGAAACACCTTAGTTTATCAGTTAAAAATTACCTAAGTTAAAATTACCTAACTTCTATTTAAAAAATAAAAAAAGGTTATAAAGGTTGTGTAATTACATTATTCCAGGTGTTTTTAGTTATCAAATTTTAAAGAAAACTGTGATTTTACTCAGTGTAACAGTGCATGTCATTGTGTTTTCCTGTCAATCAAAGAATTGTTAAAATTTAGGTATTACATTTTTTGTTTATTTTGGCAACTTATAAAGCATAAGAATGTGTATGTAATTTAGATATTAAAACTGTTTGAAAATGGCTATATGAAAATTATAGAATACAAATTCTATAATTTAAATGTCATCTTCATTTTGCACCAAACTTTGCACGTCATAATACAAATTTTATTAAATAAATAAATAAATACATTGCCATTTTACACATTACATTAAGGTTTACATTAAATTTTTGCTAAAGCTACATTTAATTGACTTTTTCTTCAAATTTAATGTCACTGGCAAATGACAGTTCAGTGATTCAGTGTTATCAGTTAGCTTTATTGAAAGACTGACAGATAATAAGAAACTGCATTAGGATATTTTTATACTGTTTTTACTGTTGCACACATAAAAAAATCTTCAGATATCAAATGTAAGTTAATTCTATGGAGCCCACTATTGTTTGCAATTTTACCAATGTTTTACTTGCCTGCAAATAATTATAGCTGTAGTTGTATCTAATGTTTTTCTTACCTGGATGTGAAGTTTGAAGATCCACAGGTAACAAAATCACTTTGGTATCTAAAGACCAAGAACATGCATTTTAGAATGAGGTGCATACAATTTAAATGATTCTGTAAACATCAGTAGTAAATGTAATTTAAGTTAAAATAAATTGTAAATCTGTAATTTATTCACTATGCAGCATTAAAAAACTTATGGACTAAATCTCTAAAACACAAACTTTAAGTTATACTTTCTCTTACGTTAAACACACACTACTTAACTGTTGCATACGTTTCTGCATTTAATATCCATCCTTAATGTGCTGCTATAACTTAGGTGAGCTAACTTTAGCTAAGTTAGCGCTAGCAAACTGAACCCCCACACCCCGACCGCCCACCAGTGACCTTGTTAATCGGTTCTGCAACGTTAGTTATACCTACTAAGTGTTTTAAAACTACTTTCACTATTTTTTCTCAATAATATCACTTTTAATCGTTAGCATAAACTAGCGTTGGTTAGCGTTAGCCAACTTAGCTTTCCATGTGAGAGCAGTCTAACTGTTAACATACCTGAGGCTACAGTACAATTTACAAAGCTAAAACCTCACCTGCCTAGCGAAGACAGCAGTTTTGCATGACTTTACAATTATCATTCGGCTAAATTTGCAACTTACCGTGTTAATCAGATCCGCTGCTGGGAGCAGTTAATGTCGACCATTGCAGAAGCTGCGTCTGCCTGCTAAATCCCGGGCAATGAAAAAGGAGTCACGCCAAACTATTAAAATCAAGTTTTATGAACACCTGCCCACATCGACAGCTGCTCTAATAAATTGTCTGTGTCAACTCACTTTTATAACATTTATTCTACACAATAACCACGTAAAAAAATCTACTCAAATAAATTGCATTAGTTTTATTTAAAATATACAGTTATATAAAAACTGATATAGTTTAAGTAAAGAGGAAGCAAATTAAATTTTTTTGGTATAAAACAAATAAAATTAACTAGATTGCAATTATTTAAAGTAGATAGAACCAACTTTGTGAGTGTAGCACTTTTTACAGTGTTGGCACATTGCTATTTTAAAGAACTAAAAAAGGCTACGCCATTGACCAGCTGAAAGCAGGTCTAAGGTCCAGCAGAGCACATTAGTTATGCGCCTATGTGGGTTCAAATGCTTACACATTGCTTAATGCACACAGGATACCCAGCTATACACAGACATCTTTACATACTGTTGAAGTCCGAATTATTAGCCCCCCTTTGAATTTTTTTCATTTTTTAAAATATTTCCCAAATGATGTTAAACAGAGCAAGAAAATGTTTAAAGTATGTCTGATAATATTTTTTTTTCTCCTGTAGAAAGTCTTATTTGTTTTATTTTGACCAGAATAAATCAGTTAAAAAAATGTTTAAACCCATTTTAAGGTCAAAATGATTAGCCCCTTTAAGCTATACATTTCTTTCGTTATTCTACAGAACAAATCATCGTTATACAATAACTTGTCTAATTACACTAACCTGCCTAGTTAATCTAATTAATCTAGTTAAGCTTTTAAATGTCACTTTAAGCTGTATAGAAGTGTCTTGGAAAATAACTAGTTACTGTCATCTTGGCAAAGATAAAACAAGTTATTAAAACTATTAGAAATATCTTGAAAATATCTTCACTCTGTTAAACAACAATAATTCAAGGGTGCTAATTATTCTGACCTTAACTGTATGAAAAAAAGGATTAAAATGTTACAAAACTTTTCTACATAAATATTAAAACCTCCATACCTTCTGCATGCCTCCATACCTTTTTTTCAGTTCATTCATGACAATTTGCATTAGTATAATGTTATTGTTATTAGCAGTATTTATTATTATATGCTTATTTATATTTGTTTTAATAAAAACAAGTTTAGATTTTTCTATCTGTTGGATTTTGGAGATGTTTGCATCACTATATGCGGCATAGGAATAAGACGTGTGTTTGGATATAACTCCACGCTTGACCGCGCTTCGTTATTGTTGTTAATTTTTTAATTTGCTGGATTGTTTAAAACAAATCTTTGCACTTAACAAAAAAATTAAATATGTAGGCTAATATGAAGTCTTCAGTGTAGTGCGTACTACACCGTTTCCTTAGTCACAAAAGTAAAGGAGTAAAATAAAGAGTGAAAGTAAAAGAGAAAGTAAAGAGGCAGAATGGAGGAGGCTTGTTCTTTATCCTCGTGCAGATTGTCTGATTAACTGTTTTCTCACTAGTGAAGCGTTCAGTTTTTCCACTTACAAAGTCCGCCATGTAAATAGCAAATGCCCCATGGCGTGACGCAACTGACTCTTAAAGGGAATGGGAGGTGAGACTCTGATTGGTTTAATTCACGTCAAAACACACCCATAACTCATTAAGAGAATAAGCATAACCCTGTTAAACCATGCGCCACAGCAAAGGTGGATTCTGACCTGCTCCTAATGCTTATAAGTTTATATATACAGTATATATATAACATTTTGCAATTATATTTTAAAAATATCATTATCGCAACACGACCGCTTATTTTTCCAATATCATGCAGCCCTACTCACTTGGTCACTGACATGCCATTCCTGTCCAAATTGCTGCAGGAACAACCTGGTGCATATCCTGTCAGGAACCAAACCCACAGGAACTTGTCATTCAGTGTGCAAAAGATTTGTCAGCATTAGCATTCAAGTGCATGTGCTTTTGATGTGGATAAACACTGAATATGGAAAATTAGCTGTCAGAGAAAACCAGTTTGAATGTTTTGGTCTACATGATGTTATGTGTTGTGTGAATGCTGGTCACAGTGACGAGCCCTCATACATGGGAATGAGGGTATAAAATCTTCTAGCGTATAATAAGATGCATCTGTGCTGTAGCAAAAATGAGCTGTAGAAATATGTTTTATTGCAATTGTCTAATTTGTACATGCAATAACAAGCATTATTTTAGAGATGATGATTATTTGTAATCTGATATAGCATTATATGTTTAGCCTGCATGGAGAAGTTTATTAGTCTGTCACGGAGGTGAAAGTTTTAGCTGTGCTGGACTGAAATATTCATGCAGTTTCTGTTCTGTGTCACCCATATGTTTGCTGTGGGCTTTGTGTTCAGGCTCAGGTATTATATGACTTCACTGCTGAGCCTGGCAACAATGAGCTGACTGTTCATGAAGGTGAAACGCTCACCATTACTAACCAGGTGAGCAGATATTGAGCTTGTGCTCAGTAGATGATGCATAGAATTGTTCAATATAGTTTGTTAATATATATATATATATATATATATATATATATATATATATATATATATATATATATATATATATATATATATATATATATATATATATATATATATATATATTTTTTTTTTTTTTTTTTTTTTTTTTTTTTTGTGCTTAGTACCTTTTGTTTTGTTTGCTTTTGGAAGAAATTAAACCTACATATTGTATGTCTAAAAATGCTAAATCACTGATCCCACAGAAAAAAAAGAAAATCTGTTAATAATAGTGATAATAATAATGTCTATACTTTTAATAATATTGCAATATTACTATTATTAATATTAGGTTTCAAATTATCATGTGACTATAGACTGGAGGAATAGCTGTTGAGCATTAAAAAATAATAATAATTAATTAAAAGCAGAAAAAATACAGTGCATCCAGAAAGTATTCATGGTGCTTCTTTTTTCACATTTATTTAGTCACTTATTCCAAAATGGATTAAATTCATTTATTTCTTCAAATTCTACACACAATACCCCATAATGACAATGTGAAAAAAAAATTTTTTAAATTGTTGCAAATTTATTAAAAATAAAAAAAAACTGAAAAATCACATGTACAAAAGTATTCACAGCCTTTGCACAATCCTTTGTTGATGCACCTTTGGCAGTAATTACAGCCTCAAGTCTTTTTGAATACGATGCCACAAGCTTGGCACACCTGTCTTTGGGAATTTTTGCCCATTCCTCTTTGCAGTACCTCTCAAGCTCTATCAGGTTGGATGGGAAGTGACGGTGCACAGCCATTTTCAGATTTCTCCAGAGATGTTCAATAGGATCTAGGTCTGGGCTCTGGCTGGGCCACTCTAATAAACATTCACCGAATTGTTGTGAAGCCACTCTATTGATAATTTGGCGGTGTGCTTTGGGTCATTGTTCTGCTGGAAGATGAAACGTCTCCCCAGTCTGAGGTCAAGAGCACTCTGAAGCAGGTTTTCATTCAGGATGTCTTTGCAAATCGCTGCATTCATAGTCTTCCAGTTCCTGCTGCTGAAAAACATCCCTACAGGATGGTATTAGCCTTGTGATGAGCGGTGGCTGGTTTTCTCTAAACTTAACGCTTGGCATTCACTCCAAAGATTTTTATTTTCACATTGTCATGATGGGGTATTGTGTGTAGAATTTTAAGGAAATAAATTAATTTAATCCATTTTGGAATAAGGCTGTAACATTAAAAAAAAACGTGAAAAAAAGTGAAGCGCCACAAATACTTTCTGGATGCAATGTATATTTTAGGAATCAAAACAATAAAGTGTAATACAGCTTTATTTATGCATTAGATTTTTTTTTATATTAGAAGTTTACTTTTAATTGTATTTTAATATAATTTTAGCAAAATAAAAGAATTAATATCATACACATATTTACAGAAAACGCCTATTAAAATGTTATTTCCTGTAACAATAGATTACAAACATAAGACCAAAACATGTCAGACCTTTTTTGCACAAGAATCATTGACGATATGTTAATATATGATCCAAAAATCCTAAATACGAAATACTGTAACTGAAATATTTAATGAATTATTTAAAATCATAATAATTGATTCTTTTACCTTCAAAACAGTATGTTAAATGTAATAACAATTTGCATTAGCACTAATTCATTTATTCATTTAATGTGTATGTGTCAGAATAAGTTTGGTGTTTCATTTCTTTTCCATAAATGTATCTTTCTACACACTGAATGATGGACTTTATTTTACTCATATTTTGACTTATTTATTGGACTTTTTTTCCCCTTGCAGAATGTAGGCGGTGGCTGGGTAGAGGCTCAGAATTCCAGAGGAAATGTAGGCCTGGTGCCAGTGGACTATGTTGAGGTAACTAAAAAAACACCCTAATCATCAGCTTTGCTTTCGGTTTCACAGTTCTAAAGTGTGTGGGAACATTTTATAGTACTCAAGAGAGTACTCAAGGGCAAGATCTGCTATCTAAACCACATCACTGAGCAAACTGTTATTGCATTCGCTACAGTAATGTACCAGCAACTGTTCTTTTTTTTTTCTGGAGAATCGATTGCAGTTGTCTTGTGTTTAGAAATCAAGGGAAATCTGTATTTCTCTGGATTTACTAGTTTGATTTATGTTAATTTTGTTTTATTGTATTGAGGTCTGACAACATTTCTTACATGATCTCAATAACAAATATGTAGTATGTCATTCATTTATTGATTTTTTCAGAACATGACATGGTAAATATAATATTCACAACATTTAATTTATTATGATCAAAACTCTTAACTTTATTTCACCAAATATTAATTTAAAAAATTTAACGTAATTTCTCTTAAATATCTCTTATTTGTTGAGTTTTAACATTATTTCTGAATCTTTTATCAGTTTAAAACATTGATATAGTGTTAAAGAACTGTCGCCACTGGCTTGCTTGGTTTTAGGACTTGTGGAGATGCACATCGATGGATTTGCTCCTCAGTGTTTGGACTTTCAGCAGTGAAAATTAAACCACACTGAACTAAGCTGAACTTGAACTCTGAAAACTGGACTGACAGTTTCAGTTTACTAGAACTTCTATGTTAAGCTGCTTTGACACAATCTACATTGTAAAAGCGCTATAGAAATACAGATGAATTAAAAATATAATAATAATAATAGAAATTATGACTGCCATTAAATTTGGAAGAATTGTCATCGTTTATTTACAGGATTATGCAACTCAAACATGTAACTAAAACTCAGCGTTTTTAATGGGTTTATTTTTTTTTCCATTGCTGAATGTGGGTTTTCTGAGCTCTAGCCTTATTAGAGGATATAAAATATAGTTAATCAAAAGTTTAATTAGGTTTTTGGCACACTTGTTTTTCCAGATGGGGAATATTCCCAAATGAGCTGTGCAGCAGGTTTATCTTTGTAACATAATTACCAAGATATGTATCATATTCTAAGTGTGGCTTTCCTGTAGATACACACTCTGTGTGTGTTGGGTGCCAGAATATTTATTTATTATGTTTTGTCATTGATTATTTCAATATAGAATGCACCTTTTTTCATGCATATATTGTAAAACCTGCAGGTGAACTCTGCTTCCGCACAAGCACCGGCGACACAATACATTGATGCCCGCAATCAAGGCAACAACAACAGTACGGCAAATACTCAGGTACGGTACCACATCAGTTAAAACCATTTGTACTTTTCACTTGATCATGGCAACTGTCAAAACATTGGTAACTGTATCTGTTCCTCAAATGAAATGCAAAGCAGCCTTTACTAAAAATAAGTAGCTGCAACCCACAAAACCCACTATTTAAATTTCAGTTTTTCTTCTGCATTTTTGCAGCCAACTTTTACTAGAAATCCACAGTCATTTAATGAGAGTTCTGCTGAACAGGACATGCACAAAGGCTCTGTGTGTCATCCGTAGTCGAAATCCATTTCCTCTTGAAGCAGGAGTATGAGAGTAAATGGGCCTCATTATAGCTCAGGACACGAGGACATTTCTCTCTCTCTCTCTCTCTCTCTCTCTCTCTCTCTCTCTCTCTCTCTCTCTCTCTGTCCCTCTTTCTTTGCTCTCTCTCTCTCTTTTAGTCATAATAGGTTGTCAGATGTCAGTCAATCTTATTTTGTGTACATGCAGTTTTTGGCCATCTGCATACACTGAAAAAAATTATTCATTGGATTTACTAAATTTAATTTAAACAAACAAAATAAGTTGAACATTACTAAAGTAAATTTGTTTGTTTAAATTCAGCCCATATAAATTGTTTGCAACCGCTTACCATAACGCACAGAAAGTTTGTAAATCCAATGATTTGTGTGTGTGTATGTGTGTGTGTGTGTGTACAATCTACATCATTCTGTTTTAACCAGCTTCACAATGATCAGAAAATAGCTTGATTGTTATTTACACCCACCGGCCACTTTATTAGGTACACATAGTTTCCAATCAGCCAATCACATGGTAGCAGCTAAATGCATTTAGGCATGTAGACATGATCAAGATGATCTGCTGCAGTTTAAACCGAGCATCAGAATGGGCAAGAAAGGGGATTTAAGGGACTTTGAAGGCGGCATGGTTGTTGGTGTCAGACGGGCTGGTTAGATCATTTCTGAAACTGCTGATCTCCTGGGAGTTTCACGCACAACCTCTCTAGGGTTTACAGAGAATGGTCCAAAAAATAGAAAATATCCAGTGAGTGGCAGTTCTGTGGGTGCAAATGCCTTGTTGATGCCATAGGTCAGAGGATAATGATCAGACTGGTTTGAGCTGATAGAAAGGCAACAGTAACTCAAATTACTACTTGTTACAACCGAGGTATGCTGAAGAGCATCTCTGAATGCACAACACATTGAACCTTGAAGCGAATGGGCTACAGCAGCAGAAGACCACACCGGGTGCCACTCCTGTCAGCTAAGAACAAGAAACTGAGGCTACAATTCACACAGGCTCATCAAAATTGGATAATAGAAGATTGGAGAACGTTGCCTGGTCTGATGAGTCTGCTGCAACATTCAGATGGTAGGGTCAAAATTTGACATCAACAAATTGAAAGCATGGATCCATCCTGCCTTGTATCGACGGTTCTGGCTGCTGGTGGTGGTGAATGGTGTGGGGGATATTTTTTTGCCACACTGTTGGCCCTTAATTATCAATTGAGCATCATGTCAATGCCACAGCCTACCAGAGTATTGTTGCTGACCATGTCCATCCCTTAATGACCACAGTGTACTCATCTTCTGATAGCTATTTCCAGCAGGATAACACGCTATGTCATAAAGCGTGAATCATCTCAGACTGGTTTTCTTAAACATGACAATGAGTTCACTGTACTCAAATAGCCTCCATAGTCACCAGATTTCAATCCAATAGAGTACCTCTGAGGAATTTTTCCAGTAACTTGTTGTATCTATGCCACAAAGGATTAAGGCAGTTCTGAGGGCAAAAGAGGGTCCAACACGGTACTAGTAAGGTGTACCTAAGTTTCCGGTGAGTGTATTGTCTTTTGCCATTTTTTTTTCTTTACCAAGTACTTTATCAGTCAAAATTTAGACAGTATGTTTTTTACTAAATATAAATTTCTTTGTAACTTAATCTTGAAGGACCAGTTGTCTCGTTTTATTTAGTTTTCAGATGGATGGATGGATGGATGGATGGATGGATGGATGGATGGATGGATGGATGGATGGATGGATGGATGGATGGGTGGATGGGTGGGTGGATGGATGGATGGATGGATGGGTGGGTGGGTGGGTGGTTGGGTAGGTTGGTATGTAGGTTGGTTGGTAGGTTGGTAGGTAGGTAGATAGATAGAGACAGACAGACAGACGGACAGAAGGATGGATAGATGGATATCCTTGAAATGAATGGAGTTTTGACAGTTATCACCAGGGCCCGGTTTTTCAAAAGGTTTAATCCGGATAAAATTGATCTGGATTTAGTAATCCTGTTTTTGCGATCCGTGATCACGTAATCCAGCTTACTTTTTGAGCCAGTTTTTTAAAGCAACATTGGATTGGATCAATCTGATCCGGATAGGAACTTTTCATGATCACTAAATCTGGATTACCAGTGCTCAATGTAGATGAATAGATAGGCCTATGTAAAGAGCAACAAGTAGAATAGCCAGTGTGGGGTCAATATAACTTTATTTTTATTAGAAATGAAAAAACACATAAAAAAAAAAAACTAAAAACAATAAAACCCCACCCCATCCTCTACCAGCAGTCCGCTCATCTGAGACCTACAACACAAACACTGTACATTGAGGTATTTATAATAAGTTTCAAATATAGATGTAAATAAAATTTTAAAAAAGACTTAATGTCAAAAACTCCACAATAAGTTCAAACTTCCTCATCTGATGTCTGGCCTTTGTTTGCTGCAGTGTGGTCAGAGTCAGTTGTTCCTCTGCCAGATGAAGCTGTGCTTCTGCCCAGTCTCTTTTTGCAATTGTTGAAGGTGATTTCAAAAATAAGTGATTGCCATTCTTTGCTTTTTTTTATTGTTGTTTTTATTCTGTAATCATTGCATGCATCACTAATAAATATTCTAAAAACAAAAATATTTTCCATTGTGATGAATAAATATATATATATATATATATATATATATATATATATATATATATATATATATATATATATATATATATATATATATATAATCAATTAGAGACAGAATAAAATGTATTGTTTTTGGTCAATTTTGACAGCTGTCTGGGGGATTATTTTATGAGGCTAAGCTATTTCTACTTTGCTGTAGGCCTATACTGAAAGGCTAAATACGTTAAAGCCAATAATCACTATAGCCTGACAGATGAACAAATATAATTAAAACCTTATGAATAAATAGTATATCTCGTAAGATACTGCATGATCCAAAAATAGTATTATTTAATAAAATTTTTAAGTTTTCATTACATTTTGGGCATGAAATCCATACTAAATCCACTAGTTTAATCCAGGTTTCTTGGATCAATGTGATCCAAATCCTACAAAAAAGGTCTGAAAAACCCAAAGTAAAGGTTCAATCCAGATCAAAACCAAGATTTTTCTTTTCATTTTCAAGATTTGATCCAATCCCTTATCCAAAATCCTAATGGATTACTTTTGAAAAACCGAGCCCTGGTCTGACACTGTTAAATAAATCTGTATTTTTTTTTTTAATAATAAATAAATATATTAAAATACGATACTTTGATCATAGTTATTTTACACCAACATATTTGTACAACTTTAAGAATGACGCACAAGTTTAAATTTATTTTATTGTTAATATACACAGGATGGCTGTAAACTGAATTTTTCTCCATGAGCCGAGGCTGGTCAAGTGTATCTTGAGTACAAGCACCCTTGAAGGAAAATAGAGCAAATTGCACAAGTGGTGAAAAGATGAATCTAACAACTTCACATTTCCATCAGCCTTTGATGATTCGGTGACATTCAGAGTGATCCACAACACCAAAGCACTAATAACGATAAACACATGAGTAATGTTGTGCTTAGTGGAAAATTGGTATAGACTGGTCTTAATTGGTGAGGCCTGGAAACAAGACGAATGGCTTTGTGTGGCTGGAAGTTAGCCTTTAGTAGCGACAAGGACAGGTCTATTGATGGAATTGGCCATTAAGTCTTAGACTAATGGACCGAAACCTACTCAAGAGCCTTTGGCCTTTTAGTTCTTAAAGCACATCCAGGCATTTTGTCAATGGGCAGATCTGAAAGAACTATATTTTTATACCTTACCTTCAATTCATCTGCGACTGTCAGCCATTTAGCCAAGAATGGAAATGTTTTCACTTTTGTCATTGACTTTGAGTAAACATAGTAATGGTTTCTACATTTTGAGGGTCACGATAAATAAGCTTTATTTGTCTCTCTCTTTTTTTTTTTTCTTGTTTGATTCATAGTCGTAAAATAACCTCTGTGGTGGAAGTTAGATCACCTGTGATTTGTTCCGTAGCTTATACGGCCTGTCACCATATTCAAATCATGTTCAAAAGAATCCAAAAAGTGCAAAAAAAAATTGTTATCAGACGAAATATTATTAAGTAGTGAAATATTATTATAAAGTGAGTGAAGGAGTTGCAACAGCTAGTGTACGCCTTTTTGCATAAATAATGTAATCTTCATTCAAACTTAGAAAGGATGCTATCATTCTAGTAAAACAGAGTAAAGTAAACATAAAATGAAATTAATTTTGAATATTGGACACAAAAGGAACTGCTTTACCTTTTTTCACAAAAAGTCTGATTAACCTTCATGGACATTTCTGGCGGATTGGTCAATAAATGAAAGCAAGGAACCACATGATGGAGTTTCTGATAAACATTTGCACTCATTTTTGCCAATGAGCATTATAAGAAGTCAAAGTCCTACTGCAGAATACACCCCCAAACCATGACACTTTCTGTCAGTTCAAGAGTTAACACTTAGCTGGTGATTAATTATAAAGAGTAATTGGAGAGCCCTGAGTTTATAAGATCCTCAAGCCTGGGGCTCCCTCCCATTTGCAGGGCGAGAGGGGATTTTGAGCTCCCCTTCTCTTTGTAGCAGCAGTGACCAATGAGGGATAGCTATGAAGAGATCACTACTTGCAGTACTAGGAGCACATCAATGGTGCTGATTTGGATTAGTTAATTAACTTAGGTTGCATGCTTTTAGATGGTAGGAGGAAACCAGGGGACCCAGGGGAAACTCACACGGTCATGGGAAGAACATGTAAACTGCACACAAAAGTTGACTGGCTTGGTAAGGATTAGAACCAGTGATGTTCTTGTTCTTGCAACAGTGCTAACCTCTGGGCCACTGTGCCGCCCATCTAGGAAAGGAGGAGGAGTAGGGGTGGAAGGAGGGATTCTTCAAAACGAAGATGACTGTGGTTTGGAATTTAGGTTATTTATGGTGACTTAGGAATTGTCTGATTGGTGAATCATGAATTGGCAAATGCGGGACCAGCCATGATCAATCATAAGCACGTGATTCTCTCGAAATTAATTTAGAAATAAACTTCAATTATCAACTCAGATTCTCCACATTGTCCTGTCGTCTCACACGTTTATTTTTGTGGACAGCCAGACTTTTTGGGGGGGGAATCTAAATGAGTTAGTGACATACTAAAGATAAAATATTCCAGCCTGATCTCACTAGGAAACGTAACTATTTTGAGTTGGTATGTTTAGTGGGTTTTTTGACAAATTCATACGAAGAATACAAAACAATACATTCGAGTTCAGTCGTAAGAAACTACCATTTTAAAAAGGAGGTATGGCACCAACCTCATGTATAAATCCATTTATCATAGCGGGATGAGCAAATCGTACAAAATTGGACGAATGTGATCGTATGAATTCATACGAATTAGACATTGAATCAAAAAGTTACGAATTGCTGTGAGATCATGTTGAGTATTTTAGAGATTACCAATTTGAAGTGAAGGTTCAACATGGTTGTTGATTTGTTTACAAGAATGATTAATTGTTGTTGTTTTCTTAAGGGGGTTAATGGAAATGAGGCTTGGACTGCCACAACATGGTCTAACAGCTACCCTGCAGACAACTGGAATTACACTGAACAGGAACCAGCAGGCAACAATGGTAAGAGGAGATTATTTATAGTACAACCTAGGGCTGGGCTGATAATGATATTGTATTGAATTGGGATTATCAATGATAAGATCTGGAATTGTTCCAGACACCAGAATCACACAGCAGAAATGTGCAACAAGGGCAGTCTAAAAGTGTGTTGATATTAGAGATGTACCAAATTTTCAGCCACCGAAAATATGTCATCCCATTTAATGGACCCTCTATTTTTGTGGCTTTAGTCATTGTTGGGGTACTCTTTTAGATCTGGAAGCACTAACAACTTGTATCAAAATATATTTCGTTATCGTACAATATGAAAAATAATTATCAAGATTGTATTTTTGCCATATCGCCCAGTCCTAGTAATACCTACATGAAACTACTACACTTTTAAAAAATTCTGGTTGCCTTAAATTTTTAAGCTAAATCAAATTAACCTTAGGAGTAGATTGAACTTAAATTATGTTAAACTGACTTGCTTAACTTATAAAATTAAGTTAGAACATAGTTTAATAAAGTAAAATGAAATAAAATTATATGCTGTCAGGACTAATTGATCATATAATTTCATATAGTGTATGTGGACTACCATTCAAACCTAGCAAGATTTGGTTAAGTAAGAATGATTTCTAAAAGATCATGTGACAATATTTATATACTGTCCACTCTATAGACAACACCTTAACATTTTTGATTTTGACTAAGGTATTAAAATACACCTTTTGTAAAGCAGCTTTGGAACAGTAATTATTATTAAATGCGCTATAAAAATAAATTTGAATTAAAAATGGAAACTAGGACTGCAATAATGGCTGCTGAAAATTTAGTATTGTAATCCAGAATGATATGTAATTTTTTAAATTGTAATAATACATAGATTTGCTAATATGTATATTGTAATAATCTTTTATTAATACAACATTGAAGAGTGTAAGAGACTTTCTGAGACGGACTACAGACTTTAAACTGGAAGTGTATAAGCTCAAATAAATTTAGTTTAAAAGTGTTCGCCAAGTGGGCACCTTGATGTCAAATCGATTGTCAAATCAATAAAAAAAAACATGTTTTAAGTCGATTTACTGTTAATTGACTAACTTGATGTCAAAACGGCATCAAATATTGGCATAAAAAACATGTCAAACATGTTTGGCATGTATTTTGATGCCAATGTTAGATGTTGTTATGACATCAAGGTAGTTTACATGTATTGTAGGGACACAAAATCCAGTGTAAATTTGGAATTGAAGCTTTGAGACTAATAAAACGTGTCTATTATATTACTTTTCATGTTGTTATTTTGGTGATCAAAAGAGCATCAATGTGTGGATGTCAAATAGATGTCAAGTTTTGACATTAAACTGACATTAAATTACAAAACTTTTTTTTTTTTTTTGAAAAAAGACAAGGGGGATATAATCTGAGATAAGAAGTAAATTTTAGGAGGTTGAAAACAAAGACAACAAAAAAGTTTGTGTCTGTGGTGTAAAACTATGGAACAGTCTAGATCAGACTCTCAAACAATGTCAGGATAATAATCAATTTAAAAAGCTGTATAGATATATAAACAGTAATATAATGATGAAGATGATGAAATTTTTATTAATGGCTATTTGCAGTACTATTTATTATATTTTCTTTGGGTCTATGTTACAAAATGTAAAGGTACAAATGGAATCAAACATGAAATATGTCAAAGATGCCAAAAGGATAATGTTTCATGTAAAAAGAAGATCAGTAAAAGAAGAAATAAGTTAGATTAATAGACAAATGATGTATATTGTAATGGGGTGGGAAAATAATAAGCTTGTGCTTCATCCCACTCCATTTTTGACCATGTTGAAATATATATTTTTTGTTAATGATATTTTATGTATGATATTTTTGTTCGAAAATAAATAAATCAAATCAAATTGATTACATTTTTTGAAATGTGTTTTGACATCAAGGTAGCGGGTAGTGGTGTTATTGTTATATAAGTACATGTACTGTCTATACAGCTCATGAGTGATTTGGCTGCTTTAATGTCTAAAGCACTAAGTTTGCTTTGCTATGAGGACTTTGAACTTTCTCAGTTATCAAGATCTTTCAGTGAGCATGGATACAGTCATAAATAAGCTTTTTACCAACTCGAGGTAGGCAAGTACAGAACTTGAAGTTTCAGCGAAATGTTATAATAATGACTACAGTTGTCTTTGTTGTCTTTGCCTGTTACACAGCTGAGTTGTTCTGAAACATGCTTCCCACAGCTGAGAGCAATATATTCACATTTGCACAGCAGATCCTTTTCTGGCCCCTCCGCATGCATTCCAGTATAAGAACATTAGTGAAAAAAATTTACAGAACACTTTAGCAAACTTTTAAAAAGGTTTCTTCATTTAGTAAAGCAAAATAGGAGTCAAAGAGTAAATGCACGTTTTTGAGTCTGCATCAAAGTAAATTTTTTTTAAAGTTTATTTATTTGCTACTTTGCAGTTTTAAGAATGCTTTTGAGGAAACAAAATAAAAACGGGCGAAATAATGTTCCTTATTTTAAAAAATCTTGTTTAAAAATGTGAATTTAGTAAAATTGTACTATCAATGCTTTAAAATGTCTTGTTGACAAATGGGTAAAACTTAGTTATTTGGATTAGTTGCAAATTGTAGAGGTTTAAAATGACAGTTAATTAGTGTTTTGGGGCTGCGTATACACTACCCGTATAAAATTTGGGGTCAGTAGGATTTTTAGTAGGATGTTTACAAATAAGCTTTCCCTGCTCACCAAGACTGCATTTATTTCAGCAAAAATACAGTATAAATTGTAAAATTGTGAAATGTTATTGCACTATAAAATAACTGTTTAAAAGTAGTTTATCATTTAATTTAATTAATTAGTTATTAATTTAATAACTTATTCCATTGATTTTACAAATCAATTTTCAGCTTCATTACTCCAGCCTTTAGTCACATGATCCTTCAGAAATCACTCTAATATTAATTATCATCATCATCATCATCATCATCATCATTTTTATTAATATTAGTATTATTTTTTATTAATGGTAATAATAATAAAAGCAATATTGACTGGAGTAATAATTTCATTTGAAACTACATACAAAAAGAAAGCAGTTTAAAACAAATTTTTATATATATATATATATATATATATATATATATATATATATATATATATATATATATATTTAATTTACATTTAATAAATGCCGAAATGATGAACAGAATAATTTTTTGTTCAAAAGGAAAAAAAACGACTCCAAACTTTTAGTCTATATATTGTTAATATACCTGACAAGTTTTGTCAAAACTAAATACAATGTTTTCAGAAATTAAATAATTAATTTCCCAATCAAGAAAAAGTGTAATTTAGATTATGTACACTCAGCTGAATTTAAAAAATATATATTTTTAAAATATTTTCTTTAAAATATTGTTGAACTGCACTGCTGAAACTAATGACAAGCAGTAGTGGTAAACAAAAATGATATTTCTGTTGAAGAATCACATTTTTCATTTTTAAAAATTTAATATTGACAAACACTACAATTATAGCTGTATCGCAATCATTTTTAAACATACCATATACACATTTTAGCATGTCAGTGAGAATAAGTCTATTTCTAAAGCAATGCACAAGATTATTATAATAATTTAAAGCATATTTTAAAGTGAAACATTTAATAAGATGTATTTGGTCGTGAATATGAAGGAATGTATTTAGCGACAACATACGCTGGTGGTTAAAATCAGATGCACAAATTGAATTGAACCACTCCAAGTTTCAGAAATTATACTAGTATTTATTTATTTTATTTGGTTATTATTAAAATGTCAGGAGAGTATATACAGTTGAAATTATTAACCCCCCTGCAGTTTTAAAAGCAGTTTTGAATTTTTTATAAACATTTTAAGGACAATATTATTAGCCCCTTTTAAGCTAAATTTTTATTTGATAGTCTTCAGAACAAACTACCATTATACAATAACTTGCCTAAGTACCCTAACCTGCATAGTTATTCTAATTAACCTAGTTAAGCCTTTAAATGTCACTTTAAGCTGTATAGAAGTGTCTTTAAAAAATATCTAGTAAAATATTATTTACTGTCATCATGGCAAAGATAAAATAAATCAGTTTTTAGAAATGAGTTATTAAAACTATTATGATTAGAAGTGTGTTGAAAAATATCTTCTCTTCGTTAAACAGAAATTAGGAGAGAAAAAATAAACAGGGGTGCTAATAATTCAGGGGGGCTAATAATTCTGATAATTAATAATAATTATTATTATTAATAATTAACGGAGAGAAGATTCACATTTTTAAATATAATAGGCAGACAAGACATAAACATATAATTATATTTATTTAAATAATTTTCTTTTGTATTTTTTTTGTAGTTTATGTATGTGTGTGTGTTTATACACATATTCATAAATATACAAATATTCACAATATACATGTATACTGTACAAAATTATGTAAATACAAACTTTTATATTAGATGCAATTAATTACAGTTAATCATTTGACAACACTATTTTAAATTTATACCGTAGGTCCAGGTCGCTCACCTGGACATGTAATAATAATTGTCAAAGCACTCGTGAATTTAAAGTATAATGTATGTGACGATGACTTGTTGTGTCATGTGACTGTAGGTTCCGTGTATTCCTTCGATGAGGAATGGGATGATGATTCTGATGATGGAAAGTCGACTGGTGGTTATGGAGGCTCGCAGGCGGAAGATGGGGGAACCATGCAGCGGAGTGGAGCTCACTCCACAATGAAATTATCTCTCAACAAGTAATCTTTTATTTAATGATAACTGCCAATAAAACCATTTAATTGATGAATATTGAAAGATACTCATACAGACGTTTCCCATAGGTTTCCAGGGTTTTCTAAGACCCCAAACCCAGAAGTGTATCTCCTTACCAAGCACATAACTAAAGGAAATGACAGACTGTCTGTTTATGTGAGTTATTTGACTTTGCCGTGGTTTATTGGAGTTAATAATAACAGAATTTATCAGATCATAACAGAATTATCAACTTAGGGTTTGTTCTTTGTCAAAGACTTCTTTGTTAAGTACATTATTAAATGAATAGCTAGCTTTTAGTTCCTGAGAGAGAGAGGGAGAGCACTATACACTGTTTTTTGCTAGTTATGCAATGATGCTGCTTTAATGTGGATTTTAGACAATGATAATTTGTTCAAGTTGAACTCTGTTCACTTAATATGTTTAAGATATAGAGAAAAAACTTTAAATATTTTCCTCTAAAGCCCAATTTTTTTCTGAATACCAAAGAAAGAAAGACAAATACATATTGGATGGCTCGAGGGCGGTTTAAATATTGAGGAAATCTTCAATTTTGAGTGAGCCATTCTTTTAGTATGAATATGAAGTGCTCCATTTCGCTGAGGAAATGCTGAATGTTTATTTTTTCAGCCAGGCGAGGTTGGTCCAGTATGGTTATATCCACAAACACAGTTAGATTGTGTAGTGGCCGATCCCAAAAAGGGTTCAAAAATGTATGGCCTGAAGAGCTACATTGAATATCAGATCACACCTAATGTAAGTCTCTTCGAAACACCATTAATAATAATATTGGGTCTTTGCCACTGTTTGGCTAAGCTGTCCGAATTCTTTTTCAGACTACAAACAGACCCGTCAATCACCGATACAAACACTTTGACTGGTTATATGAGAGGCTGGTGGAGAAGTTTGCCTGTGCTCTGCCAGTCCCAGGTCTGCCTGATAAACAAGTTACAGGTGAGCAAAGCAAAAAAAAAATCCATCTGCTTATTGTTTCATTTTTAGTCAACAAAGAACAGGTTTTTGGCTTGGAGGCTTTCTAGCATCTGTCTTCCATTCCTCTTTAGGCCGATTTGAAGAGGAATTTATCAAAATGCGCATGGAGCGCCTGCAGGGCTGGATGTCCCGGATGTGCAGACATCCTGTAATCTCAAACAGTGAAGTTTTTCAGCTCTTCCTTAACTACAGAGACGAGAAGGTGCATTTGCTCATGTATTTGCTTAATAACTGATATGTACACTGCCAATCGAAAGTTTGGAAACATTGAGATCATTCAGGATTTTTGAAAGAAGTCATTTTTAGACATGGGATGATAACTGGTTTTAAGGTTTACCGTGGTTTGGAAAAATCAAGGTTTTAAAGGTTATACCATTCCTACAGTATATGTAAGGTTTATTTCAGGTTATGTTTACATTTTTTACAGGTAGTTTTTTAGGGCAACAGTATACAGTGTTTATTAATGAAAAATGTTTTTTACTAAGATATTTTAGAGCCGTAATCACTATACCATGAAACAGTGATAATTTTTTCCATAGGTTATTATACCCTCAAAATCTCATACCAGCCCATGCCTAGTCACTATTGCACTGGAAAAATATCTGTAAATGAATGCAAGTTTTCCTTATGTAGTAATTTCTATTTTTTTCTTCATTCGTTGATCCATATATGCTTTTTGAATTGCTTTGTTGGACTTTGATCTTTCCTCAACAACTTTTGATGTTAAAAAGTTTGAAAACGTGACATTTGTTGACTTTTTTTAAAAAAATGTTTGAAGTGTTATATGGGTTAGTGTTGTAAATTATATATTATAAAAAAAAAATATTTTACAACTTTTATTAATTGATCAGTAAATTATTCTAAAATTATATTGGATTCAGAGCTTTAAACTGATATTTTATTGTTTAATTAATTCAGTTGACTTTTTTAATTAATTCAGTTGACTGAGAAAGTTGAAGTATATAAAACCACAATTTCTACAATTCAACAATTATGATTTGTGAGTGTTTTTACATTTTTTTTAAAAAATTAGTTTGATTTTTCTGTTACCATTCCTACAGTATATGTAAGGTTTTTTGTATGTGTTTTTTTTCCCCACGGGCTACATTTATATTTACATTTTTTATGACATTTTTTGACTTAAAAAAATAGTTTGAAGTGGTATGGGTTGGTGATGTATATTATGGTCAGTAAAAATATGAAAAATTAAGGTCTTTCAAAATATTAAGGTCAGTACGATTTTTTTAAAGTTTAGTTTAGTTTAGTTTAGTTTAGTTTAGTTTATTTGTTTACAGGGTCAATGCACATTAATAAACGTTACTGTAAAATGTGCCAGATTTAGCCAAGAATGGCTATTTTTCATCCGTAGACCCCTTACAGAAGTATTACTTTCATTAATTGATCAGCATATTATTATAAAATGTAATTGGTTTCAGAGCTTTAAACTGATATTTTGTGAAGTTTTTAAACTAATTTCGAGAGGAGCACGTGATATAATTGACAGCAGCTGGCCACCTATCTACACTCATTAGTTAGCCAATCAGATCTATCCTAACCCACTATAAGTAGCCTAGCTAGACATTACTCCCTTATCTTCGTTTTCCGAAGAAACAAACGACAGGTCCGCTCTAGCTCCTCCAAAAGTTACTCACGGACAAAACGGATCCTCCACATCTCCTACTATTCTTCAACTACAATACCACACCACCTTTAATACCATCGTCAGCAACTACAAAAAATGACAAAAACAACAACAACAGCGACGGCGGCTGAGATCACAACAGCATCAGCGCATCTACATACAAGAAAGAAAGCTCCGGGCTCCCTGAAACACCAGCCCCGTCTTAACAACAACCAGCCCAGCATGAAAGTCAGCTCGAGACCGAGGCTCCAACGAGAGGCCGTAGGCCTATCCACTCCAGCCAGATCACAATGCAATCCCCAGCTCCGCTACGTACCTTCTCCAGCATCATCATGTGTCACTCATATCCAACAACGACTGTCACTGAACTCCTCCAAACTCCTAGACGCCGGGACCATAATTCAAAGCCGCTGCATTAAACCCAAAACACTTGCGAATCCACGTCTTCACCGCCACCCCCAGGACATAACACGCTCCTGCCACACCCCCTATCCTAAACAGACATTAAACCCGCAATCTCTCCGCCTCCCCGGAGAATCAAGGAAAGGATTGAAAAGCAATATTGGATTTGGACATATTGCAGCAATCATAATTCTAAACACGGATAAAACCTATCTCCCGGACAATAAAGCAACTCTTGGGAATCCCACCTCACCTCTTCCATCCTGCAGCTCCCGATTCCAGTGCACACTCCAGTCCTCCTCTTTCAGCGATCCTTACCACCTACGCACCCCGCCCCTCTACCTTGCGTATCATTGCTTTTTCCCCCTCTCATTTTTACAAGCTCGAAGCTACTGCTGATTATTTTCTATTATAGAATAGAAATTACTTGTCGACTTTTGTCAATATGTTTATGCTTTTACTGAATTACGTTTGTAACTGACCTAATTTTCTGAATTTCTCATTCCAGGTTTCGTCTACTGAAGCACAGCCGATCTCGGCGCTCCCTTCCCACAACCTCACTAGCCGTCCACCAACACTACACCAGAAATCACAGAGCAATTCCCTGTTAAGCACATCCATACCAGCCCTACTGAAATGGACATTAGAACGTTTCTAAAAACGTCTAATAACGGCTCTTTCATCTCCTCATAATTCTGCCTTTTTCAGCTTTAACAGCATGATTCTACCTGATGCTTAAATTATCACGTTATAAACCAAGCAATCTCTCTAATCTAGACGGCTGCAGCGCTCGGTTGCAATCAACATTACACCCGCCACCCGATTTCTGGCAATCGGAGGTCACAATTACATTCGTAGTCCGTTTAACATTCGGATGCAAAAGTAGCCCACACATTTATGCTTAAAAACGATCCGCTGGATTTCGCCAATAACTACGGTGTTTGCACGTAATTCACCTACAAGTTCCCGTTTATCTCTCCCTAATATCCCCCAACTAGTGACCGGTTTTCTAATATTTGCATTCTCATTGCGGAAGAACCTCCGGCTTAAGCACTTCTATAGAATTCTTAAGCATCAATTTGGAGTGATAGAATTTCAAGCATTAATAAGCTACTTGAATAAATCGACAATCAGTCCCCTTTTATATTCTGGAAGAAAAATATCACGCTATGCATAAACTGCTCTCCATCTAGAACATCAAACACACATGCGCATTATCCCGCAGGGATGCCTTTTCGTCACTCACCTACTTCATCTCGCAGCAGCAATCTCCGGAATAGAAGAGAAATGATCTAAATCCGATCTTGGCCGTAACAAACTCTGCCTGAAGGGTGTCGCGCACCAGAGGCGCCGACGGCGCGGTGACGCGACGCACTTACGACAGAGGATAGTAGATTAATGCACACCAGACTCACGCATTCATACTTTATCAAATAAACTCATCAATTATACAAATAGCGCTCCGCGGCGCGGCAGAATACGAAGTGTCATGAATTGTGGCTGGGCACTACGGACAGCCGCATTGACTTCCTTATTATTTATTTCCTTCCTGTGAAAGTCTATGGTTACAGGTTTTCAGCTTTCTTCAAAATGTTGTCTTTAGCGTTTAACACGGGAGTCACTAACCTCTGAAACTAAGAGCTACTTTCGGGCACCGATTAACGTGGAGGGCTACCAGTTGGATAAACACTTCTCAAATAACAAATTGCTCAATTTACTTATAATTATAATTTAAGTTTTTGGTTATTTTTAATAATGAATAACATTCATCCAGGTGTAGTCACTGATCATGTTATGATTCTCTCAAAGTTACCAACAATGATTTAACAGGGTAGGAAATACCCCGTAATTAATATATCAACGTGCAACACTATTTTATTTATCTTTGCAAATATTTACATTTTTAAATGATTACTTCTATATTAGAGAAAGCTTACTTGTAAGTGGTGTTATGGTGAGCTATTTTAGAACAGGCCTGTGAGCAACACACGAGAGCCTCGTGAGCTATCTGGTGCCCATCGGTACCATATTTGGTGACTCCTGGTTTAACAGAAATGAAATTCATAAAGGTTCGTAACCATCAGGTAGCGCTTAAAGCATGCGACCTGCTTATGCTTCCTTCCTTAAGCGCTGGAATAGAAGCCATTCATTTATTAGCTATCCAATTTCATCCTCAGTATATGCTTTTTACACAGATGCTGCCCCCTTCGTGGGGTATATTATCGGGGCCCCCAATGCGCTTCTAACGGGCAATATAGTCAATACATTCTGGAAAAAAAAAAAAAAAATACTGCTGTACATGTTCCTAGTTGCATAGGAAATCGCTGACTCTCTTTTGCTTTATTTTCAGAAACTGGTATCAGAAGCAGAGCCGCAGCTGACTCCATCTCTCCTTTTAAGATGATAATCCCATAACCACAGCATACACAATTTGCGTCTGCATTCATTTATACATTTTAAGTTACCCCAGAACACTTCATCAGTTTCTCACTGCTCAACACATCCACACATTCCGTTCAATAACATTTTTGGTTTCATAACACCTTAAAGTCATAGGACCATTCAGGCATCCCACCAGATTAATAATCCAGTCACTCATTCAGAATTGGAGCCACCACCACAGCAGCACACAAGGGCTATCGTAACAACACATACAAACACTAGGAAAGTAGTCTCCCGACGCCTTCAAATCTTATATCTGACTCAGCCACAGCCATCTCAGGGAAGCTCAGAGGACCCTCACCAGCAGATGCAGTAATCCCAGCGGCCAAGGGCATGGGCCTAGTCCAGGGAGAGAATACGACCCAACCATACCAGCTTCCCGAGGGCAGAGGAACTACCCAGTCTCCCAAGGGCGCGGGCATGACCCAGCCATCTAGCTTCCTTTCTTCCTTCCAGCTGATTTGCACTCAGCCTTCTCCCCCTGTTCACTCACCTAACTCCAGTAGGAGTTCTCTCCCTGCCCAGGCCCCCTTGTCACCCCCGCCCCCCCCGGCCGCTGCCACAGAAGTTTTCACTGCCCCCCAACTTTTCTAACTTCTGTAGGACCCCGCCCCCCCCATGGCTCTGGCCCCCGCAGGGGCGTTACCCCGAGCTTCGATTCCCGCAGGAATCATCTCACTGCCCTGGCCTTAGCTTTTTATATTATGTCATTCCATAATGACATATAGTATAGCACTATTTATTTTTCTCTCTGTTTGATTTTATTTATATAAATTTATATCTATGTGCACCCACGCATATAAATATGAATTTATATATAGTGCTGTCACCCTCACGCTCTGTTCCCGCAGGAACACCCCCAGAGCACCTATACCGCCCGTCACCCTCCAGTAAGAAGTCTTCACCTCCCCCTCATCTTTCCCGACTCCTACTGGAGCAGCTAAATAGCTCACCCAACCCCGAGCTGTGACACGAGTCATGTCACCGACCCTCCCCGGCCCTAGCTTTTATTTATGTTTATTTTTGTTTATTTCTCACACTTATCTTTTATTTTTAAATTTATTTATATATATGTATATATATATGCACCCACGCATATAAATATATATTTATATATAGTGCTGTCACCCTCAAGCTCTAACTCCAGCGGAGTTAATCCCGAGCACCGGACCCCCGCAGGGGTCATCGCCCAACTGCCATTTCCCCCTTCAGCTGGGGCTTCACCGACCATTCCTTTTCCCGACTCCAGCTGGAGATGGCACATACAGCTCTCTCTCCCGCAGGAGAGCCAAGAGCTTCGACTCTCGCAAGAGTCAGTAAAAACGCCCCCCCAAGGCCCTAGATTACCCCATTATATATTTATATATCTATATGTTTCATATAAATATATAATTATATATAGTGCTGCCACCTCCCAGCTCAATCTCCGCAAGGAGTGTTCCTCGAGCAAATTACTCCTTTGGAGTCCCCGCCCCCCCTGCCCCCCTTTACCCCCCTCTCCAGCCGGAGTCCTTCACTCCCCTTCCCTTGTAATGACTCCAGCAGGATTCCCGCCCACCCCATGGCTCTGACCCCCGCAGGGGTCTCCCCGAGTCTCTACTCCAGCAGGAGTATTCACAGCCCAAGCCAACTCTGCTCGGGTTCCCGCAGGAACCTGTTTCACCCTTTGCTCCAAAGGAGCCCTCTTTACCTTTTCTTTTTCAAATAACTATATCCAGCAGCCGGATATAGCATTTCAAGCCTTTTGGGGGGTTTCTTCGAATACACGGCTGCTGTCCCGAGCTTCATGCATTTGGGGAGCTCTCGAGAACCACCTGATCTCGTACTCCCCTCACATGCTCTATGGACCTGGCGGGAGCCCTGGGCTCAACTATCTCCGAGCTCAGGGTTCTCTCCCGGGACAGCATGCCAAACCTGCTTACAGCTGTCAAGCAATATCTAAGTGTGAACTCTTGAAGTGAAGTTTTTAAACTAATTTCGAGAGGAGCACGTGATATAATTGACAGCAGCTGGCCACCTATCTACACTCATTAGTTAGCCAATCAGATCTATCCTAACCCACTATAAGTAGCCTAGCTAGACATTACTCCCTTATCTTCGTTTTCCGAAGAAACCCCCCATCCACCCCTTTCTCCTCCTTTTCTCCTTTACAAAAAGGGGAGCTCTCGAGAACCACCTGATCTCGTACTCCCCTCACATGCTCTATGGACCTGGCGGGAGCCCTGGGCTCAACTATCTCCGAGCTCAGGGTTCTCTCCCGGGACAGCATGCCAAACCTGCTTACAGCTGTCAAGCAATATCTAAGTGTGAACTCTTGAAATTGTTTAATTAATTTAGCTGACTTTTTTTGTTAAGTGAGAAAGTTGAAGTATATAAAACCACAATTTTAACAATTATGATTTGATTATGATTTGTGAGTGTTTTTACATTTTTAAAAAAGTAATGTTTGATTCTTCTCTTATTTTATGTAATGAACTGTAAAAATAAAAACTGGTGATAATAAACTGTTTTTTATGCTATTTTACAAATAAATTCTTAATCAATTATGTCTTAGACAATATATTCTTTCAGACTACTAAAATGTCAATAAAAGTCACTTTGTTAGACTGTAAGTTGAGTTTTCAAAAGTTGACAGAGTAGAGGTCTACATTATGCAATTCATACCCGTAAATAAACTGAAATGTGAATCCAGAGCATGTTAATATTTTTTTTACAGTGTGCTCACCAAGGCTGCATTTGTTTTAGTAATGAAACAGTGTTGTAAAACTTTTGTTGTGAAATACTAAAGTTATATAAGGTTTCTCTCTAAAATGTGTACTACCATTACACTTGTCTTCAATATCACATGATCATCTTTCAAAACATGTTTCCATATTTACTGGTAGTTTAAATACACTTTCAAACAATCACATTGTTTGACAAATTAGATTGATGCTAATGTTTACATTTGCTAGCTAGCATGCTAATAGTTTTTGCGCTCACTCGGGGTGTTCGAAACATAGGTGATTTTTCCCTTCATCACTTGTTTTCAGATATGTTTCACTGTGTTAAATATTAACTTTGGCTGGTGAAAAGGTATGCTCCTCATGGCTGTCGGGTGTGTTGTAAAGCATGTTTTATTTGTTGTTTTTATTAGGAGTGGAAACTAGGGAAGCGGAAAGCGGAGAAAGATGAAACGGTGGGAGTGAAAATCTTCTCCACCATTGATCCAGAGCTCCCAGAGTTGGATCCTGCTCAAGTGTGAGCTGAAATATACCTCTGATCTATATATTTTGAAATAATTTATATAAAACTGTCATTTAAGTAATGTTTATAAGGTTAAATGTGATTTAGGATTATGGTTAATTATTATTAAATGAAATATTCTTATTGGGGTCAGTTTATTTAAAAAAATTTTTATTGACATTATTACTTTTATTCATACAGCATGTATTAAATCGATCAGCACTGACAGTAAATGCTTTAAATTATTTTAAAATTATATTAAATTCTGGATTGGATTCAGCATTCTTTGTAAAATATTAAATCTTATCCAAAAGTTATATCATGATTACATTCTAACATATTTATTAAATAAAACAATGCTCCTGTGTTGCTGTGTTTATAGAGAGCAGAAGTATGAAGTGTACAACCAGTTTACCAGATCTATGGACAACAGTGTTAAAGAACTACTAGCAGTTGGGAATCTTCACTGGAAAAGATGTACAGGCCGTGAGTGCTCATAATTTCTGTATTTTCAAATACGATAAGTAGATTATTTCATTACCATTACTATCTGGTGATTTTTTTCCATAATTTAAATCCTCTGCTTTTAAACCAACAGCATTGCAGAAGGAGTATCGGCAGATTGGAAAGGCATTTCAGAACATGTCATCAGTTTTCAACACCAGTGGATACCCAAGTAAGAACCTGATGATTTGTTGGTTTAAAACATAGATCTCAAACTCGATCCCCGGAGGGCCGTAGCTGTGAACAGTTTTGTTTCAACCCTAATCAAGCATAGCCGATCTAAATAATCAAGATGTTCAAGACTATAATAGACTGCTAAGCAGTTCTGAGTTGGAGGTAGTTGAAGCTAAACTACGCAGAGCTGCAACTTCCAGGAATTTAGTTTGAGACATTGGTTTAAGAGATGGTTTAAGAGATAGGGATGCACAAAAAAGAAAATATATTAATAATTTACTTATCCTTAAGTGGTTCCAAACCTTTATGAGTTTCTTTTTCTGTTGAACTAAAAATAAGATAATTTGAACAGTGTTGGTAAACAATAGCCAATGACTTTTACAGCAGTGAAAATAAAATATCTCTAAAATATCTTCTTTTGTGTTCAACAGAATAAAAGGAAACTGGTAATGGTTTGTATCAAATTGCGTAAATGATTCATTTTTGGGGAGAACTGTCTCTTTAAACATGTAGACATGTTCACAAATATTACACATTTTACACACAAAAACTAATCTTTTAGCTCACCTAATCATGTGTTTTGTTTTTATTATGTTAAGGGGAATCAACTCTGACAGAAGCATTAACTGCAACAGGGAAAACGTACGAGGAAATAGCGGAAGTCATTGCAGCTCAGGTATCAAAAATACATCAAAAACTGTTCAGTCCTTGAACCTCCACCACTGCCATTCACTCCTTGTTAGCAGGTTTCCTCACTTCCTACACTGCTGTTTCCACAGTTTGATAGAATTGTAACCGTCAAGGCTGCACAGTGATAACAACATCCGCGATTGCTGGTTTTAGTATTGTCCATGAGTTTAAGCCGTTATTTCTGGCTTTCATATGATAACATTTTGTTTGACAGCCAAGGAAAGATCTTCATTTCCTGTTGGAAACAAACAACGAATACAAGGGGCTGCTGGGCTGCTTCCCTGACACAATAGGAGTTCACAAGGTAACAATCTGTGTGCTTTAATGCATTTAATAATCATATTTAATTGACTCACGAGATTTAAATTGAATTAATTAATATAATGCAAGTTATTCAGTACTGTGACACTTAAATGGCAAAAAAAACTCTAATTTTAGTTTTCTAAATTTATGAATTAAAATATAAGTTAGTCACAAATAAAATAACTAAGATAAAGGACATTTTAGCTCTGATATAAAGTATATTTAATATTATACACTTACTTGTATCCAAAGCAACAAGCAACTTACAATTCCCAGTTAGTCTAAAGCCTGGTTTATACTTCTGCGTCAAGTGACCGGAGTAACCCACGGCGCATGCAACGCGCATGGCTGTGCATTTATACTTCTGCGCGCTGTCTCTGTTGGTCTGCATTAACACTTCCGAAACGCTAGTTGGCAGTGAGGTGTTAATGCTCCTCTGTGTCGAGTTTCTTCGCTGCTGTTTTGCGTTTCCTGGACACTTCCTGGAAGCACAAGTGGCTCAAACTCGCTCATTTTGAGGCAGGAACCGGCGGACGTGCAACAACTTTAACTATGAGGTAAACACAAAACAAAACTTTCAGACTCGTCAGCGCTACCAAGCTGACCAATCACAGAGCTTGCGATATGCGTCGTTGTGACGTGTAGTTACATTTTTTGAGAGGTGCACATCAGTGACGCCGACGGCCACGGCGAAGGGCTATGCGTCAGCGCCGTAGCATATGCAGAAGTATAAATCAGCCTTAATGCAGTATCATATATATAATAATTGGCCCTCCTTTAACATATTTGTTTTTTTTTTTTTTACATTTCCCAAGTGCTGTTTTTATTATACAGTTATGTATAATACAATTTTATTATATTTAAAAATTTTATTTTTTTATTTTATCATGTGATTATACAGTTTTTTAACACGTATTTTAATGTAATAGTTTTAATAGTTCAGCTTATTCCTAATAGCTCGTTTCTTCTTTTCCTCTTCGCCATGATGACACATAATATTTTACTAGTTGTTTTGCAAAATTCTAGTATTTAGCTTTAAGTGCAATTTAAAGGCTTAGCTATGTTAATTAGGTTAATTATGCAAGTCATTGGACAACAATGCAATGTTCTGCAGCATTTCGGGAAAAAAACTGAAGGGGCTAATAATATTCACTTTAGCAGTTTTTACATAAGAATTTTTGTATTCATATTATTATTATTATTATTATAAGACTTTCTAGAGATGTAAAATATAGGGCTTTATCATGCACTCGGCGCAATATGGCGCAAGATGTGTTTGCCGCGATGTGTTGCTATTTTCAGACCAGGGCAACATTAATTTTCCCTTTTTACATCACGTTGTTTAAATAGCAAATCTATTTGCGCCACCTTGTGGACTCATGGGTGTGCCGGTCTAGAAAGGAGGTGTGTTGAGGCGCATTGTTGGCTTGTTGCTATTTTGAGGAACTAAAATAGACTATACAATAGACCAGCTGAAAGTAGGTCTAAAGTCCAGCGCAGAGCATGTTAGTTGTGCGGCTTAAATGCATGCACATTGCTTGATACACACAGTATGTACAGCAATACACAAATATATTTAGAAATAAAAAAGAATTAAAGGATTAAAATGTTACAAAAATTATTGTTCATGACAACTTGCTTTTGTACAATGTTATTATTATCATTAGTATTATATATTATATGCATATTTATATTTGTTTTATTAAAAACAAGCTTATATTTGTCCACCTGTCAGGTTTTGGACCATATGGAGCATAGCATGTGTGTTTGGATATAACTTGCACTTCGTTATTATCATTCATTTATTCGTTAGTTGGAAATTGGAACTGAATTTAGAAATAGTTTTGAAACAAATCTTTGCACTTTAACAAAATCAAATATGTAGGCTAATAGATGTCTTCTGTGGAGTGCGTACAACACCGTTTCCTTACTCGATGAAAGAGAGAAAGTGAAAGTGAACAGGCCAAATTGAGGAGGCTCGTTCTTTATCCTTGTGCTGCAGATGGTCTGTTCAACTGTTTCTTGCTAGTGACGGTTTTCAGGTTTTCCACTTACAAAGCCTGACATTTAAATAGCAAATGCACCATGGTGGATGAGACTCTGATTGGTTTATTCTCAAAACACACCCATAACTCATTAAGAGAATAAGCACAACCCTGTTAGACCATGTGCCATGGCGCAAACCATATTTTTTCATCTTTAAAATAGCAAAAGATTCGGGCACCCCCTTAATGCTTTTGCGCCCTGCGCTTTAGACTTTGCGCCTAGATCATAACAATAGAGCCCATAGTAGGAAATACTGTGGGAAAATGTCCTATTGTTTTCTTTTAAAACGGAAAATTAAATTAGACAATGTTTTAATAGAAAGAAATAGTGTTGTAAACAGAAAGGACAAAATATTTTAAAGAATCACTTAAATTAAAAATTTAATAAAAAATAAAAATCTTTTATTCTTTTATTAAAGGGCATCTGTGATGAAATAAAATAAGATCCAAATCCCTCTCATTTTGAGGCCCAACGCAACATGACGTAGGAGTGAAATTTCTCCGCCAACCGAAATGATTAACAGCCGCTTATTAACATGTCTCTGTAGTAGCTTGTATAATCATATCAACAAGACAAAATGTGCACAAAGCAACCGGGATTAAAAGATCAATCATCAAATGTGATCTAGAATGGGTTTTGCAAGTTTAAAACATTATTAAAACAGTGCATGTTTGAAAGGAATTACAGTGATTTTACTGTCTTTATCACCACAGTCGCATGTCAGTACAATTATAAAAAGAGCTGCTTCAATCTCGTTTGTGGACGTTAAATCTGATTTATTTTGTACATTAACATAACATATCCATACAGCAGTGGATATTAACATGTATCCTGTCACATTTGCCATGCAAAAATAGTGCAAAGTTAAAGGCATGTGCTATGTGTCCCCGCTGTGTGTATGACTGAACGACATTGTGTGTGATCATCGAAAGACTTGAATTAACTCCACAACAAATACATCAAATAATCATTGGGAAAGTTCTTACTGTAATATTTTTCACAAACGTTACGTGAGATCTGATTTGGTCACTGTGCTGTTTATCTGAAGCAGCTGGAGATTGAGGCACACTCTGACAGGCATGTGAGAATGGTGGGCGGAGAGAACTAGCATTAAAGGCACAGGCCACAAAATCAGCTACATTGTGTTCAGAGCAGAGAAGTCCAGTATTCTGAAAGCTATAATAAATAATCTGATGTGTGTTTTGAGCTGAAACTTTATAGACACTTTCTGGAGACACAAAAGATGCATCTTAAGTTTTAAAAAAGGGTAAAATATGTGCCCTTTAAGCATTTTCCAGTTCCTCTTTTCTTTTAAATCATTAGTAGTCAAACAGTAGAAACAATCCTGAATTTAGAATTGTATTCTCAGCCTTTATACCATCTACCTAAGCAATACCAATGTGGAACATAAACATGTTTTTTTTCCCTCAGGCTGCCATTGATAAAGTGAAAGAAGCTGATCATTTGGTGATGACGAACAAGATCAGCCAGCAAGACAAACACACAATGGAAAAAAACCTCAGCACCATGTCTTACGCATTACAAGGTATGTTAGTGAAGTCTCTCCATGAAAGACTCTGTCACAGTGGTCCATTCTGCTAGATGTCTGATATTATCCTCACCTGCACCTGTGGGCTTTAATTATAGTGTTGATCGCACGTGTGTAATGTTAGACCTTTGTGCCGCTTGCGTCTCCAGCGGAGATGAATCACTTTCACAGCAACCGCATCTATGACTACAACAGACTCATGCAGTTCTACCTAGAGGAGCAGGTCAAGTTCTACGAAACGGTGAGTGGCGGAACAACGTAAACATGACATATGGTAATAGAGATGCACCGATCTTGATTTTTCATAGCCTGTTCTGAATAGCATTTTTTAAGCAAATTGACTGATTATGATTTCATTATTTTGTAAAAAGCCTGAAAAATATGATTTAGGTAGGAGTACGTGACAAATATTTTCTTTATTTGTTTTGTTTCTATCCAAATAAGCAAATTCACTAAATATTCCATAAAACATTTGCAAATATAGCAATCTTTTCTTCCAATAAGTCAAAGAGAACAAATTCATCACTGCCTGATAAACTGGAGCCAAATTTTAGAAAGAGAGAAGCAACTTTTTCTCACAATAAATTTCTTATAATAATAAAACTTTGAAGCGCAGCTATGCAAATCAATTCTAAAAAGGAAATGTGTTTCCATCATAGTTTATGCATATTTCCATCGTAGTTTATGCATTTCTTTTTATTTATTAAACACTTTTTGTGCATTTTCAAAATGTGTGCGCATCTTGGCCTTTTCATTAAACATTTATTATGCATTATTCTAACATGCATAAAAATTTACAGTTCAAGTAGGAATTATTAGCCCCCCGTTTATTTTTTTAACACATTTCTAAACATAATAGTTTTAATAACTCATTTCTAATAACTGATTTATTTTATCTTTGCCATTATGACAGTAAATAATATTTGACTAGATATTTTTCAAGACACTTCTATAAAGCTTAAAGTGACATTTAAAGGCTTAACTAGGTTAATTAGATAGGCAGGATGGTAATATTAGGCAAGTTATTGTATAATGATGGTTTGTTCTGTAATTTACTGAAAAATATACAGCTCAAAGGGGATAATAATATTAACCTTAAAATGGCTTTTAAAAAATTGAAAACTGTTTTTATTCTTGCCGAAATAAATCAAATAAGACTTTCTCCAGAAGAAAAAATATTATCAGACTTACTGTGAAAATGTTCTTGCTCTGTTAAATATCATTTGGGAAATCTAAAAAAAAAAGGGTTAGGGTTAAACATACTTTTGTTCACTGAACTAAAAATTTTTTTTTTTAAAAGTCAAAGGGGGGCTAATAATTCTGACTTCAACTATTTATATTTGGAAACATGGCTAGTGATTTCAAATGAGCGGCAACCTAATAATTTTAATCACAATCCCAACAAACAGAATAGAGATTGTGGTTTTAAAGTGGATTGTATAATTTTAAAACATAATGACGTGACTTTAGCCTTTAAAAATATGTTAGATAAAAACATACTTGTGCAAAGCGAAAGCAATAGACAGGCTGAGTCAAAATGCAAATTCACTCTGTGCCTGTAAATGGAATGTATAGGACAGCATAGAGAAATAATGGCATTTCTTTGGTTAGTGCTTTAAACAAAGCAGCTGCGCTAGTAATTAATTTGCATTATACTGAAATAATTTAGAGGAATATACTATCTAATCTTTTCTGAATACAGATCCATTCATAGACACATGGAAACCCTCCAACAAGAAAAAATAGGATTTCCTTAGTAATTCCTGTAATTTGCACCTTCAGGTTTCTCACGGAAACTTTTTCCCCTTTTTTTTCAAATTCAACCAAATAATCCACACATAAGATTCAATAACAACACATATCTTGCTGAATTTGACCAACTTTTAAATATGTCAAGTAATATCCCAACAAATCGACTAAATGTGAGTTGTTATAATGAAAACTAGCCAAACACTTTAAGGGGATAGTTTACTCAAAACAAAACATTCTGTCATCATTTATTCACCCTTCACTTGTCACAAACCTGTTTGACTTTCTTTCTTCCGTTGAACACAAAAGAAGATACTTTGAATGTTGGAAACCTGTGACCATTCACTTCCACAGTGTTTGTTTGTCCTACTATCTAAGTCAAAGGTTTCAGGATTTCAGATTTCTACAAAATATCTTCTTTTGTGTTCATCCGAAAAAAAGAAAGGGTAAAACAAGTGAAGCGTGAGTAAATCATGATAATGATGACTTTTCAGCTTTGGGTGAACTATCCCCTTAAAGTCAGAATGAAACCAAGATTTTCTATTCTTATATATGTATATAACAGTGCTTGTTTAAAACAATGTATATGCACGTTATTATTTTGTAAATAATGCCCTCATAATCTTTAATCAAATACCATACCTTTCTCTTGCCCCTCTAAATGATTTTTCTTCACTTCTGGTCACATGGAATGCCTTTGGGGAGGGGCTCTCACCTCGTTTCTGCCTTGATTTTGCAGCTGGCAGTGGTTCGAACAAATATGATATGATCCTTTCCTTAAAATTCAGCTCCTCATTCTCAACATCATCAGGTCTCTAAAAAACATTGTGCACCGGTGGTTGCTGACAATGATTAGGGTTGGCAGTAATCCTCCACAGCTGAATGCAAACTAGCATCTACCTCCATTTTGTTAGCAAGGCCCATCTTCAAATGATCCAATTGGTTCCCAAAGGGTGAAAATGTGCATCACCCTACAAAAAAATTCTCATTTGAGAAACCATTTAAATCAGATGTACATCACGATAGTGAAAAAAGAAAATCTTTTAGTTTCGTGTTGACTTTAAATCTGATCGTTACAGTTTCTTGTTGAAAAGTTAACATCACAGAATGGTGGAAGTGCATATAAAATAATTGAAGGTCGAAAAATGTTAAATGTGTTTAAGTTGATGCAGGATATCTTGTGTTTTTCTGTGAGTGCTCAGTTATTCTAATGTGTACAATACTTCTGTAATATGTGCTCCATCTTAAGCATATCTGCCTTCTGTATACCTTTCCCATGCACGCCTTGTTGTATTAAATTCTTGCAGAGCAGCTTGTGTGCAAGTCCCGACAGAATTAAACCAAATTCCAGATTAAGTCCAGTCGATCGGTGCATCTCTATATGTAATGCAGCAAACTTTATGTCTTTAAATATGACATTTTCCTCTGTTCTCATTGGGTAGATTGCAGAAAAGCTGAAGAAAGCGCTCGGTCAGTACACCACCATATGAGGACACAGTCAAAACAGCAATACTCATCAAACTGTCATGGGAACATCAAAAAAAAACTGATGCTGCTTTTGCTCTTTATAACATTAATTCAGAATTAACCATCTTGTTTCCACTTAAATGTATTAAAGCTTTGTGAAATATAGAAAATATAGGTTATAAGGGAACAAACTATGTAAGATTCTATTGACTAACCAATTATTTTGTTCACAGAAAGAAGATTTAATCAATTGTATCTGTTACTTGTGCTAATGCAACACACTCCTGATAGTAAGACATGTCGTTTTCTGTGCAAATCGAAGTCTCTCAGGGATGCGTTCACTCGGACTGGGCCTTCTAAACCAAAATGGAGTTTATTAACGTCTTAATTACATTTTCAGACATGATTTTATTTACTTGTAATGTGTGAAATAATATGTGAATCTGCAGAGTCCTGCGATTAGGATGGCAAAACTCAGAAGACTGATTGCCTGCTGGTTCTCTTAAAGCAGTGTTTCTCAACCATGTTCCTGGAGACCAACACTGCATGTTTTGGATGTCTCCTTTGTGTGTCACACCCATTACAGGTCTTTCAGTCTCTGCTAATGAGCTGATGCTCTGAATCCGGTGTGTTTGGTTAAGGAGAAAGGGAAAATGTGCAGTGCTGGTGGTCCTCCTGGAACGTGGTTGAGAAACGCTGCCTTGAAGGCATAGTTCACCCAAAAATGAAAATTCTAAAATCGTTTACTCATTCTCTGTTTGAGATTCCATTGAACACAAATGAAGATATTCTGAAGAATGTTGGGGAGAAAAAAACAGCTATTGATTTCAATTGTATCTTTTTATTGCTGCTTGTGCTGTAAATGGCCACAACAGTTAATAATCAGAATAATTTGTTTTGTGTTCAACAGAAGAAAGAAGTTCATAAAAGTTTAAAACCACTTTAGTGTGAGGAAATGTACCTTTTTTGGTGAACTATCCCTTTAATATTTCCTGTGGGTTTTTATTGTTTTTATTTATATGTAAAATAAGGTCTGTGGTTAGCATAACTAGAGGATTCTTTTACATTTTGTGGTGTACTAGTGCAAACTGCACATGCACACACCAAAGATTTTATCTAGCTTTCTGGTAGCAATGTAGTTTTAAAAAATAAACAACTGTTTTAGTCTGTGCTAAGTTCAATATTCATTGATTATCACACAACTTTTACTCAAACATTAATTTGCTCACTCTCGGGCCATGACTTTTTCCCTCAGAAGTACATAAACAAATAGCTGAAACTTGGTGATTCATAAATCGCTAGTCATCTGCTGCTGGCACTTTGAGTACACGAAAAATACAAGCAACAAAGTTAATAGCACTGATTCCTGATAATACATTGAGGTCATAGAGGAAGTGCTAAAGTTTGAGATTGTCCTGCATAAACAGCATTTGAATGCTGAACTTGAAGTTAACAAACAATTTAGACTCGCTTACAAATATTTTCCACTGCTAGATTAAAGGTAATGTTGTAAATAATGTTGAGTTTTGTTCACAGACTGATTGTTTTACTTTATAAGACCTCTGTGTATTGTCAAGAGTCATTTTGTTTTGTCTGTATGCGTTTTGTTTTCTATTTGTTTAACTATCAAAATGACAGAAACTGCAGAAAAAAAGCTTTTCTTACTTCGATTTTTTTTTGTCTTGTTTCTATTCCAAATATCTATAAATTCTTAAATCAAGAAGCATTTTCTAGACAAGAAAAAACATGTTGTCTTGTTTAAAGAAATAATATGCTAAAATTAAGTGAGTTTTTCGTTAAAACAAGCAAAATAATCTGCCAATATGGTAAACGAAATAGCCATGTTATTCCTTTTGACATATGATTATTTTACTTACCATATTGGCAGATTATTTTGCTTGTTTTAAGGAAAAACTCACTTCAATGTGGCATACTAGTTCTTAAAACAAGATATGTTTTACTTGTCTAAAAAAATTCTTCTTGATTTTAAGAATTTTTGATATTTGGGCTAGAAACAAGACAATCTAAGACAAGTGAGAAAATCGTTTTTTGCAGAGTATTAATAGCAAATTCCAACTATTATCTGAACTATCCCTTTAGTTTACTAATAAATTAAAATCGAATGATCTTGAAGGAACCAGTTGCAAATGAGTCTTCCAGATTTTGAGGTCATGTCTGCGGCACTCCGTTGGAAATGTCTGATATTTAGTGTTATGTATTGGAAAAAGTAATAAGAAGTTGTTTTTTGTTTTGTAAAATGTTGTGTGAAAAACAAGTAGAAATGTCCCTGTCACAGTCAGTGTATAAAATGTTTGTAACTAGCCCTCTGGTGTGTAATAAATCTTTCTTTATATACCATTGTAATAGAAGGGAGTGCTCTGCAGTTTTTTGGCAGGGTGTCAAAATTAACTTTAGCACAAAAATATCCCATTTTGAGGAAATAGAAGTTACGCCGTATATTTATGCTTGGTCAGGATCCGTTTTCTCCTTTCTAGAAAGGAAACAAATATTTGACCTTAGAAAGGAAAAGGAGGAAGTGAGTATAATGACCTGAGTGTAGTGTGTGTGTGTGGGAGAGAGAGAGAGAGAGTGACCTCAAGCATGGAAACACACTTTCTCTCCCAAATCTGTTTCCTTCCCTTAAACACTGGGTGGATTTAGCCTTTCCCTCAGTTCTGGCTTGATACTTTTAGGAAAACATAAAAGAATCTCATGCAAGTGATCATCAACTGATGTGATGCCCTTCAGAACTTCATTCATTCCAGTTTAATGTTCATTTTCTGGTCAGATCCACCCTTCCTGTTAGTGTGTGATAGGCAGAAAGAGTCTTGGTGGAGGCTGCAGATATGTTTATCTCATTGTGGCTTAAAGCACAGAGGTGGGACATCCAAAGTCAAAGATAAAGCTGTAGATAATATAGCAAGACTTTATATTTATATATACATGATCGTGGTACACATACAAAATGTAAACAGCATTGTTAAATATACATTTAGGCATTGAACGGCTTTACATTTGGGATTATTTGAGCACTCCTACATTACAGAGAAATATTGAGGAGAATAGCCATCATATTTACATGTGTCAGGTGTAGGACATCTATTCATAGATTTTATAATATTCATATATATCATTGGTGCTATTTGCAACAAAGCCTTTAATACAACACAAGAAAATCCTTATTGAGAAAGACCTTAATATTTGTAAATGAAAAATCATTTTGATGACACTGCATTAATGGGGTAGTTCAACCAAAAATGAAAATTCTGTTCAAATTCTCACCCTTTACTTGTTTCAAACCCTTCTGATATTTAGAAAAATGTTGAAAACCTGTAATCAGTGCTGGGGATAGTTACTTTTGAAAGTAATGCATTACATTATTGAGTTACTCCCCAAAAAAGTAACAAATTGCTTTACTTGGTTATTTTTTATGGAAAGTAATGCGTTGTATTACTTTTGAGTAGGGCCAGACGGAATCTGCAGACATTTTTTGCTATTTCTGCGCAGAATGTTGTTAAAAATCTGCGGATTTATGTGGAATGATTCTGGGAGTATCATGACTAAAACCTTAATATATCTACTAAAAAGTAATACCTTTGTAACTTTTATTTAATGTTTACAATGCAAGTCCAATTAGATCCACTTTTTGGTAAACAAAGCAAGTCTCTCATATAATATCTCTATTAAAAGACAGAAAATATGACTTACTACAACTATATTGTAAATAAATCATATAAATATTAGTCAATAATATTACTGAAATTAATATAAAAACGGAATAAATATAAATGTACACACATTTACACAAGCAAATAAACTAAATCAATGATGAGCAAAAAATCTGCCGAGTTCTGCGTGCTCAGATTCCGTGTGGGCCTTCTTTTGAGTTACTTTGGTGTTACTTTTTCTTACCTTTTTTAATAGAGGAGCTCTGCAATTAACACTGTATAAACATTGACCTTTAAAAAAACACATCAAATAACGAGAAAAGTAAAAAGAGAGAAAAGAGTCTGAAAATTTGAAGTAGTTTAAAAGTTTAAATCATAGAAGTAGTTTTAAGAAGTTTGAAACAGTTAAACCTACATGCATGCATGCATTGGCATGTTTCTTGCTAGGCTGTTGATAGGGGGTTCGGAGTAGTTGTTAAGGTGTTCTGAATGGTTACTAGGGTGTTCTTAGTGGTTGCTAGGCGGCTGCTAAGGCATTACTACGGTGTTTTGACTGGTTGTAAGGGTGGTTGCTAAGGTGTTCTGAGGTGTTACTAGGGTGTTCCAGGTAGTTGTTAAGGTGTTGCTAGGCGGTTGCCAAGGTGTTCTGAGTAGTTGCTAAGGCATTGCCAGGGTGTTTTATGTGGTTGCTAAGGTGTTGCTTGGTGGTTGCTAACGTTTTGCAAGGCAGTTGCTAGGGTGTCGGTAGGTGGTGGTTCGAGTGTTCTCAGTAGTTGTTAGGTAGTTGCTTAGGCCTTGCTAGGTGGTTGCTAAGGTGTTGCTAGGCAGTGCTGGGGTGTTGCTAGGTGGTTGCTAGGGTGTTCAAGTTGGTTGCTAGGCGGTTGCTAAGGCGTTGCTAGGCGGTTGCTATGTGGTTGCTAGAGTGTTCTGAGTGGTTGCTGAGGTGTGCTAGGTGGTTGCTAAGGTATTCTAGGTCATTGCTATGGGGTTGCTAGAATGTTTAGTGAGGTTGCTGGCTGGTTGCTAAGCATTGCGAGAGTGATCTGAGTGGTTGTTAAGGTGCTGCTAGGTAGTTGCTAAAATGTTTCTAGGCAATTCATAAGGTGTTCTAGGTGTGCGCTAAGTTGTTGCTAAGTGGTTGCTGGGGTGTTCTGAGTGATTGCAAAGGTGTTGCTAGGGTGTTCTGAGTGGTTGCAAAGGTGTTACTAAGGTGTTCTGAGTAGTTGTTAGTCAGTTGCTAACATATATTAGCATGTTCTATTATGAATTAGCATGTTGCTAGCATGTTTCTAGCATGAATTAGGATGTTGTTAGCATGAATTTAATTTTAATTAGCATGTTGCTAGTATGATTAGTATTTGTTAGTATGGTTTAGTATGTTGCTAGAATTAATTGGTATATTTTTGTTAGTATTTGTTAGTCAATGGGAGTTTTTTTACAATGGAAGTCTATAGGACAGTTGCTAGGGTGCCGTAAGTGGTTGCTAGGGTGTGGCTAGTAAGTTGAAAGGTCATTAGTGATTGGCAGATTGGTAGTCTGAGTTAAATAAGTCCAAACTTACGTCTGTATGACAGTCTGGCACAAAATATGGAAAAGACAGGGCAACTTAATTCAGAATAGTATAAAGTTAGTTTGGTGGTTGTAGTATGAACAGTCTAGGAGGAGATGTGTTCTTAAAATAGTCTAAGAAGAAGAAGAAGAAGTTTTAGTAGTATAACAGCATGTTGGTTTTCCCAAGCCGCCAAAATAATTTAGGATAATGTTATCTTCTGAGCTCTACATACTGTATATACAGATTAATGAAAGTTTGTACTTTTTGTCTTATTAGTCAGGTTAAATAAGCATTGAGACAATCCCCTTTTGTCCCATGCATTAAGAATATTGAGAATACTTCCAGCGCAGAAATGTATGGTTTGGTTTCTGTTTGTTGCTGCAGGGAGAACATTTTTTAAAAGTAAATTAATTAAACTAAAAAGTAACTCAAATATTATTACTTACTTTAAAAAATAATGTGTTACTTTACTTGTTAGAAAAGTAATATTATTACATAACTCGCATCACTTGTAATGCGTTATCCCCAACACTGCCTGTAACCATTGACTTTCATAGTATTTGGTTTTCCTGTAGTTAAAGTCTATGATTACAGGTTTTTAACTTTCTTCAAAATGTCTTCTTTGCTGTTTAACAGAAGAAAGAAACTGATACAGGTTTGAAAACACTTAAGGGTGAGTAAATAGTATGTAAATGTTCATTGATGGGTGGAATATCCTTTTGAAGTTGATTTTTTCACATTAGCTTAATTAATAACAATGAGCAAGACTTTCAGCATTTATATTTAGCTTAAAATCCTGTCATCAGCTCATAGTTCAATAACAACAGTACTTAAATACAATTATGGAATTGAATGAATAAAAATTAAAGTTATAGAGATGTTTTTCATTGTTTGTTTTTAATGTACTGCATGTTTACACTGTTTTTATGCGTTTCATATGTGTATGTATTACATACAATTCAATACACCGAATTCTTCAGTTTGTCAGACACCAGTTGAGACTTTCCCTTTAACCATAGTTGATGTAATTGAGAATGAACAGGTCCTACTGGTGTCTCTGCAGTGTGGTCTTCCACAGGTGCTATGGAGAGAGACGAGGCCTGTATGTGCGCGGCCGGATCATCATGCTCACTTTCTTCAGCGAATAGTAATCCGAGTCCTTCCAAGAGTACCATACAATCCCATCAGGCCCCAGCAGGTTCTTCCCTTTGGCAGAGTAACGCCCCCCCTGGTGGTCAACAAAACACAAGAGACAGTCAAAGAGAAAGTTGACTCAAAAACTCACATTCTGTCTCTATTTACTCTCCCTCCACTTCATCCAAACTTGTTTGAGCTTCCTTATAGTGTCAAAAACAAAAGAAGATATTTCGAAGAATGTTGGAAACCTGTACCCATTCATTTTTATGGTATTTTTTTCTTACTCTGGATGTCAATGACTACCGATTTCCAACATTCTTCGAAATATCTTCTTTTGTGTTCGACAGAAGAAAATATTTACATTTAAATTTATTCGTAACATATATATTTGGAACCACCTGAGGGAGAGTATATTTGCAGTTTTGGATGTACTGTCTGTAAGTTGGATGAGTTTATATTTTATGTTTTGCCATGTTTCGATTGTCCATTTATTGGTATTTGACCTTGTAATAGACTCCGTTGAGGTTGGCAAAGAAGCACTGATGGTACCACCAGCCCCCGTGAGAGATCTCGGCACAGATGTCTCCTGTGTCTGGAGTGCTGAAGCTTTGCTTGTCGTGATACCAGCCAAACGAGTCCTCAACCGTACCGCTGAATCCTGAGACATGGAGACGGTAGTGGTTGTCTTCATTCTCAATCCTGCAAAGGCAAGAAAGACGTTTTGTGCTCAAAATACATGTTTAGAGCATCTGTACAGATCTTACTTCATTTAAAACTGGAAAAATATTTTTAGTATTCAGTATGTCAGTATTTTGGCAAACAGGTTCAGAAAAAAAGCACATTTAGACTTTTTACTTTTACCTTTTTTTACTTGTGCATAAGTGTTGTAATGAAATAAAACTGTAATAAAAATATGATGATTTTAAAATGCATTATGTTGGTTGTTTTTTATTATATTTATTTAATTTAATTTGATTATATTTGTGAATATCTTATTTTCCACCATGGGATAAAGAAGTAAAATAACTCAATTTTTTTTGAGCAATTCTGACTATAAACTTGCAATTTTCAGGGGGAAAATCAAATTTTTACTTTTACTTTTTTACTTCTTACTCAAAGTTTTAATTCATATTTGACATTCTTGCAGAACTACAATCGCAAGTTGTCTTGTCACTCAATTTCTGATTTTATTTCTCAAAATTTATTTCCTGACAATTGCAAGTTTATAGGCTTACTTGCAACTCTGACTCTGTTCTCAAAATTCTGCATTAATACTTATAAATTTGAGTCTGAAGAGACTTAAGTCTGACTTTTAAACATTTTAAAATATGTGGAGATATGTCAATAAACCAGCTTAATGGAGTTCAACTAGGCCATACTGTAAACCACCAAAACCAGTACAAATATACACATGCACAGAGAGGTTTGTCAAGCCCACTCAACTGTGAGACGCACACTCAATTACTTAAAAACTCAGTACTCAATTACTTATTAAAACTCAGTACAAGAGACCTGTATTTCTAAATTCAAGTGTTTAGAAATAATTAGATTGCTTCCAAATGTTTACCAGAAGTTCTGGTAGAGTGCGTGTTTGTGCTTGGAATTCCAGTCCTCAAGGTCAATGCGAAGCGAATACTCTCCCTGGCTGGAGATGTCATGGATGTGGTCATTTCCCAGCCAGAATTCTGCATGCAGATCTCCAAAACCATCCCTGTATTCTGTCCATTTACGGTTGAAATTAACCTTTCCGTCCTGCCGACGTTGAAACACTGTCCATCCACCTCCTAATCAAAACAACATTTCTTAAATCTCCAAGAACACAGTTTGATAAATCCAACAAAAACTACATCTTTATGAATGCTTTCATAGTAAAATGTAAATAAATAAACCGCAAACCTTGTGTTTCCATATCACAATAAACTTCTACCGGAGTCGATCCCAATGAGGGGACAACAGTAAAAATCCCAGATCTGTGAACTCCATTGTAATACAGGGATGCACAGTCAATCGGGCAGTTTCGTATGTGCTGAACCTCTGAGGAAATAAATATTAAATTAAATCAAGCTATTGTTACAAATAACCAGATATCTTAGTACTGAGTTCTGAGTTGCCAATGACCCTAAAGAAGCACCCTACTTTTTTGGAAATAGGTTAATTTTGCATGTTTTACTATTTTTAAATCCATTCAGATGATTTCCATGTCTGGCAGGAGCACTTTTAGCTTAGCTTAGCATAAATCATAGAATTGGATTAGACCATTAGCATCTCACTCAAAAAAAAAATGTAATCATGTACTAGGGCAAATAGAAAATGAAAAGAACTATACACTCATTCTGCCGTTATAATCCAGGAACTTTGCTGTCATTTGGCTACAACAGGCACAATGACAGGCATTGTTACCTACTTGAACACTATTTTCAGACACTAAATAATATCATTGTACCTCCTACAGCCATGGTATGACAGCAAAGTTCCTTAATTATTACTAGAATAGCGAGGTGCTAAGGATCTAATCCGGGGGTGTCAAACTCAGTTCCTGGTGGGCCACAGCCCTGCACAGTTTATTTCCAACCCTGCTTCAACACACAAGCTGCGGTCACACTGTATTTTTCACCCCTTAGACTTCCTTTTATCCCATCACATGATTGTGTGAGACCAATCGAAGATCGGAAACATGACCCCTCTGTAGAGAAATAACATGAACCAATCTCTCGCTTTTTTAATGTCTAATCACCTTGTTTTATCCCGCCCTTTTTTGCAGCACTGTACAACAGAATTTCAAATGCACAAACTCTAGTGTGACCGCAGCATTACCTGTAGGTTGTAAACAAGCCTGAGGGACTCAATTAGTTTGAACAGGTGTGTTTAATTAGGGTTGGAACTAAAACACGAACCGAGTTTAGCACCCGTGGTCTAATCTGATTCAATGATTTATGCTAAGCTAATCTATGCTAAAGTGTTCCTATCAGACCAAGAAATTGCCGAAATTAACTAATTCATAAATGGCTAAACTCAACTCTAGGTGGCTTGTAAAGCCTATTTCCGCAAAAAATACATTGCAATTATATTATTTTTCATTATTCTATTTGTTTATTTTATCAACTGCCACTGAAGAGATTGTTCACCCCAAAAAATAAACCTGCATTATTTACTAAATAGTTTACTATCGACTACCAAATGAAAGTTGAATGTGCCTTAGTGGCCTATCATGCTATGACCCTGTAAGACCTGAAATATCAAAAATTAGGCAGAAAATTCACATTTTCTGGAACTAAGATGTTTATTAAACCATATAGCAAAATCAAAAAAAATTCTAACACTTTATTTGGATGGTTCATTTGAGTATTAGTAGACTGTTTGCTTGATTTCTGTTGATACTGCTCCTTCAATAGACATTTAACTGACTATAAGAAACTTTGCAAGTACATGTCAACTTACACTAACTCTAACCCCAACCCTAACCTAACAGTCTACATATAATCTAATAAGAATTAGTTGGCATGTAGATGCAATGTAACTTAAATTAAAAACAAAGTGTGACCAAAAAAAAATTGCCATATACATTTTATTCATGATATTTATTTTGCATCACCTTTGATACATCGGGTGTTTGTGCAACTTTTTGCTCATAACAATGTTAATTTTAATTACAAAAAAAAAGTTTGCCCTTAACATTTAGACAGCAGAGAACATTTCAGGCAGTTTTTCCTTTTATGTTTTTTTTTTTATGTTTGTTTTTAAAAATATTTTACTTTAGTCTTTTATTGTTTCACTTTGTAGTAGGCGTAATAGCAGTTTCAGTCCTTGTTCAGGCAAAGATTCACTTTAACTTAAACAGTACACAGAAGTTTAAAGTGATTGCTGGAGCAGTGCTTTTATCTTCTGTCAGGTTTCTCCATGTTGGAAAATGATGTTTCCTGCATTCTAACATAAAAAGACACACTGCAGCTTGACCTTTTATAAGGTGCAATTATTGTAGAAATACCCACAATGCGTTTTAAGTTGACATTTTAGTCACAAATTAGATTAATTTAATCATCAAAATACTGTGTGTTTGCATTGTAGTAGGTATGAGTCAGATTACATTACAAAAATGTGACACGATTGTTCAGGAATAATGCACCTTTTATACCTGTTGTATCAAATTTGATACATGAATTTTGAACACAATTCATTTGTAATGTAATTAATTAATTATTAGTTATGCATTGTTTCAGTTAAGTAAACCTTTATTTAATAAAATTATTACCAATAAAAGTTGTATTCTTACTAAAACAACTCAAAATTAGCAAATAGTTTCCAGCAAATAAAAAAACATGTGAGTAATACAATGAAAGCAGCCATTTTGAAAAGGTAAAAAAGGCTTTCCACTACTGCACTGTCATGAAAATTAACAAGAGGTCAAAATACAAGTATCAAATTATATTTAACAAGTTTTCAAGCCAGATATTGATCAGGTTGATATTATATAGGTCTTAGAAACTTGTGTATCAAATATGATACATGCGGCTTTATAGGGTAAAGGTTCCTAAGTTTGGTTTTGAGGTCTCTGGTAATTGATTTAAAGATCAAAAACACTCTATAATTCTCTCATAATAGAAAAATCTACCCTGACAATTTTGTCTTCTTGTTTTAAATGAAGATCCAGACTTTTTAAGCCCCTCCTTTCAAAAAGCCTTCTCTGCTCTGATTGGTCAGGTTTACCCAGTCTATTGTGATTTGTCGACCACTCACTCTAAATTCTCATTAACATATCTCAATTTCATTTCCGAAGGTTTCCTCAACATTTCTATTTGATTATTAAAAATGCTGTAATTCTCATTTTTTGGGGTGATCTATCCCTTTAATTGTCTAATAATATTACTTCCCAAACTGTAAAAAAAAATCTTGGTTGGCCTTAAATTCTTAAGCTGAATCAAATTAACCTTATGACTCCATTGAACTTATATTATGTTAAACTAACATAAAACAGCTTGCATAACTTATAAGATTAAGTTAGAACATGATTAACTTAGATTAATAAGTTAAATATGCTGTCAGGACTAATTGATGATATAATTTTTTTTTTACAGTGCAGTGAGCTGTTCAGTACCTAGTCATGCTGACCTGGATGAAGGGTATCTTGGGAGCTGAGGAGAGGGCTTGTGCGGATGATATTGATCATACAGCCAGGATTGCGTCTCACGCGCTCTACTATCATAGTGAGGTTGCGGATTTGTGTTTGCAGGTCGTAGATGAGTGAACCGTGGATGTCCAGCAGTGCGTTGGCCTCTTCGTAGATCTGGTGCAAAGTGTGGAAACGATTCTCTAAAGACGAGTTTACTCCAAACTTCTCCTCCCTCTGCCAGGACAGAAAACAGCACTCAGCAATTTAAAGAGGACAGATCTATTTTTGCAAACAGGACAACAAATGGAAAAAGTAGTACTTAAGATTAATCATGTATCGTCATTCAGTTTGAAAGTGACCAGACACAAAAATAATAAGTTCTGTGAAGTGCTTTGAAATGTGCATTTTTTTAAATTCAATGTTTGACGTAGTGCAGTAGTGAATGCCAACCCCACCCACCCAAACCCCTCAAAGAATAGCCCCTTACCTTGTTAAAAACAGATACTGCTTCCCATTTCGCATACTTTATTCATTCATTTATTTTTTTTTTCAGCTGTTTCAGCTTTATTTATCTGGGGTCGCCACAGCCACAGCGCCAACTTATTCAGCATGTTTTATGCAGCGGATGCCCCTCTAGCTGCAACCCCTCACTGGGAAATCCCATACACTCCCATTCACAAACTACAGACAATTTTAGCTTAATTCAACCAGAGCACCCCAGGGAAACCCACACAAATGCGAGTAGAACATGCAAACTCCACACAGAAATGCCAACTGACCCAGCCTAGACTAGAACCAGCGACCTTCTTGCTGTGAACAGCGATGCCCAATTGGCATACAATCCATCCTAAATAGTTTTTGAAAATATTAGTTTGTCCCAAATCGTTGTAGCCTATATGTTGAAAAGATGCCAAAGGATACCGGATGGTTTACTATTTCCGGTCAAATTTAGTGTAACGTTAGTGTAGTCGTCCTCTAACCGTTGTTATTGCCCACAGTAGCGTTTTGGACGTGAATTTGTTTAGAACTAGCCTACAAACGCGGTTTTTGGACGTGGATTTGATTACAACTACAAACTCGGGTGTTAAAAAATAAATAAATAAAAATAAATAAATAACTTATAAACATTATGGTCGCGCGAGACCGCCCTCAAGTAGAGAGGATTCGGTGAAGATGTTTGAATGACTATTAATTAATATCTAGCCAACTGGAAATATTTAAATCGCGTTTTCTGTGTTTATTTCCTCTGCAACAACAATACTTAACTTGTTTGGACATTCATTAACGTCTGAATGAGGAGATTTCTCTGCATGAAAGACTCGTGAATGGGAGATTAACGTGCTGCTGCTTCTCCAATAAGGTAGGAAATGAAACATAAAAGAAATGTGGATGACGTGTGGATGACTGACAGGGCTCATAACCAAGCAACAATTATTTGTTATCGAGGAGTGTCCCAAAGCTTGTATACTGTTCTGTATATGCTCTATATTGTTCTTTTACAAATAAGTACATAGGGCGTAGAATAAGTATGCGGGACGCAGCGATAGTGTTTTGTTTTCTCACAGCTATGGTGTTGTACCACACTATATCCAGTTGCAGTTCAAAGAATTGATTTCACTACATGCTTTTAAAAAGACTATGAAAGATTTAGAAGTTGAAACAGTTTTTGCGGATGTTTTGAATAGTTTGTCAGTGTGATTCACGTGATTTATTTATTTATTTTTGTTTGTTGTCTGGTAGACCCATGTGACATGTATAGTGCCTAATCTTGGCCAGGAGTCAGGACGCTCTTGTAAAAGAGATTTTTAATCTCAATGTGTCTTTCCTAGTAAAATAAAGGTTCTAATAATAATAATAATACATCATTGAAGAAAAAATTCTAATTTCACTCTACTTTTAAGCAAAGACAAACTATAATAAAATCTAAAATGTATGCAGCAAAAAACCCTAAAAAGTAACTTTTACTTTGAATAATTTATTTATTTATTAGCCTTAAAAGAAAAAGCTGTTGAGATTTCTAAATTTTCTAAGACTGCTTTTGTGAAAGATTTATTTTCCATTATTTTATTCACTTGCTCAGTACAAAAAGGAAAAATACACATGCATGTTTTCCCGCAAAGGCATTAAGTCAAGATGACCTAAACAGTAGGCCATGTGAGGTCTAAATGTACCTTGAAGGTCTAAATGATATTGTAAGATGTATATTTTTCTTGGTTGAGTAAGAGCACAAGTGTTCAGTTTAAGCTGTACTTGAGTCAAGGACCTAAATTACCCACAATACTTGAAAATAGTACAGGAACAAATACCAAAGAATTTGTTTTGTAATATTTCAACATTGCTAGCCACGGAAGGTGAAGTATGGTAGGTACTTCATGACTAAATCAAGCATCTGTGTCACAGTGTACGACAAAGAAGTCTGCTACACTTCGTCATCACAGAAAGTCTAGGATGTTCAAATTTTTTCCTCGTCATCCACTAGGGCTGCATTCGAAATCTCATACTTCCCTACAATATTATGTAAAAACAGTATGAGTAGAGCAATATGTCTGCATTTATAGTATTCGACAAACAGTTGGCGAAATTTTTATATTATTGTTGAATAACGTCAAGAAATGCAATGCAAGTCAAGTAAGACAAAAGTAAAGAAAATTTCAAAGGCTAAGGGGAGATATAAACAATATCCCAGGAATACACCTCAGGAAAAAAAGTCTCTCCAAGTACTACCAAAATGACCAGTATTGAAATACAGTAGCGTAGTAGGCCTAATTAAGCAGCTAAAGCTCTGCACAGTTCAAAAATGAGGCAGATTCAATTCTATTATTATGAATATTTATTATTGTCAGCCATTTTAAATATAATAAATAGCTTGAACATTAACACTGCCCTGGGCTTACAGGTAAAAAATAATGTTTAAATTAATATGTGCTTCTAAAAGTTAATTCGATTTTTTTTTATGTGTACTTATTCCTACTTGTTCCTACTATAACTACTTGTTCCTTGGATCTCATAAATATAGGCTATTTGTGACCATTTTCATATATAAAATGTTTTAGAAAAATGTTGAAATAGATGTAGATTTATGACTTATTTGTATATAGTATATTGGAAATCTAAACATTAACTTTAAATATATGATTTTGATTTACAAATTTAATTTAGAAATTAGATCTGCTAACTGCGTGTTATAGGCTTTGTGTGTGAGAATAGCAAGTCGTTAAACCATACCTGTCAACTTTGGGATATAAAAATACAGTATACGCCCCCAACAGCTGTTACAAATATAGGGGAGGAGATTAGCTTCAAATGATAGAATACGTAACAAACATTTGAAAATGTGTAATTTTTTTTTACTTGAATTATTCAGCAATTCCTCCGTGTACCACTAGAAGGAAGCCTCCATACCACTAGTGGTACACGTACCACAAAGAACGACTGCATTAAATGATATACAGACTTGTACAATTCGCATAGCTTTTTAAAATTCATCTAGTCAATTTTGGAATCAGCATAGGTATTCCATCACATGGGTAACATTTTAATCAATAGTAGCACATAATCTCTTTTTAATATGGCGAAACGAAATACGGGACTGCTGCTTCTTAGGATTTTAGCTAATTTTTAGCATTTATCACCAATTATTTTTGATGACTGTGCTTTAATCACAAGCTTTTTGTTTTTTTGTTTTTTCAAAAAGTTGGTCTTTCTAGTATGGTCACAGCTGAACTCGCAAATTTTAATTGTTTTAAATGTATTTTACAGGAATGCAGAGCAGTGTTGGTCACTACTGATCATGTGTTAGTGTGTTGTGAAGCTCTAATCCAGTAACTGATCAGGGTTAAGGAGGTATTAGTACAGAAACAGTGCGCTACTACTCAATACAGAGGTGGAGCACACCTGTTAATATGTGAGCTGTGCTATAAACATATGGACTTTGCTTAGTAAATAAAAACTGAGATGACTCGTAAATCACTTTTATCATGAAATAATTGGCAGGTTCACTTTAGAAAGTATTTAGGTCATAATTTTTTTTTTAAAGAATAAAAATAAAAGTATTAAATATTATTAAACTCAATAAACAACAAGCCCCATGTTGTACTGTACATAATTTTGGCCAAAGACAATATACTTATTTAAAGTGCACTCATTTTACTTGTGTTTTCCTGTTAAACAAGATTCAACATTCTGTATGGACCTTTTTCACAAGACTGCCATGACGCGTTTAACGGTCATCATAATCTTACATCCTGGAAAGTTTGATTTTTTTGTTAAATCATATGAACAATTCTATGCATTTACATATGTAGTATGTCATCTTTGCATCAAATAAAAAAAACATAATTACCATTTGTGTGAAGTGTTTCTAATGCAGTGTCTATGGGACTAAGAGTAAATTTGAAGTTATTCTCTCCTCTGCCTGTCATTATCTATCACAATTTTTTTCTGAAAGTCTTGATAACATCATCTTGGAGTTTTTATCTTACTATTTTAGCAAATAAGATGGTCACACTTTACAATAAGGTTCATTAGTTAATGTTAATTAATGCATTTACTAACATGAACAAACTATGAACATTGCATTTACTACTGTATTTGTTCATGTTAGTTAATGAATATACAGTAGTTCATTGTTAGTTCAGGTTAACTCATGGTGCATTAACTAATGTTGACAAACATGGACTTGGTTGTTAATGATGCATTAGTAAATGTTAAATTATGATTAATAAATGCTATACATGTGTTGTTCATGATTAGTTCATGTTAGTAAATGCATTAACTAATGAACCTTATTATAAAGTGTTACCAATAAGACTGTAAAAAAATATTTGTTGTACTCTCCCATTCACTGCACTCTAAGTTTACCCAACTACGACGACTTCCACGACTGAGAAACCCAGAAATTTGAATAGGGTCTGTTGGGTCCCCCAAACCAGGGCTTGTCGTCGAGAAGATGGTGTCAATTGTGGTTCAGTTGATCAAATCCATAATTTCTTATTGTTTGGAGAGCAGGGCAAGGAGAGCCTCAGAGATAAAATTAGACAAGACAAGAGGAGCCAGCCAGGGGAAATACGGGAGGGAGAGGGAAAAAATGCCACCACCTTCACCAAGAGCCAAAGAAGTTGTTGAGGCTGCAATTTAAAGACCTAACTATATTATCAGGCTAATTAGGCAAGTTAGGTTAATTAAGTAAATCATTAGACAACAATGGGTTATTCTGAGTCAAATCAGACTTTTTATATATTAACAAAATGAAAATGGCAAAAAAGAGAAAAGAAAGAAATATTAGCTATAAATTATACATTTTAGGGAAAGAAAAAAAAATGCTTTCTGATGCTTTCTAAAATGCTTCTTTATCTCACAGTTGTTGAGTTTATAACAAATATTTTCGTTTAAATGTCAAATATTTGCCAATTCTGAGAAAAAGTATATGTAAACTCAGATTTCTGAAAAGAAATTGAATAATTTTGAGATATCCATTTAAAAAATGTCAGAAAACAACGTCTTAAGTCATCTCTTTATAGTGAGTTGCAATGAATAAACTGTAACATCTCACATTTCTTAGAACTGTGATTGTTTCTAATAGTTTTGACTTAAAAACCTGCAAATTGCAACCTTTCTGAAAACTCTGAAATATTTATCTCAGTTACCACTTAAATTTAGTTATGAAGTTGCAAATTCAAGCTATAGACTTTCAATTGAGAATCGGCATTCTGCATTTCTGCATTCTCACATTCATAATTTAGCATGCTGCATTTCCAATTTTTTCCCTTAGAACTGTGAGTTGACCTGTCACTTCAAGTCACGTAAAAACCTACTACTGTGACATACAGTTCACAATTCTGGGAGAAATTTTGAATTCATCCTTTTTTTAATCCTGTTGGCAGAAACCTATTGGACTTCATCACAAATTTACAATAGTATCATGAAAGATTCTTTTCATTCTCACTTAATACATATGTTACTTGTCTAAAGCCTGAAAAACAATGATTAATTGGATTTACAATTTTTTAGGGCAATTGATTGCCGAAGATGGAAAGTAATGAAGTACAAATACTTCTTACTGTAATTAAGTCAATTTTTCTGCTATCAGTACTGTACTTCACTATTAATTTTTCTGACAACTTACTTTTACTCCTTACATTTTTAAATCATTTTTAAATTGATTGAGTCAATCTATTTTGTGCGTCTATTAAAAACATTCTAAAACAGTGGTTCTCAAACTATGGTACGTGTACCACTAGTGGTACGCAGGCTTACTTCTAGTGGTACGTGGAGGAATCACTGAGAAATTAATACAATTTTAATCAATTTATATGTACAATAACACCAATGCGATGAGCATTGGCAGTTCTCTATAGTCTATGATCAAAGGGCTGTGCTTAGAATGTTTACTTTTGTGCATCAGCTGCTAATAATCAATCCAATTGGCGGAAAACTAGAGAAAGAGGTGCGAGGTGCTTGCAGAACAGATACACGCTAGAGCAGTGGTCCCAAAAACCCTCGGGCCACAGACCGGCACTGGTCTATAGATTCATTATTTCCATTTTATTTATTATCCGAGTCTGAACGATCATTTATTTTGAAATCTTTTATTTGAAAAAAAAATTCTCTTTGTTATATGTATTCTCTTGTTATATCTTGGTCACTTGAGCGCCAAAATGTAACCCACAGGCTAGCAAAACGAGAAGAACTGCAGCAAGATGCGCTTGTGTATTCCAGGTGCACCCAGATGAAAACATCTTAACTTTTCAGAACGCTGCACCACGAGTCACGTGACAATAACTAATTGATCAGCTTCATATTTTGTATGTAATATAATTTCTCAGACAAACACAGAACGCCCAAACACTGCAGAGCTTTTTAATTTTCTCCACTAATAAAACTTGTATCAGAGTGCAGCAATGTTTTGTTAGCTTGACATCCTCTGAGAAAAACCAAACTACAAACAAGTTAGTGTTTAAATTTCAAAAACTTTTACAAATATGTCATATGTACCATGCAATATATATTTTTAAGTGTATCAAAAATTGTATAAACATGAATACGACCCTGCCTCATTTTCAACTGTGCAGTGCTGTAGCACCTTAATTTGGCCAAACACGCTACTTTGTTTCAATTCTGGTCATTATGGAGGTACTTGGAGAGACAATAAAAAAAAAAAAAAAAAAAAACAAATAGTGTAATCATATGGGCAGCAAGAAGAAAATGAAGCAGCTTTAGCATAATGCAAACAAGTATTTGTAGTCAAATACGTTCAGTTTTTTTTTTTATTTAAGCAAAAGAAAAAAATATATAAAATATGTTTCGGACAAAATAAGGTGTTAAAATTAAGATATTTATTAGTTATAAATAAAGTACTGTATATAGGCAGAAGGATTGCATTTTAGAATAAACAAATGAGTATACTAACAAAAATGTAGTAAATCCAGTTAATCATATTTTTAGTGTTCTATAGCTGTTCTACCTGCAGCTCCAGAACTTTGATGCGATGCCTGTGGTTTCTTAGCTCCTCTTGAAGCTCAGAGATGGTCTCCTTCAGGTCCTGCATCTGCTGTTTTCGCTCCTCATTCTCGCGCAGCCAGTACGAGACCTCATCCGTACAGCGAAACATATCAGGACACCTCTGCTCCTCCATCTGCGGTAATGTGGCTATTAAACGACACTGTCCATTTGGCATCACTTCATTGCTGTATTCACCACACTGCATTAAGGCACTGCTCACTTTATGTGTGTCGGTCTGAGAAGTTTTGTCAGAGTCTGTGGTTTTAGACTCATCAGCAACATCTTTGGATTTAACCACGGAGTTTTGGGCCCAGAATAACAAAGTGTACAGTAGAGACAACTTCATTCTGCATTAGACGGAGGTTTTCCGGGAAAAAAAGTAAAACTTTGTCAGACCTTCAAACCTATTTGGGTCTTCAAACTGGTAAAGCTTATTTCCTTATGGTTTAATGAAGTCACTGGGTCTGTCCAGAGCAGATGGGATGTCATTGAAATGGAGAATCCTGATTGGCCTGGCATTTTCTGGAAATCCTCAACAGATTGCCACCCTATGTTCTGCATGAGGAAATAGTGGTATTAATTGGTTAATAACAAGACACAGATTCATTTAGTTAAAAAAACACACATAGTGTGTTTAAATGTGTGTTTATAAATATATATCATGTTCAAGAAGCTAGTCTGAGATGATTCACGCTTTATGACATGGCGTGTTATCCTGCTGGAAGTAGCCATCAGAAGATGGGTACACTGTGGTCATAAAGGGATGGACATGGTCAGCAACAATAGTCAGGTAGACTGTGGCGTTGACACGATGCTCAATTCATACTAATGGGCCCAAAATGTGACAAGAAAATATCCCCCACTCCATTACACCACCAGCACCAGCCTAAACCATTGATACAAGGCATGATGGATCCATGCTTTCATGTTGCTGAGACAAAATTCTGACCCTAACATCTGAATGTCACAACAAAAATCGAGACTCATCAAACCAGGCAGCATTTTTCCAATCTTCTATTGTTCAATATTGGTGAGCCTGTGCTAATTGTAGCCTTAGTTTCATTGCTCTTAGCTGACAGGAGTGGCCTGGTGTGGTCTTCTGCTGCTGTAGCCCATCCGCCTCACGGTTCAACGTATTGTGTGTTCACAGATGCTCTTCTGCTTATACCTTGGTTGCAACCAGCGGTTATTTGAGTTACTGTTGCCTTTTTATCAGCTCAAACCAGTCTGGCCATTCTCCTCTGACCTATGGCATCAACAAGGCATTTGCACCTACAGAACTCTCACTGGATATATTCTCTTTTTTTGGCAATTTTCTGTAAACCCTAGAGATGGTTGTGTGTGGAAAATTCTAGTAGATCAGCAGTTTCTGAAATACTTAGACAAGCCTGTCTGGCACCAACAACCATGCCACATTCAAAGTCACTTAAATCATCTTTCTTCCCCATTCTGATGTTCGGCTTGAACTGATTGTCCTGACCATGTCTACATGCCTAAATGCATTGAGTTGCTGCCATGTGATTGGCTGGTTAAAAATTTGCATTAACGAGCAGTTGCACTAGTGTACCTAATAAAGTGGCCGGTGAGGGTGTATATTTATATACAAAACAATGAATATATAGTATATTTATTATACAGAACAAAAATACTATGGAAGTCAATAGTTTTCCACCCTTTTTTAAAATATCTTATTTTGTGTTTAACAGAAGAAAATCATAATGTTTTGAAACAAATAAAGGTTGAGTTTATTAAATAAAAATTTTGGGTGCACCATCTTTTAAAATGCTAATTCCGAGTGAAACTGTTTTAAACCATGTATAAGGATTATATCACAGGACTCAACATGAAAAAAAGTTTTAATTTTATCTGAGATTATTCATAATCTATTTGTTTAAGTGCTCTAAAAAAACAACAACCAACAAGCAAGCAAACAAACAAACCTAGCCCTAACACAATGTAATGCAATTATTGCAAGGAGGCTTTTTCTTTATTATGACTGTATGATTGACTCTGACATTTTTTTACATTATTCCACCTAATTATATAACCTAGTTACCTAGGGGGTATATACTGTATATATCGTCACCTTGGATTTATAAGGTTCTATCTGCGTTATGATTTTGAGATGTTAAGCTTCAAAGATTTTGCATTCCATTGCAAACAGTATGTGTGTAACATTTGTTTTTTTAAATACAAAGTCTTAAAATGTAAACAACTTTTAAAAAAACATCCCATAATGTAAATAAGTTTCAATTAAGAATATGTCCATAACTTAATTTTGACAAAAATGTCAGATAGAACCTTACAATTCTAAGGTGATGAAATTTAAAAATAAAAATCCATTGGGCTCAGTACGAAGCCTCACAGCAAGAAGGTCACTGGTTCAAGCCTTGGCTGGGTCAGTTGGCATTTCTGTGTGGAATTTGCATGTTCTCCCCTTGTTCACTTGGGTTTCCTCCTGGTGCTCCAGTTTCCCCCAGTCCAAACACATGTGCTATAGGTGAATTGAATAAGCTAAATTGATCGTAGTGTATGAAAGAGTGTGCATGGGTGTTTCCCGGTGTTGGGTTGCAGCTGGAAGGGCATCAGCTGCGTTAAAAACATATGCTGGATAAGTTAGCGATTCATTCCGCTGTGGCACCCCCTGATAAATAAAGGAACTAAGCCAAAAAAAAAATGAATGAATGAATAAATAAACGTCCATTTACATCTATGATTGGACAAATATGGAAGTCTACTACGCCAAACGGTGGAAGTCAATAGCTGTTTTTTTCACAACCTTCTTCAGCATATCTTCAACAAAAGAAACAAACTCAAATAGGCTTGGAAGAAGTGAAGGGTAAATAAATGATGACAGAATTTTCTGAATTAAAAAGAACTAGCCTATGCATTGCATACAGATGTTTTGTTTGTGACATTGAGCAGCAACTTATTTGCATTTAAAGAGGCACACGGGAAAATAGCTTGTTTTTGCTTCCATCCAAAAAAAAGAGCACACATTAATATTTTAAACAAAAAATTTACAGATAAACTTAATACTTGTAAAAACATCCCTTTAAAACTTTTTCAAATATATATATATATATATATATATATATATATATATATATATATATATATATAGAGAGAGAGAGAGAGAGAGAGAGAGAGAGAGAGAGAGAGAGAGAGAGAGAGAGAGATATTTAAAATTGGGCAATTTACATAAATTTGTCTAATACCTCTTTCCATATTCATGACTCATATTGCCCACTGGGTCTACATTTATCAAGCGTTTAAAGATCATAAGAGATACAATGTGCCTTTCAACAAGTGGATGCAGCTTTACAGATGCACAACATCGTTCAAGAGCAAAATACATCTCCAAACTCCAATCAAAAGCTGAAATATAAGCCTGTGCAATGCCAGCAAACGAAACAAATCCAAAGGAGATTAACAGTTACCTTTTACCAAGCTGGCAGATCTTCTTGTCACTGGGAATGTGGAAAGTATTTCTTCTTTTCTCTCGCGCATTCACTGTTGGTAGGAAATGCTGCTATGTGAAGAGAGTTACTGGGCTGACAGACATCTTATCCTCTAAATCTTCTCTAATAGGATTACATTCACTGTGCAGTGTGGGTGAATGTGCAGCCCGATGAAGATATTCACAGCCTTTTTTTTCTCATTGTTAACTAGACTGAATGTTGCATTTATCCTAAATATCACATTGTCTCTATTGTTTTTTTGATTAGCATGAACTTTTATGAACCATTTTTATGTATTAATATACCTTTTTTTCACCTTATTTAGTCCCAGCATGCTCTGGCTTATTGTGTTAGTGGAGTGTGTGTAAAAAAGCAGTTGATGACATAAACATAAAAGCCGGCAAGGTCAGGGCTCCGATATAATGATGTGTCCTTAATGGACAATACGCCCTCTGAATGGGTTTGCTGCTATCGTTTCGAATGTAGAAGCACTATTGAGATATGGAAGAAGATTTAAGACCCAGTCATTGACTATTTTTTCAGTATTTTATTCCTAAGATTACAAACAATTTTTTTCAAAATTATGACAATATTGCAGTGGCACAGTGGTTATCGCTGTCACCTTACAGCAAGAAGGTCGCTGGTTCGAGCCTTGGCTGTTTCAGTTGACATTTCTGTATGGAGTTTGTATGCTCCCCCTGTGTTCGTGTTGGTGAAAGCTACATTTTCGTAGTGTATGTGTGTGAATGAGAGTGTTTTCCAGTGATGGGTTGCAGCTGGAAGGGCATATGCTGGATAAGTGGCGTTTCATTCCGCTGTGGCGACCCTTGTTTCATAAAGGGACTCAGCCAAAAATAAAATAATGATTGACAATTTTGTTTAATAAACAGATGCAGTTTTAACGCTGATTGGGTGTGAGAATGAATATGCCCACTGCTGTTTAATGCATGTACACAAAAATATGCTGGGTTGTCGTAATCAGATGTTGGATCAAATATGGACAAACCCAATGTTAGAATAATTGTAATGTCAAATAAATTGAAACAGCACGTTTCTATCCACATTTGACCCAATGTTTGGTTCTGACAAGCCAGCATTTTTTATAGTAAAGATTAAGTTACAATAAATCTGCCAGCAATAGTATCAGAAGCACAGTACTAGATTGGACTTTTGCAATATGGATTTTGAGGCATATATACAGTATTTAACAAGTTGTTGGAAACATTTATTTATCAATGGCACATGCATGATGTGATTGTCTCATTTCAGCACAGCCCAGAGATGCTTTAATGGATGGAGATCTGGTGACCGTGGAGGCTATTTGAGTATTAAACTTATGTTACAGTATGTTCAGTAAACCAGTTTGAGATGATTTGAGCTTCGTCAGGTGGTACAGTATGTCATCCTGCAGAAGTCCTCCTTATATATATAACCATATATTCTATATGTATGTTTGTGAAAATTGTTATTTCAGGATTAGACATGTTTCTGCAGCCACATTTGACTGATTTGATGCATCCTGACTGAACAGAAGTGTAAAAGAGAAACTTTTGATATATCGGTATATGGTGTATTTTTGAGAAAGGCAGCAATATAGAAAATAATAATCAGGCTAAAAATAAATAACTATCCATAAATAAAATCTAAATATTCATTTTTTTAGGGTATAATGTGACATTTGATCACATTAATTAATTAAACTTTTCAGTTTATTTTAAAGGTAGTTTTAATAAAATTTCATATTGCTATTTTTTTACTGTATTTGAATAAAATAAATACAGAATTGTTAAGTACAAAAATATAAACACATTATTCTTTTGTATGGTGAATTGTTTATGTTGTCTTTGTTGGGCAGTTTAAATACTAAGACTATTATTATTTTCATTTAATATTTCCTGCTATGCATTATTTTTCATTTTTCCAAAGTAATTTGCCACTTTTTTTTTACAATACAGTGGTGTAAAGTAACAAATTACAACGACTTAAATTACTGTAATTGAGTAGTTTTTTTTTTTTTTAAAATGTAATTTACTAAGTAGTTTTAAAAATTGTGTACTTCAACTTTCACACAGTACATTTTAAGTGCTGTATGGGTTCTTTTGTTCCACTAAGTTCCTTCAACCTCCAGTCACTACTTCTTTTTTTTTTCTTTTCTTGTCTTTGGGGATTAGAAAAATCAGTCCTGTGATTCCTGTCCAATCAAATCGCACATAGAAAGTAAATCGCACCATACTGAACAACCTCAAGACATGGGCAAATTATAAATGCAGCAAACTGTTTGGAAGCGTTAAAAGCATCCAAGAATATGTCCAAAATCTTTACACTCAATGACCCAGAGACTGTTTAGATGCATGTCATTGATAAGAAGATGGCGGATCTTTACTGTAGCATGTAATAATTTGCCGATGTACAATGTGATCCTGGATTAACATCTATTATGTTGTTCCTGGAACATAATTTTTGTTGGAAAATGTAATCCACCTAATCCCTACTCCTAAACCTAACCATGACTATTCAGAGGGGAATAATACTTGGATCACAATGTAGAAGTGCATAAACCTAAGTAAGCCTAAACGTAACATAAACGATAAATGTATCCCTTAATTTTGGGCTAAATGGAATGATGTTCCAGGATCAACAAATATGCTAATCTAGGAACATGTACTTGGTAAAATCAGGTTGGCGATTTAACTGTATGGTGGCTGAAATGTCCCTAAACAATAACTAAATGCACTACAGAATGTTTCGTTTACACACACATCCACAAACTACATGTAAATGCATTAGTTTTTTTACAGCGTAATACTCACTACTCATGAATACTTTTGAAAGGGTTGCATTTTACTCATACTTAGAGTAATATTTACAACTGATACTTTTACTCTACCTGCACTACATTTTTGGGCAAGTAATGGTACTTTTTACTTGAGTATGATTTTTCAGTACTCTTACCACCACTGACCCTGGACCAGTCTTGGGTATATTATTGGCAATAACAAACAAATTGTATGGGTCAAAATTGCTGATTTTTCTCTTTTGCCAATTTTTTTTTTAGAATATTAGGTAAAGATTTAGTACATTTTGCTACTGTAAATATATTAAAACAATGTTTGATTAGTAATATGCATTGCTAAGAACTTAAGACAAATTTAAAGACGATTTTCTCAGATTCTCTCAAATTTCTATTTTTAAATAGTTGCATCTTCAACAAATATTATCCTATCATAACAAACCATACATCAATTTAAAGCTTTTTTATTCTGCTTTAAGACCTCAATTTTTGAGACTTATGGTTTTGTGTCCCCCGTTTAATATATTTGTAAAAATTAAAGTAGATATACCAAAATTTTATATTTTCTCCTTAACCTGAGCTCCTATCAAACCATGTTAACATGATCTTTTGTTCTGTAAACGCATCCAGATGGCTTCCGTCTTCAAATCCTTCACCTTCCAACCAATTTCAATACAGGCTTAGCACCTGTGTGCCCTTACACAGCACAAAACATGCTCTGTAATTGATTTGAAGTGAGTTTAAATCCTTAATCACCAAACTCCTGTAAACTGACACATCTGCCCTTAAACATAATGAGAAAAACCATCATCATTTAGTTAGCCAGACTGAATAAGAATCCCGTACTAATCCTGCACTCATTCACATCTGACTCTTCGCTGTTGACTGACAACAGTTGATTCATTACTCATCCCTGCCATAGATGATGCCGGTGGGTTTCCTACCTGCACAACCCATTAAAAGTCACAGAGTTTGGTGACCTTGAGGAATTGACGCACAGATAGCTTATAAAAGACGATTGGGGGGTCTCAGACATCAGAGACGAGCAAACGCAAAGACAACCAGACACATCCGAGACTCTCAGAGAGAACAACTTTGGTTACTGACTTCTTTCTGTGCAAAAGGTGGGTGAAAAATATCCCATACACTAAAATAATCTGGATTGTTTTCTTCAAAAAATTGGACAAACTGAACAGTTGGGATTGGACAAACTGAACAGTTGGGATTTGTAACTGAACTATTGGGTTATTTGATTCAAATGTTGAGTTAAAACTAACAGATTTTTTATTGATTTGTCTTTTTTGCATATCAGATAATTCATTTAATTGATGTATTTTATTACTTTGAAGTATTATTTCATACTTTCCAACTGTTCTTTCAACTGTAGTGTGCAAACAAATGTGTTTTGAGAGTCTACAATATGAATTTAACATGCTTAAATGTGAATTGTATTGTGTTCTCAGAGATGGTGAGGGGAGTGAGGATGTTGTGTCCTGCTTGGCTCTTGGCTCTGGCTGTTCTCTGCGCAGGAGGATCTGAAGTCAGAGCTCAGTGTTGGGAAAATGCCCGCTGTCGAGACCTCAGCACAGAGGAGAACATCTTGGTGAGTTGCTGGATTCGTCACGGCTTAGATTAATTGCTGATCCTTTACTATTATTATTTTAGATGTTCTGTGCTCTGTAAGTTACATTGTAAGTAACTCCCATTAGAAAATTAGACGTGTACAGTAAGTGCAGAGTTATAATCAGTAAAAATGTCTGTTGGGCAACTATCATTAAAATAATAATTGCTTAATATTTTGTTGATTAAATGGTTGAACAGACTTGTTTTGGGGCTGAACTTTTGGCTTTTTTTTTGTTTGTTTTCTTTTCTTTTTTTTTTTTAGTTGATCATTTGTGACCATAGACTTTAAAACCAGTCATTAACATAGGTATATAATATTTGGCTCAGAAACAACTATTTGAAAATCTGGAATCTTGTGGATTAAAATACAGAAAAAAAAAATATTAAAATTGAGTTTTGATATATTTTAAGTACACTCTCAGAAATAAAGGTACAGGAGCTGTCACTGGGGCAGTACCTTTTCTGAAGATACATATTTGTACCCAAAGAGTCCACAGTGGTACCTCAAAGGTGCATTTTAGTTCCCCAAATGTACCTATAAAGTACCTTCGAGGTACCATTATGGACCCTTCAGGTACAAATATGTATCTTTAGAAAATGTGCTGCCCCGGTGCCAGCTCCTGTACTTTTATTTCTGAGAGTGTAGGAAATTGATAAAATAACTTAATGAAACGGTATATCTACAATTTTGACCATAGACATATTTTGCCATTGCCAAACTATACTTACATTAGATTTGGTTTTGTGGCCCAGTTTCACATTTTATAAATAATTTGACTTCTTTTTTTTCTTCCAGGTACAGCATTTACTCTTCAAAAGTCTTGTCATTATTAAATTGATATAATCAATATTATAGCAGAATATTATATGGCTGGTATACATTTTTGATTTGATAACCTTGGATAAAAATTATCATGGTATCATGGCTGGATATAAATATAAGTTTCACTGTATTACAGTATTGTATTTACTGCTATAAAATTTGTTCTTTTCAAACATTTTCTTTAGAAATAACAACTTTTTTCCCATTTAACACAATACATTTTAGGAACCATTTATACTATTTTGGAACAGTAAACATGTCAGGCTACTACAATAAACCATTGACTATATACTATCTTCATTGGCTTCAAAAACACAGATTTCCTTACAACACATAAAAACACCTAAAAATAACCTTTACATTAACAAAAAGTTTAACAAAACATTTTTGCGATTTTAATACCTTGACTCTTCCAAACCACAGTAAACCTTTAAGCCGGTTATTGTCTTATTCCTACTCTACACCAGTAATGTTTCTTTATTCTGAACAATATAAAATAGCCTATGACATTTTTAAGAATGTTCACAAAAATTTAAATAAAATTCTTTTTTGACATTTGTTTTTGAAAGCCACAATTGTGCAGGATTTTCTTTCCAATCACAATTATAAAACCTCACATAATGCCAACATATTAAACCACGTGTTTTGTTTTTTAACTGTATTATTTTCTCCTCTTAAGGAATGCATACAATTATGCAGGTCTGAACTTACAGATGAAACCCCCGTCTACCCTGGAGAAAGCCATCTACAGCCTCCCTCCGAGCCGGAGCAAATCGACCTCCTCGCACACCTTTCCCCTGTAGCACTCGCAGCCCCTGAACAGATAGAGCCGGAGTCCGGCCCTCGACACGACCACAAGCGCTCCTACTCCATGGAGCACTTCCGGTGGGGCAAACCGGTCGGCCGCAAACGCAGACCCATCAAGGTGTACACGAACGGCGTGGAAGAGGAATCCGCCGAAACGCTTCCGGCAGAGATGAGACGCGAGCTGGCAAATAACGAGGTCGACTATCCGCAAGAAGAGATGCCTTTAAACCCACTGGGGAAGAAGGACCCCCCCTACAAAATGACCCATTTCCGCTGGAGCGTCCCGCCGGCTAGCAAGCGCTATGGAGGCTTCATGAAGTCCTGGGACGAGCGTGCTCAGAAACCACTGCTCACACTCTTCAAAAACGTAATGCATAAAGACCAACCGAGGAAGGATGAGTGAGTGGCTTTAAGGGGGAGAGGTTGTTATAGGGGGATGTTTTGAATATACTTTCTTCCCAGCAAACTTCTGGATGAGAGGTTCTTATCATGCATAGAAACGAAGGTGGGCAATGTTAACAATAGCACTTAAATCTTGATGAGTTTATTCACACTGTATTCAACAATAAATTCTGAATTCTGTATATAGAAATGCTGTGGTGATTAAATACCAGCTTAGAGGCTAAAACAGCATTTTTAGAATATTTATTGAACATGTATTATACTGTACATTTTGAAAATGTGACATAAAATGATGTTTCAAGCAGAAGAGAACACAATGGTTCATTTCTGAACAACCAACAGCTCAAAATCACTTAGCGGTTGCCAATAAAGCTTTAAACACAGGCCAGACTTTAGTTTGAATTCATAAAATTAGTCTTTAATTGATATTCACATCACATATGTACATCACTTTATGATTTCATGTAGGCAAACATTCACAGAACACAGTTCTGAAGTCATATTGGTTTGCGGTGTCCATATCTAAACACACAATAGACTATTTACGATCCACAGTGTTGTGATGATCTCACTTATTAAAAATAAATAAATAAATACATTTAAAAAATGGTAAAAGCACAGACAAAACACTCAGTGCATGCAGCGGCTGATCAGGAAAGACAAAACTTTGATATTTGATTTCATACATGCAAAAATCACCTCACATGTAAGCAGCCTAGAATATTCCACCTGTTGAACATCGTAGCCATATTTGACAGAAGATAAAACCCACTTGTTGATTTTTATGCTTGTAAATAACATAAAAGGCATCACCAAAAATAAATAAAAAGTATCACGACTTGAGGGGGAAAAATACGCAAAAGACTTTTAAACCAGAACAGAATGACATGACAAACACTTTCAAATTCTAGACAAGAACAAGTCAAGATGAATCGCACAACATTAAGTATATTCATACAACACGATGACACAGTGAGCTTTAAAGTGCTGCGATTAACTCTGGGAGAACTAAAATCTGGGCATAAAGCTGAAAGTATTTACATTTTATTTTGTAAAATGAAAGAATAAAGAAAGAAAACTTTACAAGGAACAAATAAAACACACATTTCATGGCAAAATAGTTTGTTTCCATTAGACCCCAAAAATAAGAGTCTATAAATGTGCAGCCATATTTAGAACTACCTTTTTACTGCAAAATGTGAATTGAGTCATCTAACTGTGTGGTTCAAGAAAGAAAAAGTGAAGTTTACTTGCACAAACCTTACTTGCTGGCCCTTTTTATACCTAAACTTCACTGTCATGTATGTCACAGCATCCTTGAACCCCCCCATTCCTACTCATCCCTCACCATGTGGGATCTGAAACATTCTGCATTAGAGGCACATAAAAAAAGTTCCTAAAGCCTACAGACTCTAGTATGCAAATGAAACCCCTTAAGAGAAAAGTATACTTTGGACGACCTGTTTCACAATGTCTGCATATTGTCTGCATAACGTAATTTAGTGTCCATCAGTGTGCACACTGATTTTTGCATCCATGGTCAATGTTGAGTCCACTAGGTAGTACTGTGCATGTGTCCATCTGTGCTCTTTCACATTGAGTATACTTGAAAGCTGTGCAGACACGACATTCACTTAATTGTACTTCTTTTGTTTGTGAATGACATTATATGCAAGTGTTAATACAGCGATTACAACAGGGGTGTCCAAACTTGTTCATAGAACACTGTCCCTCAGAATTGATAAAGTTCTAAAGTCAGAGTTGGGAATTTCAGAAGTTAAATGACTCTTTTATGACATTGATACGTTCTGGTCTATCACACTTTCACCATGTGAGATGTGAATATTTCATAACATGTACCTAAAAAAAACTAAGAGAATAGAAAATGCTAGCTGTACTTTCAATACACCTTTAAACACAAATAACTTTATTTATTCCGTGGTCTGTTGAAATTCTTGATTCTTATTTTGGTTGAAACGCACAGGTAGTTACAGTAGTTACTTTTCAATTTTGCCACAATATCAAGTTTTAAGAGTTTTTCAAGTGAGAATATAGTTATTTTAAAGTCAAATTGGTAGTTTATGTATAAGGATAGCGAATGTTTAAAAATGTTGGAAGCGCCAGGCGGTCAGTAGCGGCTCCGGCAACGGCTCCCCTTGAGCGAAGCTTTATATCGGCCACACCATCTCAGGACCTTCCGCTGGATCTAATCTTTAGCATCTCTGTTGTTGAAACGTGATATATAATTAATCTTTGGTGTCTCTAACGGTCAGTCTTTAGACTTTTGAAACTATTATTTGTTCTTAGGTGTATATTTTTTTTGGCAGAGATAACTTTCAAAATTTATTTATGACCGTAAATAATGTAATATTACACTGATCCTGCAGGTTTGGCCAGTTGTTTTTGTTTTAAAGAAGAATGTTTTCTTATCTGGTTGATGCAGTGGCGAGTAGGTAGTGCTGCCGCTTCACAGCAAGAAGGACGCTGGTTCGAGCCGCGACTGAGTCAGTTGGTATTTTTGTGTGGAGTTTGCAGGTGCTCCGGTTTTCCCCACAGCCCAAAGACATGCGGCACAGGTGAATTGAGCAGGCTAAATTGTCCGTAGTGTATGTCTGTGAATGAGTGTTGCGGATGTTTCCCAGAGGTGGGTTGCAGCTGGAAGGGCGTCCGCTGCGTAAAACATATGTTGGATAAGTTGGTGGATAATTTCGCTGTGGTGACCCCTGATTAATAAAGGGACTAAGTTGAAAAGTAAATGAATGAATGAATGTTCTCTCATCTGTCCTGGATTGATCGGTTATCTGTGATGAAATCGGATCGTAATATTAGCAGGTAACAACAGCATGCTCTTGCTCTCTTTCGCTCTCCGTCTGTCAGACTGTCACTAAATCTAACCTAATGTTAACGTCTTATGATGTTGTGTGCTTGCTGGGGTGTTTTAAGTATATTATGGTAAGGGAAGCCCTAACACATGTCCTGATTGAGTTCCGGGACTTCTGGGTCTCCTTGGTGCAAAATAGAAGGTAAAAAGCGAAGATCAGATCACAGGTAAAAATGATGAATTACACATCTTTCCTTTGGCTAACTTTATCAGGGCTCTGCATCGATACACACACACACAGACATATACAGTCAAGCCTTAAATTTTGGGCTTGACTGTATATGTGTGTATTATATTATACAGTAGCATCTGTAGGACAGTGACTTTCCATGAGCAGGATTGGACATCACTGGATTACAGTGTTTGAATGATGATACAGAGGTCTAACTTTACTACGAAAAAAAAAAACACATTCACTTCCTAACATGGCATGATGTCATTAGGCCATCACTTCTGATTGGAACTCTGCATTCATTTGAACTGGAAACTATTCCCTATGTTTTAAGTTTAGCTTCTACTCACAAGTTTTTCAATGCATTAATTATTGCTTTAAATACAACTGTTATTGCAGCATGTAGAGACGGTTTTAACATGCAAACAAAGCTTGTATTTAGCTAAACTCCGTACACAGTTTTTTGGAAACATGTCTAGGACATTCGTTGATGTTCTCAACTTATTATACAAAATTTAAGGCAGCTTTACTTATACAAGAAAACCAACCACTTGCTCTGGACAGCAGACTATATACACTTACACAGCGAAAACATCAAAACCCCATTCTGCTCTCTACGCTATCAGACGAGATACGATCATTTGTCGATAAATTGAGTCCTAGACTAAGTGTATAAGTGCATATTTAACCAAACATGTGGTATATTCTCTTGGTTTGTTTGTCCTTGTCGCTGTAAATAGACCTCAGGATAAAGTACAGCCATAATCCCTATCTAAAGTCTTATAATACACAGTTTAGAAGACACAGAGTTACACCTGGACACTGAGAAGGAGTGATAATGGTGGGATGAAAACAGCTGTATGTGGTGACGGGGGCTCTATGTGTCTCAGTATACACAGAGGTCTGGAAACTTCATCTCGTAGACTGGTACAGAGCGACTCCGGCCGTGACCGTTACCGACAGAGCCAGACGGGCTTGGTGGAGGCCTATTCAACAAGCACACACAGACAGAGGAGAAATAGAACAAGTGTTTATCATCCGGCACATAATTGTAGCTAATTCATTTATTTTATTTACTGAAATGTGGAAATGAACTGCTATTTTGGGAATATAATGTACTGAATCAGTATAAAAAGTAGCAAATTTATTAAGGATAATCTAATTACAAATTAGAAAATACTTTGTAAGATACCTCATTTCTGGCCACTATTAAGCTACCATGACTCATTACCATAATTCATTAATTAACTCTATTTTGTTTGCATTTATTTTACCAGGAAAACCACTTGTGCTTGTATCTTTATGCATCCGCGGATTGTTCTGTTCTTGGTTAATAATTGCTTTTACTATACGTGTTGTATTGTGTTCTGTTCCTAAGTATTTTTCATCAAAGAACTCTTTTGTTAAAACTCTGGAGCACAACATTTCACAGAAAAACCAGCCGTCAAAGTGAGTATAGATAATTACTTTGGGGCATTCCTTCTTCTTTCTTTTGTTTTGTCTTTAATCCTCTCTTTTGGCTGAATCTGCCAACCATATACTGTAATTACGCGAGAATTAAATCTGGGACACTCATTAAGGCTGATTTAGGCTTCTGCGTCAAATGCACGCATATGCTCTGGCACAGCCTTTGTGACGTCGCATAGCCCTTGCTGTGTCTGATGCTGAATGTAACTTTACGTTGCAATGACTCTGATTGGTTGCCTTGGCTGTGGGGACGAGTGTGGGCAGTGCTGAAAGCCATGAGCTTTATGGAGTGAGTGTTTACAAGTGTCGAGTCACATGAAGGAGCTCCAGATGGAAACTTTTGTTTCGGGTTTACCTAATGATTTAAGTTGTCGCATGTCCACCGGTTCCCGCCTCTGATTGAGCAAGTTTGAGCTACTTGTAGCATTCAGAAAAAAACAAAACACCCATGAAGAAATTTGACACAGGGGAACATAAAAACCTACTGAAAGTTAGCGCTTCGGAAGTGTTGTTGCAGAGCAGCACTAACAGCACGCAGAAGTATAAATGCAAGACTATGCAACGGCATGCAATGTGGGTTGCGTCGCTCACTCGATATTAGGGGCCCATCATATCGAATGCGTTGAGAGGCGTCTCTTTTAAATGGTTTACTAACAGCCGCAATCGTTTTGCGTGCTCCTTATGCGCCCTCCGTTCCTCATGTTTTAACCATCTGCTGCGCTTAGTGTTTTTGCCCTTGAAAAAAGCAAACTCTGAGCGGAAAAATCGCGTTATGCCATGTGCGTCTTTTTCATTCTTTAATCAAAGGAAAGCAGAGGTGGGGTTTCTGTTGAGGTGCCTTCAGTGTTTGTCAAGAAAACAACAGAGACTTGTGAAGATGGAGAAGAGACTTGTGGTTGCTGTTTTGGGTTATCCAGAGCTGTATGACTTCACAAATCATAAATATCACATTAATAATTATTAAAATTATATTAATATCAACAGTAACAGTCTCGACCAATACCTAGCTGATCCAGTCGCTGCCTAGCGACATAAAAAAAGCGCACATCACTTCTTTTTTCTTGTCAACAAAAAAGGCAGTGAGGTGCACCACGCATTTTTGGAACGTAAATGCGCATTCGGTGTGATCAGCCCTTAAATCAGCCTTTACTCAAACAAGTTCCTATCACTAAATACCTCCATTATATTATGTGTAACCTGGTATGTGAGCCCTGCAACAATTTGGAGTTGCTAGTGGATTTGAATGGCATAAAATGAATCCAAGCGCAAACTGCCAATGTGGAGGATGAGCCACTACAATAATGTTAGTATCTGCCCGGTATATCCTCTAATATCTGCCAGTTCCTGTCGCAACATCCACCTGGATCATGCGACAGCTGCCACAGGACAACAACCGTGCGCTCACACACCAGCTATAGGGTATGGTGCATGCTATAGTGCATGTGTTCATGCACAGCTTTTCTCAGCTGATGTAAGACAACAACAGTCAGTTTTCGCTAGTTATTTTATGTCGCTTGGTGTGTCCAGGGCTGAGGTCCTTTAGCGTAACCTCCACCAACAGGTAGTGTGAATTCACTTTGGGCCTTCCAGTTGCTCGGTCCTCCAGGGTTTGAGTATTCTGCATGTCCTCCTCTAGCCTTTCAGCCATGGACTCCATCTTGCCTCCAGCCAATTAGCTCCCTCTGGCTCCATGCTTCTTTGTGTCAAACGTGACCCATCATCCCACTGATTCCAACCAGCCTTAGTTAAGGGGGTCGCACACTGGATGCACCATTCAGCGATGTACCATGCAGCACCATGCATTTTAGGATTCTAAACATAGATTTCTATCAAGGTACACACACCGGCGCCGCAAGTCGGCAGCTGTCCGCTGTACCCAGCTACGACTGAGGACACTGTTCTCCACATTTTGACATCTGAATAGTTTCATTTTAAGTAACAATTAAAAGTGCGCGACTGGTGTGCGATACTTCCAACTGTCATGTGCGCGCCGTGTTGTGGCGCTGAATGGCCCCATTTAGTCTCCTGTGGCTCCATCCTTCTGTGTCTTTTGGTTGCCTCCCTGCCCCCCAGCTCCACGTATGTCCTCAGTCTGTCTTCCGGATACCCATCTCCACCTCTCTACATTGGCCCTTCAAACCTGTCTCTGAAGCTCTGTTTCTTGAACTCCGCACCATTGCTTCTCCTTCCAGTGATTCTATCATGAACCTCAGTTCTGGCTGTATTCTGGGTCGTTGTTTGGCCCTTGGCTTCTCCCCCATCTTTGCCGACCTGGTCCTCCTTGCCATCTGCTCCCTGTTCTTCTCTTTCTCTCTCCCATGCAAAGTTGAACCATTTATGATGCAAGGTTGAGTAAGGGCTGTGCAATTAATCTAAATTAAATTTTGATTTCGACTTTCATCAATTATGAAAACAACATTACTCAAGTCTGCAATCATTCCTCTGCAAAGCACAGTTTCACGTAGAAATGATCGCATTACAATGTAATTACAAAAGTCATGTAATTTGACTTTTGAAGCATGGGTAATTGATCAAATAAATTAACTAGATTCATTCATGTTTCATGTTGTGCTGTTCTGTGCATGTGCTCAGCCTCTTAGACGAAGCAGGACCCGACTAGATTTTTTGCTGTGCGGGAATAGGTTTCGATTTAAAAAGTACACACTGTAGTGGATGGTACCTCTGGTGTAATTTGTTGCACATGCTGAACGCATGACCAGTGCTTTCTGCATGTGTGTTTTATTCGCACAGTCTGTGCACCCATCATCTGCATAAATGTAAATGGGATTTTTTTTACCCTTTTGTGCGATGTGATAATACCTCAAAGTTTTATCCTTTAGCAGTCAAAGGGATCGCACATTGGATGTGCAGCTTGGCACAGAGCCATGCATTTTAGAATTTTAAACATAGATATCTATCAGGGTATGCACACCAGCATTGCAAGTCGGCAACTGTCTGTGTTGCTTATCTACCACTCAGGACACTGTTCATGTTTCTGCCACACCACAGAGTGTGTTACGCTCCGGGAATTTTGCATGTGTGTGTCTCTCTTTCGCTCTCTCTCTCCTTCTGTCTTGCACACACGCAGACCTGTTCTCTGTCTCTCTTCCCTCTCTTTCGGTTTTACAGGTTCAACCCCCTTCAGATTGACACTGGCTGTAGGATCAGTCAATCATCATTATCTTCATTAAGGTGGCGGCTTCTGCTGCCAATCTGAGTAGTCGCCAGGTTTTTAAAAAGTTGACGAGTGGGACGCCGGACAGAGGCTTTTGTGTTCCTGTTTTGTTCTTTGTTTTAATCTGCCTCCCGTTTTTCTTTTGTTTTGTTTTTTGGTACTTAATATTGCTTTGCCAAAGATGTTGTTGCCATTTTGTTTATTTTCATTAATTTTCTTTTTGTATAGACACACTAGGTTTAGGAGTGAGCACTGACTTTCTCTGCTTGGTTAAGTTTAGAGTAGGTAAGATAGGGCATGTAAACGCCGAAGACTTGCTTTCGATTATTTTGTTTTCAGTTAGGTAAAAAGATTATACTGAGTTAGTTTGATTTTTGGAGTTTTGTTATTTTCTTTTCTTTTAGCGGCACTTTCGTCCTTCTCCCCTGTGGGGTTTATTGTTTTTGGATTATTTAGATTTTATAAATTGTATATAATTTACCTTTTGTGTTTTGTGTTGTTTTTATCTATATTCTTCTTTGTTATTACTATTTTCTGATTATCTTTGATTTTTGTATGATGAATTAATCTCTTTTTGGCAGTATTTTGCTTGATGCATGGTTCTTCTCCCATATTACACAAAACTGTCACAATATAAATGTTACTTACTTTGGTCCCTAGTCTAACATCAGGAAGTCGTAACAGAACGCCATCTTGTTTACTCTTAAATAACATGCGAATTTGCACGTCCGGCAAATGTTACTTCCAATTGTGCGACACACCGTAGGCACATCTGGTGTGTAATCAGCTTCAGAAGACTGGAATCTCAGGTTAAAGGGGGCACTCATGTCTAATACCAAAGGCATAAACAAAACTCATTTAGCCTACAATCTTTACACAATCTACAGTTTTATCTGTTATCTCTCTCTTTTGGTAGTACCCAATTTAAATGTGAAATTTTGAAAACCAGATCTAAATTTAGCGGCAATGATCAGATAAAAAATTATTCTAAGTGGGCATTGGGTGAACAAAGACTAAATATACAGCGGGAGCGGTCGAGTGTAGAATAAAACCTGGTGGAAGCAGGATTTTAAAAATCTGTCCCGTGCAGACTTCTAATGTAAAGTCATCTTTTAGTTCAAGCTTCACCTAAATGGTCAAATACATGTGGCATTTTAAAACTCTTTCGCACTTAGTGATAGACCCTTGTTTGCTATGTAATCAATGAACATATTCCTGCTCAAACATCTTTGCTTTTCATTATTAATCAAACAAAAGAAAAGGACAAAAATCTGCTCACTGCTCTTGATTCATATACATTTGTCGCTTATAAGAACTCAATCAATTTTAGTTCTTACAGTAAAGATAGTAGGTTGTTCCTACATTCCCACCACTATTTAATAACCATGACAATTGATTAATTAATTAAACCTAAGCTTTTTGCACTTTGGTAAATCATCTGCATATGTAAGACCCTCAGTTTCTGTTCTTGATTAATTTTTGTATTTTGTATTTATCATTAAGGAACTCTTTGGTTTTCTACTTCACATGAACATTACAGAAAGAAATTTTATCTACCTGATTGTGATTTCGAAGATTTGGTTTAGTTTACTCTGCAACAGGGATGACTAGAAAGAAAAGGAACAAAGAGTTAATCCTCAGCATTAAAGGAAATAAACAGAACAGGAGAGCTGTGTTTATGCTTTTTGATGATAAAATTAGAGACGGAGTATGTGTGTGTGTCATGTACTCACCCTGGCCCCACAGTGGGCTGCAATCTCCTCAAATGGAGCGGTCTGAAACCTCTCTACCACTTGTCTTCTGCGCTCTCTCTCCAGCTCCTCCACATTCACGCTGTCTACTGAACACACACGCACACACACAGACACGGAAGACTCTTAGCTAACTGACATAGACCAAAAAACCTGAAAAAGTTAAATGTAATGATTCTATTACAAACAAAATATTTTAGTACTATATCTTCTCCAGTTATTTGTATTTACTGATTTAGAATTTATTTTGAAAAAATTTTAATTATTTATATACAACATTAATTAGAAAAACAAATGGTGGCCGAGAGCCTAACATGCTGCAATTTAAGAAAACGTGCAATTACAAAAAACACTGCAAATTAAGAAAAGATCTTCATCAGTTTGACAGTCTGATCCTCACAAAGCTAACACATTTTTCAAAAATGTGCTGTATTTTTAAACAACACAAACATTAATAAAACGTTCTGCATTTTCTAACAACACAAACAATTTACGAAACGCACCGCATTTTGACATAACACTTTCAAATAGCAAGGGACCCTAAAACGTTACAGACCTGGCTATTTAGGTTATGGTTATTAAGGCTAATAAAATACAGAATACAAGGGAATCAACAACAACAAAAAAACTCCCCTTTTAAACTTTTTCTAACTTCACTGAGCAATAGTCACGGCACAGCAGCATCCATCACGTTTTTGGGTCCACTTGAAACATTTTTGTTGTGTTCTGTTGTTTTTGCAAGTGTTGTGAGATAATGCAGCGAGTTTTTGTAAATTGTTTGCATGGTGATAAAAAGCAGCATGTTTTATTAATTTGTCTGTGTTGTGAGTAAATGCAGTCCATTTTATTAATTTGCTTTGTGAGAAAATGCAGCGCGTTTTATTAACTTGTTTACATTGTGAGTAAATGCAGCGCATTTTATTCATTTGTTTGCGTTGTGAGTAAATGCAGCGTGTTTTATTAATTTGTTTGCGTTGTGATAAAATGCAGCAAGTTTTATTAATCTGTTTGCGTTGTGAGAAAATGCAGCACATTTTATTAATTTGTTTACGCTGTGTTAAAATGCAGTGTGTTTTATTAATTTGTTTGCATTGTGTGAAAATGCAGCTCTTTTCTTATTGTGTATGTGTTGTAAAGTTTTGCAGCATGTGTGCTGTCAAATTGATGAAACTAATTTGCTGGCTTTTTTTTGTAATTGCACGTGTTTTCTTAAATTGCAGCACGTCAAGCTCTCTTTGCCACCGTAGAAAACAGAATTAGAAATGCTAAACATGATACAAAAAAAGACATCTCTCATGCTTAAAAAGGCCATATTTATTTAATTAAGTATACTATAATTACTATATTATTGTAAAAAAATAATTTAAAATTTAAATTGCAATATAAATTGCTCAAGCTGTATGTTCAACATAATTACTTCATTGCAGACCCTAAACTATTGAATTGTAGCTTATAAACAATTTTAATGCAAGTAAAATCTCAAATCATGCAAGACTTACCAATGGCTTGTTTAAGAGTTTCAAATGTTATCTGCTCTGCTGTGGACCTCTGTAAAGATAGCATGCATGCATTAGAAAAATACAGCTGATAGCCAGTACAATAGACACGAGTAAAAACAGAGGACACACACGCATGTTGGTTTTGGTGGTTTACGAGGACTCTCCACAGGTGTAATATATTTTATACTGCAAAAACAGTTTATTATATGGCCTTACCCCTAAGCTTGCAGGAAACCAGTGGCAAATTTCAAAGGTAAGAGGACAGAGTGAAGTATGATTTTTAATTGTTTGAACTACAAGCACATAAGACATGTCCTAATAAACCATCTTAACATTGTAATACGCTGGTCATATCCATGTCACTATACAAATTGGTCCTCATAAATACCAAAACCAGTAGACACACTAACTCATTTATTAGTGTCATAAAGATAAGCATATACAACATTACCTGCTCTTTCTCTGGACTGTTTCTAGACTCCATCTCTAACTGGAGAGAGACTGTGTCTCCAATACTCTTCCTCTTAGACAGTCTGTCTTCATCTGAATAATAATAATAAAAAAACAATATTACAATTTTAAATGCATGCCCAAGAAAAAAAGAATCTTTAAAATCGTGAAATTTCCTTTCTTGCTTGAACACATACTGTATTAAGAAATACAAAACTGCAACAGGCATCTAGTTTCAGTGCATGTAAAGCTCATGCTGAGATTCAGACCTGTGATCTGTGGGATGTACGCAGTGGCCAGTCTCTCTGTGTTATATCCGCTACCGCCCAGCATCTCTGCTATCTTAGCCTGTGCAAACAGCATCTCTCCCTCCACCTTCTCCAGCTTCTCCGGGATCCTGAAAGAGAAGGAGGCTGTAAATGCTGTCCCTCAGCTTTTTATTCACTCGTCCAAGGGAGTAAAAAACAAACAGATGAGAGCTGTCTGGATGTTTTCTGGGTTTCATAACCATTTGCTCAGCACATCACAGCTACAAATGTCCCCCAGTATGATCATATAATGAAAAAGCACTAGGATTATTGAACCATTACTGAAAGACATTGAGGAAAAAAAATGTACTGTATGTTCCCTAACTAGTAGACACAGTTATGAGAACTGAGACAGAACTGCATGTTTGTCTCTTAGTGTGAACTCTGTTTCTGATAATGCGAGAAGAGCACTGTGGTAGTCTGAATGTATAAAATAATTTGAAAATGACAAGCATTGCTTACTTTGGACTCTCAACAAGAACATCCTCTGGCAGCAGGAACGGAACAAGTTTCTTTCTTGATTCAATTACCTTTAGAGAAAAAAAACGTCACTCCATCACTGTGTCTAGAGACAGAATTTTCAGTCATCTTTAGTTGGAGTCTTGAACAGTCAGATACACATCTAGGTTTATTTCATAATATCAGTATTTTCATAAACATAGACAGTCATGGCTCAAGTGCACATAAGCATTCTGGGAAATTCAAATGGTAACATTATATTGGATAATTAAAGTTAATACAAATAAAAGAAAGAAGAAGTCACTAATTGCGTTTTCCATTTCTTTATTATTTTTACTTGAATGCAAAATATCATGTATGTAAAATGTTTAATATAAGTTTACTGCTTTAAATTAAAATGACTTTTTTGTTTAATAATATGTAATAATAAAAATAATGTAATACGTTTGGTATTATTAATAATAACTGAATATATTATTTTAAAAAAATCTTTATTTATTTGTGTTGTTAAAATTACAGGTTCCATCTATTTTAGCTTTTGTCCCAATTTACAGGTTTTATTTTGTATTAATTAATTACTGTGGCCCAAAAACTGTAATGTGAACCATGAGTTTGTAATATATTTAAACATACATGAAATAATTAAGACACACTAACAGGTCAAGTAAAAAAGAATATAGTCTAGCACACATCAAGAGTGTCACGGCAGAGTTAGTAATTGTAGAATTTACTGACGGATGATGGATGGACAGACAGACGAATGGAGCAGGATGGATGGATGAACATATAGATATACAGACGGACAGACAGATAGATCAATAGATCCATCCATCTATCCATCGATGGATCGACAGATGGATAGCTAGATGGATAGACAGACGGATGGATGGATGGATGGACGGATGGACAAACAGATAGGTAGATGGACGGATGGATGGATGGACGGACGGACAAACAGATAGGTAGATGGACGAATGGATGGATGGATGGACAGATGGACAAACAGATAGGTAGATGGATGGATGGATGGATGTAGGGACGGACGGACAAACAGATAAGTAGATGGACGGATGGATGGATGGATGGATGAATAGATGGATGGATGGACAAACAGGTAGATGGACAGATGGATTGATGGACGGACGGACAAACATAGGTAGATGGACGGATGGATGGATGGATGGATAAATGGTTGGATGGATGGATAGACAGACGGATAGATGGATGGACAGACAGACGGACGGATGAATGAATGGAAAGATGGATGGCTCTTTACCTCATGGACGTGTTGGCAGAAGGTGGGCACAGTGGTCAGTTGGCTGATGAGGTTGAGATATGCAGCAGACAGAGCATGGATGGCACAGCGGGAATAAACAGGAAGTGTGTCATCAGTCAAGGCAAGGTCCTGAGGAAGAGGAAGCGTTACCAAAAATGAAAGAAAAAAATGCTTAGAAGCATGTTTTGATAATACAAGTTGATAGCCATTTTTATGACCTGTCAACAAGGCAGATTGTTGTATACAGTGAGTACTTGAGCAAAATGTATGTTAGCTTTTAACATCTATATTTAATAACACCAGTGATGGGAATAGAGGCATTATAACTAAACGCAGTTACAGAGTTACTTTTGTCCATTTTTTTAGACTTAATTATTGGCCATCTCTTGGTTGTGGTCTGTGCAATAAATACAAACATTTCTAAACCATTTCTGATTATTCCATTATAGAAACTATAATTACAATAAAAATGCTGATTAAAACTGGCACAAGGTTGAGAGACAAACCTGTAAGGCCAAAGCCAGTCGGATAAGGTCCACCACCACCTCCTCATTGGCGAGCTCCACACAGATCAACCCTAGCAGTGTATGAAGAGACTCAAAGTGCCGCTGGACGCTGCTGTCTTCTTTACAGGCCAAGTAAATGTGACGGTACAATCTGTGGCTGTGTTTCTTCATGAACAAGTTATCCTGTCTGGAGCACTTGTCTACTTTCAGCTTCAGTATTGAGATGTCTGATATAATTCTGTATGGGGGAAAAAAAGAAAGGTTTGTAAAATGTTTCGTCAGTTAATGTAAATCCTCAGTGACCTATTGAGGGAAAACTGCAATACTTTGTGCAGTTACAAAGGATAGTTCAGGCTTTTTTCTGTTAAATACAAAAGAAGAGATTTTAAGTAATGTCGAAAATGAGCAGCCATTGGCTTCCATAGTAGGAAAATTGAACATAGCTAAAACATAAAAGTCAACATTACTTCAAAATATCTTCTTTTTTTGTTGAAAGAGAAAAAAGAAAATGATAACAAGTGGGGGGCAGGGGGTAAATGATGACAAACTCATTCATTTTCTTTTCTGCCCTTTTTTTGTCCCTTTATTAATCAGGGGTTGCCACAGCGGAATGAACCACCAACTTATCCAGCATATGTTTTATGCAGCAGATGCCCTTTCAGTCGCAACCTATCACTGGGAAACACCCATACACTTTTGCATTCCCACACATACACTACAGCCCTTTTAGCTTACCCAATTCACCTATAGTGCATTTCTTTGGGCTGAGGGGGAAACTGGAGCACCCAGAGAACATGCCAACTTTATTCAGAAATGCCAACTAACCCAGCCTGGGCCTGAACCAGTGACCTTCTTGTTGTGAGGTGATCGTGCTACCCACTGCACTACTGTGACGCCCCTTTTGGGTAAACTATTGCTTTAAATCGTATTCATTTGTCACTAAATATGGATGTTCCATACTCTTAAATCTGCAACAAAATTTAAATCAATTTTCTACTCTAAAGTTTTACATTTTTTGCTCTAGCCATTTGGATAAATTTGACAATTATTACATTTACCACAATAAAGAGTAAAATGTACACAGTTTTATTCAAACTAAATTATTGTTTTATGACTAAATAAATCGGACTTGTTGGCTACCCTTAAGAACGCAACATTCTTAAGGGTAAAATGACATTTTAATAATTTAGTTATTAATTTAAAGGTGCTGTATGTAAGTTTTTGACTTTTGTAAAGCATAAAATTCATATTAAAAATGTATTTCATTCAGAAAGGCTTTAAAGGACACCGAAATGCGACCTCTGGTGAACAGTAGCAGACTCCGAAATGAGACGCAGATTAAAAAAATTCAAATATTACAAAACATTAGGTGAGGGTTACATTTTACCTGTGTGTCATAACAACACTCTGTGAGATTTGCAGTGATAAGCAATTGGGCTGTTTTCACCAGACGCAGCGCGACAGAAATTTAAATACAGCCATTCAGAAGCACAGAATATCCACTTACTCACAAAATGGTAACATTTATAATCAAATGAATGCATATTAACCCTCGTTAACATTATTAAATGTACATGCTGAATCATTGATGTATGTTGGTTTGCACTATTTTACAGTTCTAAAGTTCAAACTGTTTATTTAATATTCAAGATCTAAGGTGAAACTGCTGCTGCTTGAAAGCAGAAGTTCTATAGGCAATGGAAATAAATGTCATGTAAAAGGGCATTCAAATTCACGTTGTTAGCATTTAACACTGAATAAAGAACATGAGGTGCACCTGAGGTGATCATTGTCATTTATCCAGCTGTGAGAAACAGAAGCCGTTTCTAATATATAATTTGAGGTGCTGGTTAGGAAAAACTTCTTTTAATATAGAGAATATTCCTTCTATCACGTGCCATTGCTTTTATTTAGAATACGGTTTAAATTAGCCTTTAGGCTCAAGACTAACTCCTGTTGGTTGTCAATCTGGCAACCTTCGACTGCGTTTGTTTTGATCCAGGAATGCAATACCTAGTTCAACCACTATGTGTAAAACTTACATACTGCACCTTTAAACTTGCACGTTCACATACAGCAGGGGTGGCCAACCCTGTTCCTGGAGAGCCACCTTCATGCAGATTTCAGTTGCTACCCATATCAAACATTCCTGAACCAATTAATTAGGACCTGAACACCACGTGACAATTACAGGCAAGTGTGTTGGATATGGGTTGCAACTGAAATCTGCAGGAAGGTGGCTCTCCAGGAACAGGGGTTGGCCACCCCTGACATACAGTATCATACTGTTGTATAAATGTTAAATAAAACTTCAATTAAAAAAAAAAAAGACACATTACATAACAACAAAAAATAAATATTATGCTAGGAGTTTTGTCAGTGTGCCCCAACCTGACAGGTGAAAATTTGTGCCGGTTGTCATGGCGATCGATGATGCTGATGAGGATGTCGAGCACGAGCAGACGGATCTCAGCGTCCTCCATCAGAGTGAAGGACAGAAGAGGGTCCAGGAAGGATGTGGGAAGTGCTGTCAAAATGTTGTTAGACTGGAATCCTGCTGTGACCTGAAGGAGAAAGAAAGAGAATGAGGTTTAAAAGACAACCAGATGGTTTAGACTGCATCAGCAACTGTGGATATGATGAAGCAGCAGGGGAAGGAAATGATGTGCCATAACGTGTGATTACAGTAGGATTGACACAAACCAGCTCACCTGCAGCAGAGACTTGAGCAGCATAATCTGGATCATCCTACTGCCCTCAACCCTGAAAGCAGAAACAGGCATCTATTGAGCAAATTTGATCTTGAGCCAGCAGAAGTACACTGTAAATGTGTCTAAGCTGTAACCCTGTCTCACCCAGTGTTGGCTGACCCCAGAGCAGGATACATGCCTGGCACAGGGATTTTACCGATGATGAACAGCATGACTTCAGAACGTTGGTAGGTGGGTAGCGTGTTTGCAAACGAGCCTGTAAACAAAGAAAGATGAGTGAGGGATTGTGTACTGTCAGCTGGTTAAATAAAGCCCTGCAGGAACACGCACCTAACCCTGTCTGTCTGTCTGTCTATCTATAGTTGAAAACAAAATCAATATCCCTCCTGTGAAATTTTTTTCCCCTTTAAAATTTTTCCTTAAGGATGTTTAACAAAACCAGGATAAAAAATGTACAGTTATTTGTATTATATATTTTTTTCAGGAGGATGTCTTATTTCTCTTAGTTTGTCTGGAAAAAAAACTACTTTAAAAAGTTCAATATTATTATGTCACTTAAGATTTTTTTCCATTACCTATAGAACAAATCGCCAGTTCATTCCACTGTGGCGACCCCTGATTAATAAAGGAACTAAGCTGAAAAGAAAATAAATGAATAGAACAAATCACTGTTGTCCAATCACTTGCCTTTTTAACCTTACTTTCCCAGATAACTTAATTAACCTAGTTAAGCCTTGAAAGGTGCCATAGAATGAAAATTTGAAAATACCTAGGCATAGCTGAATAGTAAAAGTTCAGTACAGGGAAATAACATACCCTGAGCCTCAAACACCAATGTTTCCTTGTTTTCATGTAAATCCTGTGTGTTTAAAAACAGGACAATTTAAAAAAAAAACTATTTAAAATGACTCTGATGATCCTCACTGGATCTTTAATATCCACGCCAAAGGCAGCGTTTGATTGGCCACAATGTTTTGTATTGAGATTACAACAATGATATTTAAGCTTACATTAAAAATAAGAGGTATGAGGACTTTTATTTTGAAAATGTGAGAAGCAGGGAGACTAAAAAGAAGAGCTAGCTAGGTGTCTCACCTGCACAGATTGCAAAATGCAGGATATATAGATTTTAAATATATTCAGTCATGCCCCAGACAGGAATAAAGTCTGTTTGAATTTTTTTTTTTTTTTTGTTTAATGTAATTTTTTTTTTTTAATTTACATCGTATGTTTGATGAGGCAACAAACACATGAATGTTTTTGATGTTTTTGACTGCACATTTATGCATTGTTTCATATCACTCAGCAGGAGTTGCAGGAGTTGAAATAAATTGCTGTCTGTGTTTCCATACATTTTAAAGCTTCAAAATACAACCCTAAATACATCTCTGTCTGACCCATTTGTTGTGTGTCATTATAACTTATAAGCCTATATTTCAACTCAGGTGCAAACTAAATTACTAACTAGTAAAATATTAAATCTTTTCATGGCAAGGACAAAATACATTGTTATTAGAAATTAGTTAAAACTAATATGTTCTGAAATGTGTTAAAAGTCAGTTAAACGGCACCAAAGAGCATAGAATCACCAAGAGGCGACACACTAGTGTGATTTGGGAAAGAGCCACTAGATGCTGCTAGTGTCATGCGGTGGCCATTTTGGAATGAAAATTCTAATTGAACAACAGCATATTATAAGTCTGTAAAATAAACAATTCAAAGTGCAGATTATTGTGATAGTAAGTGTTGTATTGTCGTATTTCAATTTGTATCTCACGTTTAATGTGCTTTTTCAATAAATAAATAAAAAACAAAGCAGCTGCTTGCCATTGCGACAGCAATAAGATCCAATGGAAGGCTGATTGCTTTTACTCCAAAATGGCGGAATCGCAGGGCTGTCGCTGGGCGCTGCTGTTGCAATGGAACGTTCTATTGAGTGTCGCCTCTTGGTGATTCTAAGCTCTTTGATAGCACTTGGGACATATTTAAAAAACAAAACAAATTTCACAGTAGGGCTAATAGTCTGTCCATCTGTCTGTCTGTTTCATATTTTCTATCTATAAACAGACATACAGCCACATCATTACTATAGCCACATCAATTATAAACATTTGTCAGTTGACAAATATTTGACTGCTGAAATCTAGCATGGCCAGATTGTGTATTCACAAACATTCATTGTGCACTCACCAATAGTTTTGATGACAGATTCTTGGAGTTGTCTCTCCTCATGTACTTTAATGACCTTGGTGCCCATGTTTGCAAAAGAGTCGTAGGATCCAGTGAGCTCGTAGTCTACGCTAAGTCTGAGCTGCTTTAGTAGAGTATTAAACACCTCCAGTACTGTGGGACCTGTGGAGTGATACAGCCACAACTGAACGAAAATATTTCTACTGAGATTTCTAATGTGCAAAACTGTTAAACAAACTGATTAAACAAGCAGGCAAACTTTTTTATTAGGAAGCAAGAAAGTAATGAAAGAACAAAAACTGGAAAGCTAAATGACAAAGAATGCCTTAGAACCCTGCTGAAAAATCCAGCTTAAACCAGCCTAGGCTGGTTGGCTGGTTTTAGCTGGTCGACCAGGCTGGTTTTAGAGGGGTTTTGGCCATTTCCAGGCTGGTTTCCAGCCATTTCCAGCCTGGTCTTAGCTGGTCAGGCTGGAAAATGACCAGCTAAATCCAGCTAAAACCAGCTTGACCAGCCTGGTTTAAGCTGGACATGGCTGTTTTTGGCTGGGCTCCCAGCCTGGCTAGGCTGGTCAAGCTGGTTTTAGCTGGTCATCTCCCAGCCTGACCAGCTAAGACCAGGCTGGAAATGGCTGGAAACCAGTCTGGAAATGGCCAAAACCCCTCTAAAACCAGGCTGGTCAACCAGCTAAAACCAGCCAACCAGCCTAGGCTGGTTTAAGCTGGATTTTTCAGCAGGGAAGTGTGTATTATTGTGTGTTTAGTGCTCCCTCTAGGGGTCTGGTACCTATAGAGCCACTGGCCTCTATAACAGCTGCCTCTGAGATCACCTCCACTATCCCAGCACGCACTCTGGCTGAGTTCTTACTGTTGGCATCCAAGTGGCCCAAAAGCTGCTGAATCACCAGATGAGAATGCTGGGACTATCAAAGGAAGTGTCGACAAAGTTAATATTTCAGTAACTTAAGTTACAGGGAAATATCAAAGTATACATTCATACTTAGCTATAATTCAAAATTATAGATAGTATACAGTGTCTGTTATCAATTATTGATAATATGTAAATAAAATGCAGTGTTTCCATTAAAAATTACATTTAAACCTTAAACAACCTTAAAATGTTTTGTGATGTAATAAGTCAATAAGAAATATTAAGTGGAACCTCATTTTAACATATAATGTAATAAAACAATAATGCAATTAATATAATTTGTAATGAAAAATGCATATTATGTTACATTTTTATATTTTCATATGTTTCAGTCCCCTGTACATAAGATACAAGGTCCCCAAATACCACATAATAATTTACTTGTCATCTTCCACAAAAATGTACTCTATTGAGTGTTTTATTTTGCATCACATTCAAACCAATTGTTTGTATCTACCTGAATGGAGTACATAATGATTTTGAAACAGCGCACTGCAAATGTTTTGCCCTCCCAGAGTGAATGGTTATCAAGGTGCCTGGAAACATATAAGCAAATTAATGATTAGCTTCAGCAAACAGAACAAGAAGCAGGAAGCAGCACACTAAGAAGGTCATAAAATAGACTGGCATAACAAATAGTGACTTTTGTTGTCCTGATATTTAAGGCTAACTTTAAGGATTATTTATTTTATTTGTTTATTGCTGTGTAGGTTAAGTATCATGGTTCCACATGGTTTTGCATTTGTTTTTTTGAATATAAAAATACTACACAAGCAAATATAAGCTTTTTAATTAACACTCATTCATCCAAGCATTCATGTTGCTTTTCCATGTACATTACTGTTTAGTTTTTTTCAATGTTTCTGAAGAAAATCTCAATGATTTTAACTAAAATACAGTTAATATTGTTAAATCTTTTTATATTTTTAAATATTATGAAATGCATTTATAGTTTTGATGGCGAGGTTGATTTTTCATCCATTCCTTCAGTCTTCTGTGTCACAAGATCCTTTTCTATTCAGTGTGTCTTGAATTAAATTGTCAACTGGTCAAAAATTGTTAATTAGTTAACAAACTAATTAAAAATAATTAATAAATTAACTATGTATATAAATACATATATTAATATCCCAAAATTTTTCAGCAGTATTGAATGTGTATTATTTTGTATGAATTGGAAATATTCGAACAGTCATAAAAGCTGCAACCCTGGACCACAAACCTTAAGTGTGAATTTTTTAAACAGATTTATGCATTACATGAAAAACAAGATTTGCAATGATATATGAATTGTGTACAACTATTTGAGTGTTAAAAATCATCAAAATACTGAGAAAATCGACTTTTAAATCTAAATAAAGTGCTTAGCAATGCAAATTACAAATCAAAGTAGGAATTTTTCAAAATTTATCATTTTGATCCATACAATATATTTTTTGACTATTGCCGATTTAAGACGTAAGGCAGAAAGGTGCCCAAAGTAGTTGGCCCATGGTAACCTTTGGTTTGGCCCACCATCCCATCTGAAAAGAGAGGGAGAATGATGAGGAGTTGTTTGGGGCAAATGCCTTTGACAGACATTGTAACCTTTTTTTTTTTTTTTTACTTGAGGAGCCACAACAATTGAATATTTCAATTAAATGTTGGAAATGAATCAGACTTTTAAAATGTAAATACTGCCAGTTGACAGACAGAGGACAATGCACAAGACAACGATGAGCAAATCAAGGCTAAGGCAGGAGCAGAAAGACTAGTGTATTCAGCACTGAACTCCATCGTGTTATAAATGGGATTGCTTATGTTTTAACAATAATAAGTTCATTATAAAACGTCAAAAAATGATACTGCATCATTAAATAAAGTAACATCTAGTTATTTTTAAATATCAGCAAATAAATTACCCATGGCAAATTTAATGTACGTTTCAAGAGTTCCCACTTAGATATGCTTGGCACTTATAGCAGGTTTGGCATGCTGTCCCGGGAGAGAACCCTGAGCTCGGAGATATTTGAGCCCAGGGCTCCCGCCCGGTCTAGAAGCATATCAGGAGAACCGAGATCAGGTAGGTCTCGATCGCTCCCCCTTTTGAAGGGGAGAAAAAGAAGGAGGAGATGGGGTGGAAGGGGGGATTCTTCCAAAATGAAGATAGTGCAATGGGGAGAAAGTGATCCATTTATACTAAGCTAGGATCATTCTGATTGGATTATTACTGATTACGGATGAGTGGCCAGCGGTGCACAATCATATCACGTGCTCCTCTCGAAATTAGTTTATGAAACTTCACTTCAAGAGTTCCCACTTAGATATGCTTGGCACTTATAGCAGGTTTGGCATGCTGTCCCGGGAGAGAACCCTGAGCTCGGAGATATTTGAGCCCAGGGCTCCCGCCCGGTCTAGAAGCATATCAGGAGAACCGAGATCAGGTAGGTCTCGATCGCTCCCCAAAAAATGCCTCTAGCTCGGGACAGCAGCCGAGTATTTCAAAGAATTTCCCCCAAAAAGCTAGAAAGTTTTCACTATATCCGGCTGCTGGATATAGTAATTAAGGAATGAAGAAAGAGTAGGGGGCTCCAGTTGGAGCAAAGTTTGAAACTGGCTCCTGTGGAAGCCAGAGCGGGGGAGGGGGTTGGGTGGAGACTAGTGAAGGGGGGCCATAAGGGGTGGGCGGGGTTGGCTCATTAAGAGTCAAAAATGCTCGAGGAACACTCCAAACAGAGATAGAGCAGGGAAGTGGCAGCGCTATATATAAATATATATGTATATATGAGAGAGTATATAAATATATATATATATAATGGGATAATCTAAGGCCTGGAGGGGGTGAACAGGAGACTTCTGAGTCAGAATGGGCGCTGCGGGAGTTGGGTGCAGCAATTTTTTATTTTGCCATCTCTAGCAGAAATCGTGAAGTGTGATTTGGGCGGTGGAGATTTCTGCTAGAGGGTGAGTGGCAAGTTTGGCCAGACTCTTGCTGGAGTCGATGCTCGTGGAACACTCCGACTGGAGATGGAGCGGGGAGTGACAGCGCTCTATATAAATATATATCTATAAACAAAAGTCCATAGATATACATATATAATGAGTTTCAGTGGCCTGGGGGGGGCAGTGACTGACCCCTGCGGGGGTCGGCGCCCGGGGAACAGGGCAAGCTGGCCTACTCTAGCAGGAGTCTGGGAAAGGGGATTTGGACAGTGAAGACTCCTGTTAGAGGGTGACGGGATAAGTTAGGTGCTCGAGGAACACTCCGTTAGGAGATGGAGCGGGGGAGTGACAGCACTATTATAAATATATATCTATGTACAGGTGTATATAGATATATATATATATATATAAATAAAGATTGCTAAGGCCTGGAAGGGACGGTGAGACGACCCCTGCGGGGGTCGTAGCTCGGGGTAACACTTCTGCGGAAGTCAGAGCTTTAGGGGGGGCGGGGTCCGGCAGGAGTCGGGAAATGGGAGGGGGCTGTGAAGACTCCAGCGGAAACGGCCAGGGTGGCGGGGTGACGGGGGGCTTGGATGAAACTCCAATTACCTATGTGGCTGGGGGAGGAAACTGAGTGTTACTCAGGCTAGAAGGAAGAAAAAGAAGAAGGTGGCTGGGTCACACCCTCGCCCTTGAGTGGATGTGGGATTATGGCTGACAAGAGCCATCTGGGCTTCTTTGGGGGGCCAGTGGCTAGGACGCATGTCTTGAAGGCATCAGGTGACCACCTTTCTAGGATCTGGATTTGTTGCTGCCCTTTGTACTTCTGTGATGGCTGCACATATTCTGAAACATAGTATACAGGAATAAGAGAAGTAATTCAACACCTTTAATACTTTTCCCACACATTTAAAGACCTTTTCACCATTTCCAATCAAAAAAGCTGGCGAGATTTATCTTACGGAATATTTACTAAATATTAAAATGTAACAAATGAATCCAACTAAACATTCGAATACAGACACATGTATATTAAAATCTAGCCGATTCGACAGGTTGTCACCTATAGAGCTGCAGACTGAGTGTTGCAGTAAACAAGCGGCAAGCTGTCAAACCTTAGTAGAATTCTACTGATTACGTAACTACCTAGTATCCTGATATTCACGGCTTGAATAGTCAAACTTAGCATACGATGATACCTTGTAAAGGAATCTAAGACTTTCTAATACTTTAAGCCCTCAAACTCCTCTATATTGACTTATCAGCCCCCAACACCTTCTGATACTCCGGAGACACCCTGTGTAAGAGTGACTGGGAGTTGATCTGAGGGATACCTGTGGAGCAAAGAACTGCAATAAGCATCTCTTAAATCAGAATCGTGTGACAGGGCGGTTGTGTCATCTATAAATGGGAAGAAGAGGGGGGGGGGTGCAGAAGGAGAATGAGGCTCGGCGGAGCGACTCTGCTATAGCGGAAGTACAAATGATAGTCAGCATTGGAGCGTTATGAGTGCTAAATATTGTCAATAGTGATATGAAGAGTAAAAGGGGGGGGGGGGGTATATGTGAATATGTATCAAGGGTGTGGGCTGTATGGGCAGAAAGTATCTTTGCGAAGAGTGTAAATGCATTAGGAATGGATGAAGAGTGATGGGTTGAATGAGGGCAGTTTCAGGAGCTGGCAGTCTTGAACTCTAAAATGGAAAACAAGAGAGAATTAGAAATGAAATCTTAGCAACATGGCACGTGTACAGCAGACATGATTAATTGTATTGGCTGATATTCGTGGGAGGAGTCTTCATAAGTGTATGGATGATTGTGAATGGAAGCGCCTTTGTTAATGCATGTTCCAATACTTAATGTCACGATGTGTCAGGGTTGTAGAAGTGGGCATTTGTCCTCCTGCAGGGTGGTAATTAGAAGGAGAACTGAGCGTATGGGGCGTTTCTATGCTGGAAGTCCAGGAAACCTCTTGGAGAGCTGGTGAGATGATGATGGAGTGGAGTTTAAACCCCTTACTGATATAGAAGTTTTTAAAACTCGAATGTATTTAACACAAAGTATAAGTATGAAAAGCTACTCCATGGCCAGAAATGTCCTCCTCTTGTTTGTTGCAGTCGAGCAGGAAATTGTTTTCTTACTGACATTAAAAACTGACTGACATTCAGGTGTATTGATATGAGAGTCACAATTGGCGTGATACAACAGGGTTACTGCTTGATGTGTAGGTTGTCTTATCACTTGCTGGGTAATACTCATTTCAGAATTTTTTTTTTTTTTTTTTTTTTTTTTTTTTTAATATATGTATATATAATTATTAATAAAATGTAAATATATCAACTGCCTACATCAAACTTAAAAAACGATGTTGCCACTTAATAGGAACTGTGTGAATGTAATGTTTATCATGGCTTTACTCCATCCATGATAAGTAACATGTCTGTAATCTCAACATGATTATTTGGCCGGAATCAAAGTCTCTGCACGCAGTCCATTCATGAATTTGTCGGGAGAGAAGGCGGGACCGTCTCCAGTTTTGGAAAGCTCATTGGATGGTGATACGTCCCCTTTAAGCTATTGGCTCCTTGGAGTCACGGTCAAGAGTTCAGAGTGCAAATGCCGGCGGCCATTTTGTAGATCAGATCGCTACAATGTTTATGCGTGAAAGTATGACTCCACTCTCACCAGCAGCTGGTTTGGATATCAGTGCACCTTTTCATGGATGTATATCGACGAATGAAGGTGTTATGGAATAATGTTTATGGATTAGATTGCCTGGTCATTTGCCTTCGAACTATTTCAGCTGTCAGAATGTTATGGATCTGCTGACCAGCGGGAGGCTGAGAGGTGAGTTCTTCATTTAAAGCGTTCTATTCACGCTGATCTTGCCAGACTTCCCTTTAAGCATGCAGGTTACCGAACGTGGACCATTAACGTTAGGTGATCTGTGAGTTCGGCTTCTCTCCGGTGGCTTGAATCGCCGGCGTCATAAGTTTAGACGAAGTTGTGGCTTGTGTAGTGAAGGGCAGATGAAGTAGAAGATGGAAGAGTTGATATGCCGGCTTCTTGTGGGGGTTCTGGCTCGATTGCTGGCGAGGCAGCTGCTGGAGTTTAGGGGAGAGCGGGGTTCTGGTTGGAGAAGTTGTTGTTGTTGTTGTTGATTGTTTGTTCTTCCATGCCAGAAGGTTGAATGATGCTGAAGCGTAGTTTAAATGCTGGAGCGTTTGTAGCGGGAGGCATTCTTCCAAAATGAAGATAGTGCAATGGGGAGAAAGTGATCCATTTATACTAAGCTAGGATCATTCTGATTGGATTATTACTGATTACGGATGAGTGGCCAGCGGTGCACAATCATATCACGTGCTCCTCTCGAAATTAGTTTATGAAACTTCACTTTGTCATATTTAACTTTGCCCCACAGCCCTCAGTCAAAAATTGTGGTTTTTGGTCCTTTATAAGAAAAAGTTTGGGCAGCCCTGACTGAAAGGTTTTGTGGTCCATGTTATTTAATATCATCAAAATAAATATATCTTATATACATGTTAAACAACATTGAGCAGAAATGCGAACAAGTATGTCTCTCTTCTGCCCTCTTGTGTTTGAGCCGAGCATAAACACTAATACAAACACTCACATGAGCACAGGCTTGACGGCGTTCTTGATGTTTCCGTAAACCGCTCGTCCCAGCAGCTCTCGAAAGCATCTCTCCGTCAGCTCCACCGGACTCTCCTTCTCCTTCTCTGTCTCTGGAGAAGGAGACCTATCCACAGGAATCAAAAACACACACTCTAAACAGGCCCGAATCAATAGGCGGATTGTTGTTGGCAGTACGGTAAGTTGCGGTCAGCGATTTCCCCTGAGGAGAAAATGTGAAGAGGTTTTATGGTTCTGAGTTTATCACACTGTCCAGCTGAGTTTTCATCGTCTGTTTCTGCCCCTCAGGTCCTCAGGCTTATTATGTTTTTTTGAGGCAGTGCAGCAGCTTCTGCAAATAATGGCTTTCTTATGGCACTTAGGAGTCTACTGTAACACTTCAGTTGCAGTCAGTCTGCTGTTATATCACACACTTTTCATTAGCATTCGATTAGGAGTTAATTAGCTTAATCACACAGACTGGTTAATACCTTATTAGCAAGACACTGTTTTTTGAAAAGAAAATTCAACACTCATGTTTAGAGCTGCACAATATATCGTTTCAGCATCAATATCGCAGGATCTTCAATATTGAGCAGACCCGGATTAAGAAATCAGAGGCCCCTAGGCACATTGTCTTGTTGGGCCCCCTAACCGGCCGCACCCCTATAGTTAAATTAAAAAAATAAGAATAATATACTATTTTTTAATAAAATGAATCTATAATGTATTGCCCACATTTAAAAAATAAATTATATATATTTATTTATAGTCTACACAGATTTTGCTTATTTTTAAAGCATTTAAAGCACACTTTGATACTAACTAAATTAGTGAACATTAATGGTTTTTAGTATGCTTGTTCAAGTTCACTGAAGCAGTACCAAAATATATATATATATATTTTAAAGGGTATATTCATTGTAAACACAAATTAGTTTTAATACAAAGTACAAAGACGTTGCTAATATTTAACACCAGGTGGAAAATAACTGTTTATAGAATATTTAAAATCACTATTTAGATGCTGATAAGCTAAACCTTAGTAAATACCCACGAGCCACTTGTGACTTTACATTACATTCTTATTATTTTCATTTTTAAACAAAAAATATTTCCTTTCTATTAAAAATAAATGTATTTCCAATCTGATATGTAATGGGGAAAAAAGAAGAATAAGGACGCTGGATTCGAACTGGTTGATGTTGATCATGTCAAAATATATAGTCATGCGCGTTACGTGCTATGCCACTTATTTTGTGTCTGTCAATCAAACATTGATGGGCGGAAAGTTGCTCAAATAGCTTATTCCAATGAGGTGCGCTATTTGCACTTAGCCTAAATAGACACTCCAAAATCGTAATTGTTCCCCCCTCACTGGGGCCCCAAGTGCACACGGGCCCCTGGGCTGGTGCCCATAATGCCCATTGGTTTATCCTGCCCTAATGTTGAGTTGGGATTAGTTGATTATAATCATTGCAGAGTTGAATTATAATGGAGTACAAATGGTAGTTCACCTAAACATTAGACTTCACTCACTATTTTCAAATGTTTATTAGTTTCTTTATGTTGAACACAAAAGCAAGATATTTTAATAACTCATAAAGGGTTGAAACAAGTGAAGAATGAGTAAATAGTGAATCAATTTTCATTTTTGGGTGAACAATCTGTTATTGTAAACATTTCAACATTTCAGAGTTTAAAGCATATGGCAATTATAATGTTTGTAACTTAAATAAAAATGACATTATATGCAGTGACTCTCCAGAAAGCTGTAATTCACTTTTATCTTTGTTATATTTTATTGATCTATGCTTGTAAGTTATTTGTTATGTATTATTTGAGATCCAATCCTCTACAAAATCACCCAATCTAAAATGAAGAATTCTTTTCAAATAAAGCTATATTCACATCACAATATTTATCACAGAAATACAAAATATTGCTATGTCAGTTTTTTCCAATATCGTACAGCCCTACTCCTGTTAAAGAAACTCCCTACTTTTTCTTTTTTTTCCCAATTTGTATCCACAATTAAGTTAAACAGTTAAGTTTTACCATTTTTTATCTATTAAACTGATATCTGGGTCTTGTGGGAACACACTTAGCTTAGCTTAGCATACATCATTGAATTAAATTAGACTATTAGACGCTTGACTATTCTTTGGTTACACTGTGTATTAAGTAAAATGAAAAATATTTTATGCAAGCTAAAAGTGCTCCCCAAACCTAGAGATCAGCTGATTAGAAAATGGTAAAACTCAACTCTTTAATTATAGGGGACATGTAAAATTAGCCTATTTCCAAAAAAAGTGGAGTGTTCCTTTAAGAGACAACACCACATGCGAATAAGGTAAAAACAATTTCATCAAATTCCCAAGCCGATTAATTACATTAAGAATTGCTGCATTTTTTCTATCACTGTACAAGATTTCTAAAATGGGATGAGATTTTGAAAATTAGTATTTTGTAGGATGTGTATAATCAGGCAAATTATGAATGAACATATCCCTCTGTAAAACCTTCAGAATATATTCGGAAATACATGAATAAAACTGTGAAGTTTGGTGTATGCAAGTGCTGTTAAAATGGAGATTTATGGCTCATGAGTAGGACCAGACAGAATCTGCTGACATTTGTTTGCTAATTCTATGCAGAATTTTGTAAAAAAAAAAAAAAAAAATTCAGAGGATTTATGTGGAATGATTTTTGGGAGTATCATTAATAAAAACAATATATGAAATGAAAAAAATAATACCTTTTTATGTTTTATTTTATGTTTACAGTGCAAATCCAATTAGATCCACATATTTGGTAAACAAAGCAAGTCTCTCATATAATATATTTACTAAAAGAAAGAAAATATGACTTTACAAACTAAATGGTAAATACACCATATGAACATTTTCATATTAGTCAATAATTTCACTGAATATAAAAAAATGAATAAATATAAATGTACACACATTTACACAAGTGAATAAATAGACTCGATGGGCAAAAAATCTGCAGATTTCTGCGGGCACAGATTCCGTGTGGGCCTCCTCATGAGGAAAGTCATTTTGTATTTAATGCCCCAAAAGTGTGTTTTTGCATTTTTTGTGAGGTGCATGAAAAACAGTTTTTGCTTGTGGTGTCTCGCCTTAAGATGTAAAATGTCTACTTCTCTTGTGATTGCGTAAGTTAGTGTGTTTTACAGACCTCTCAATGCCTTCTTCTTGCTGGAGGTTGAACAGGAGTGACGGCACAATTTTGTCCATGTGCTGAGGGTCCCAAATATTTGCCTGCAGCTCATCATTGACAGTCTTCCTCACCACCCCTTGAAGCCCCCTGATCCCTGCCATACGAATCCTTATATAAAAACAACACACACACACACACACACACACACACACACACACACACACACACACACAAAATACTGTAGTTAGTCATACTTGCGTAGGAGTTTAAATAATATGTTTCCCAGGTATAAAATTATTAGAGATGTGGCCAAGGTTATCATCCGTAGAGGACTGAATGTTACATCACACCATGGTCAAAATATTTTTAGTGCATGCATCAGAGACTAAACCAACAAAATGAGGGAGAAACCAAGAGGTTTTTCTCTGTTGAAATGGTAAAAAGATGCTCACTTTGTGCGAATATCTGGATCCTCGAAGCTGGAATGGCACATCTCACTGAAGCGGGAGACAAAGAAATCATAGCTGCGGTGGTATGATGCTGTGTCCTCCTCTATGTTTGCAAACTTCACAAACTTAACGAGAAAAAGATAAGATAGATAAAATTAGAGAAATAAAGTCTGGTCTCACATTAATGTGACTGGATAAAAAGCATTTTTTAAATGGTCAATATTATTTGCCCCTGAATTTTTTTGTTTTTTTTATCAATGACGAACAAATTTTTCTAGTTGCCACAACTTAATTTTTGGTATTTTACATAACATATTTTTTTCTAGTTACTGCAACTGATTTTTTTTCTAGTTACTTCAACTTAATTTTTCTAGTTCTAATAACTTACATGTTTTTGTTACCACAACTTCATTTTTGTAGTTACTGCAACCTAATTTTTCTAGTTGCAACTTTTTAAAATTCCCGTAACTTATTTTTATCTAGTTACCGCAACTTAAAGCTATCACAACTTTATTTTTGTAGTTACCGCATCTTCATTTTCCAAGTTCTTATACCCTAAATGTTCTACTTATTGCAACTTAATTTTCCTAATAACCACAATTTAATATTGTATATGCAGAGGGATGCAGAAGGACTTTTAATTTGGCAGTAACCTGGGTGAAGTGCTTCTGGTGAACTGTATTCTGTTACAAAATTGGCGCGTTTAAGATCTGGTCTCTTTAAAAATCAGTGATCTCCACTGCCTGATTGATAAACGATATAAAATGGGTCTCAGATTGTACAAGAAGCACACTACATTAAATAAAAATTTTCCTGAGCCATGTCTTTAAATATAAACATTTATTTTACTCCGGTATTTTCAATGGTGTTTCTGCACTCGCCAGCTGATCCTGACAGGGCGTGCATGTAAATGGCTTTTCATCTTGTTTTACTCTTGAACAACTAAATGAATGCTCAAGTCTTTTTAACTGATTGTATTTTAATGACATTACGTTTTCTGCCTGTCCCGACCTTTAACCTGTCTCTTAGACTACTCTTTGTGCATTACCCCTTACATTCCTTTTTTAATATCTACTAGACTACTCTCATAATATAGATGCACATATACATATTCAACATGTACAAGTTTTAACACCATCATCCTCTAAATTATAAACAAAACCAGACATGATGAAAGTAAACACCACACTGGTTTGTGCCACAACAATGTTAATAGCTGCCTAGAATATCAAACTATCAAATTTAAAAGACATTTAGAGACCAAACACCTCATGTTCATACACTGTAAAACCAGATAAATTAACTCAAACTGTTTGAGGAAACCGATTGCGGCAAACCATTTAAGTTTTTTAATGAAATGGTACTGTAAAGTTACATATAGTGTCACATACGCATGTCATTTGTGTTGATATCATCAAACTTTTAGAGTATTAGTAACTTAAACAGTTTAAGTTCAGTTATCAAATCCCTATAAGTTCAATTAACTTAAACTGGTCAATCAACTAAAACAATGTCCAAACAACTATACAGCTACTCAAATGGTTTGGTATTCCTTTTAGCATTAGAGTTAAGACAATAATATAAATAATTTTTCATAACTCATTCAATTAGAGTTCTGCTCAATATAATCAATTTCTGAGTTACCAAAACTCTTTTTCATTGAGTAACAAAAAGTAACAAAGTAACTTTTTAAAGCATTATAAGTTAAAATAAATTACTCATTTAGTTTGCAGTGTAGTAGACCTGCAGGGGAAAACATCCACACACCTCCTGTCCATCTGTTTCAAGCCAGATATTTATTTACCTCACCAAAGAGGAAAAGCAAATATATGAGAGCTAATGGCAAGTTTTGTCAGTAGTAATCTATACACAGCACCTGCTGCAATATTTTAATCAAAAAACATTTGCAGGACATTTGCCTAATGTGCTCTATTAAAAGAGTAAATGGCTGTTATGGAAAATGTACTTCTATAAGATGTTTACTATGAAACTGCGCAAAAAAACCTGCCAACTACTTTCTTTTTTTATAATCCCTGTAATTCAATATGCTGTTTCAGATATCTCCCTACTGAGATGTTAGAAGCCCCATCCATGATTGGTGATGATGTACCCTATTAGCATATATCAATAAGAAACACTTAATTCAGGTAAGAGATTTATTTATATTAAAGGGTAGTTCAATCAAAATGTAAACACAGTGCTTTTAATATAACCTTGTTTATTTGTGACAATATACATTAAATAAATTTCTAGTTTTAATTTAATTAACACAAAGCAGTGGTTTAAATTGCAACATTTTTTGGTAAACTCACATTTAAACTTGCATTTAAAATTATGAACTGCAAAGTCACGTGTGCAGCATTTAAAATAAATTTAAATAAATAAATTACTTATTAATTACGAATTATTAATTACATCATTACAGTTATATTTAAATTACTTTGTAATTGCTTTGTCTGAAAAGTAATCCAAAGTGATTTAATTACTTGATAAAATACTAAAATCCTTGTCTCTAACTAAGCATACAGTTTATATGTTAATATTTTAATTCATATGGCCTTTAGCTGTATTAAAAAAAAAAAAAATACTAAAAAATAATAAACATTACTTAATTGAAATTATCTTAAGAATTTATCCACAGTATTTTAGGCAAATACATTTTAACATAAAATTTACATAAAATTTAAAATAAATCCACGGCTTTACGTTTTCAGCAGAAAAGTAGTTTAATTACAGTAACTAGTTACTTTGTAACTTATTACACCCAACATTGCACATCAGAAAGATAATAAGTATTTACGACACTGGCTGTAAAGGCTCCTACTTCCAGAGAGAGGGGTGGGGAACAGCAGCTAATTTGCATTTAAAGAGACTTGCACAAAACTTTGTTTTTGCTTCCACTCAAAAATGGGCATATACAGCATATATAATACATTTATTAAATTAATTCATTGAATACACTGCATTTATGTTCTGGGTAAATATATTCATCTGTACATAGTGTATTGTACTGTATCATCAATGAGTTATATACTGAATTTGGACTATTAATTTTATCTTGCTGCTATTGAAAAACTTTGGTAAATTAATGCTACGTTCAAAGTTTGCCCTTGTATTTCCTATAACTCTGTGACTATGATTTGCTTAACGGCATATTTGCATTGGACTAGTTTTGATCATGGTGATATTGGTGTTGCCATTACAATGTAGTCCCGAACCACTAGGAGTGTCAAAATTAATCGTTTCTTCAGTGCACTGCGATGCAGACGCGGACAATTCGGTATCGGTTCACTAATAATCATAACCGGTTATTACTGACGTCATTTACCTCATCTGCGCTCTGTTGCGAGGGAGGCGATCGCGAGTATTTACAACGCTCTAACTACTTAAAACTCCTAAACTGTGCACAGTTTCACTGTGTGTGTTTGCTGGATCAGTCTTTCACTGACATATACAACAATAGCCCCTATTTCACTGAGATCGAGAGAATGAAAGTAGCCTACTCCATTTCTCTCTCTCGCTCTGTCTCTCTCTCTCTTTCTCACACACACACAGTGGCCCATTTGACCTGCTGGCGTGGCTTTTCTTCACTTCTCGGCTGTTTTACAGCGTTAATTTTGCATACAGAAACAAGCGCGTGTCTGCAGAGTTTTCTCCACCGTGTCTATCATACATCAGCTGTGAGATCGCCGCTGCCGCCTGCCGCTTATCAGCATCACTCATCTGTGAAGAACGCAGCGCGCAAGAGCCAACCGTTTTTTTTTTTTTTGAGGGTGTGACTAGGGTTGTAACGGTATGAATTTTTTACGGTATGATAATCGTCTAAAACAATACCACGGTTTGACGGTTTCTCGGTATACGGTATGTTACAAATGTTACAAAATAATAGAACAGTGAAGCAAATTTGACTTTTTCCAAATAATATATTTTCAGTTACTATAAACAACACCACTTAAAAAAATAAGAAAATAATAAATAATGTGTCAAAATCCAAATAAAGTCAAAATAAACATGGTGCAAATCCTCAGTAAAAAATAGATATAAATATTTAATATACTATAAATAGTTACATAACGAAACTAGATTCAATATGGAACATCCTTAGGTTTTATGTGCCAGCATGGATATGGTTGTCTGTGGATATGGATTTGGATATGGTTGTCTGCAATGTAGAGAAACAGCTGCACCTTCATTTGCGTCTTTTGAAAACAGCAAGAGCAGCAGTTCGTCTTTGCTATGTCACTGTTTTGTCATGTTTCTGTGCTGCTGTGCATGCAAAAGTACTTAGTATGAGAATTATTTCATGCAAAACTTTTTTTTTGCGTTTTATTTAGCCGCGCATAAATGTATATCTCTCATTCCGTGTTGTTCAAAAAGCTCGTTTTTGGTCCACAAACAAAAGCGAAACCTATGCTTATTGGTTGTGATATAGCGAGTTTGAACCAATCTGGGCATGGAGGAGGGACTATGCATCAATGTATCGTGTCTGGTTTGTCCGGAGACACAGTGACGAGCGTTTCTTTGTCAAATCAGCGTTGTCAAATTTTGATGACGTAACCGCACTGATTCCGGAGCCTCTGGAGCCGCGAATGTTATGTTTCCAGCACTGGAAAACTGAGATTCTCTTCTTTATGCCAATCTTTGAATTGTATGAATCGGATCAGCGGATCAAAAGTTATTAAACATTTAAGAGCAATACTTATTTTTAGCCGCGGGCGGCTGTCTCGGTCTTTAAGGGTTAAAACCGTTGATATGCAATTGTTCATGGTATGATAATCGTGCACGTTCAAATCGTGGTAGACCGTCATACCGGTATATTGTTACAACCCTAGGTGTGACCAATCAAAGGGGTGTAAGAGAACTAGACAAGGATCAGAAATTGAGCTGGATATTTATATTTGTTTATATTATTTGCTAAATGCTCGTTTTGTTTAAAGTTACAGTTTATATATCTGACTGTTTGTATTAAATGACAAAATTGTATTACAAATAGTATATAAATATAAATATATTCATACATTGTAATACAAGAAATGCTGCTGTGAGGAAAATATAAAACTGTGTATGGAAAGCATCGTCAATGCACCGTGATGCACTGAAATATCGAATTGAACCAAATCGATGGCATGATAATCGTAACCGAACCGAACCGTGAGACTAGTGTAGGTTCACAGCTCTACGAACCACTGCTTAAAGGTATGCTAATCTGTACTTGTGTAGTTAACGTCAATTACAAAACTACAAATTAAGATCTTTTTGATAAGGATATCCAATGATATGAGAGTGTGCTACAATACTGATGCTACAAACTCTACACCTTCACTGTTAAACTGAGATGAAAACTCAGTCTAAAACATTATTCTGTAAACATGCACACAGCTTTCAGCATTTATGGGCAACATGCTTTAAGCCCTGGAACATCTGGCCTCTTTTCTATGGGAAAAGTAATCTCTTTTTAATCTTTAAGCTCTTATATTTCAGAAATATCAGATGCGAGCGGGTCTGAAGTTGAAAACTGCTTACTCTCTACTCTCCCATAAGCATCGGGTGAGTGTAAGCTGTCAGGGAACGGTGTAGAGGTTTCATGTTTCTGTACTGAAGATAAATTTTTTTGTTAATGAATGCTTGTCATGTAAAATGAAGTAAAATCAGCTGGAGTAGGAAAATACTGTACAAGGAGGGCCTGTTAATTTCAGACAAATGACAAGGTTTGATGTGAGGTAATAGAGAGTATTATATTTAAAAAGGAGAACTAATAAAAACAAAACAATGCATATAATATTGTGTATAATAAATGTATATACACTATAAATGCAGAAAATATATATACATGGTGTTTTATATACAATAATTTAATTCCAGTATTGAATATTATTAATAAAACATAAGCTGTGTAGCTGTAGTCACATTTTTTTATCTACACAAAATTTACCAAAAATAAGTGGATGAATTATTAATATTCCACAACATTAGAACGTGAAAGTCATATTTGTGGAAACACTTTATAAATCATTTCTAAAAACTTCATTTTTTACGTAAAACATATTATAAATAAATGTCACATTATTAATTCATTCATTTTCTTTTCAACTTAGTCCCTTTATTAATCCAGGGTCGCCACAGCAGAATGAACCGCCAACTTATCCAGTACATTTTTATGCAGCGGATGCCTTTTTAGCCACAACCCATCTCTGGGAAACATCCACACACACTCATTCACCACAGACAATTTGTAATGTAATGTATTGTAATGGTATTTATATAGCACAAATATTGTGTATGGCCATACACCCAAAGCGCTTCAGAATCATGAGGGGGGGGTCTCTCCACACCACCACCAGTGTGCAGCATCCACTTGGATGATGCAACGGCAGCTACAGACAATAGCGCCAGTGCGCTTACCACACACCAGCTATTGGTGGAGTGGAGAGACAGTGATAGAGCCAATTCGGTGGAAGGGGATAATTGGGAGGCCATGAACGTAAGGGCCAATAGAGGGACTTTGGCCAGGACACCGGGGTTACACCCCTGCTCTTTCACAAGAAGTGCCATGGGATTTTTAATGACCACAGAGAGTCAGGACCTCGGTTTAACGTCTCATCCGAAAGACGGCGCCCACTGACAGTGTAGTGTCCCCTTCACTTTTACTGGGGCATTAGGACTCACACAGACCACAGGTTGAGCATCCCCTGCTGGCCTCCAACACCACTAACACCACTTCCAACATCAACCTAGTGGTCTCCCATCCAGGTACTGACCAGGCTTAGCCCTGCTTAGCTTCAGTGAGTAACCGGTCTTGGGCTGCAGGGTGATATGGCTGTGGTGATATTTAGCCTACCAAATTCTTCTGTACCGCATGTCTTTGGACTGTGGGGGAAACCAGAGCACCCGGAGGAAACCCAGGCAAACACAGGGAGAACATGCAAACTCCAACTGAATAAATGCCAACCGACCCAGCCGAGACTCAAACCAGTGACCTTCTTGTTGTGAGGCGACAGCACTACCTACTGCGCCACTGTGTCGCATGGTCACATTATATTTATTTTTTGGTGTATTGCTTATTGACTAAAGTTAAAAAGAATATGGAATGTAATAAATGCATTGTTCATTGTATTTATGTTAAAGTAGGTAAATTTGGCTGTTCAAATTTTTTCACTTTCGGTCTGATTCGCCAATACCCCAATAAGAACTTGTGGTGTTGATGCTACAGCTACATTTTCCCTCCATACTGCAGAAACACCAGTCTCAAAGTACATTTATCAAGTGATCTGAAGCGTACACTACATCAACTGCCTCTGTAAATGAATTTCACTCACTGAGTTTGTGCCCAGGATCTGTAAGTTGGGTTTGTCGGCTTCTAGCAGCTTGCGCACCATAGTGAGGAAACTCTCCACAAAAAGGTTTATACTTTGACAGTGACAGGCCATCAGAAGCTGGTCCAAAGCCTCCATGGCAATACAAACATACCTGCGAGAGACACACAAACATCATGACCGCGAACATTGACACCCTTGTTAAAAATGAGCACAGAAAAAAAACCTTTTAACCTTTTGCATAGAATATTAACAAAAAGCTCTGATCTCGTAGAAAAACACAATTGCAGCACAGATTTTTCAACAAATTTACTGTTAAATGAACATGTGCCAGTTATTGCCATACCTATAAATTCCTGTTAATATTTTATGTTTTTGTGGCTATGGGTGACTATGAATAAAGAATTGTGGTAACACTTTGTGGGTGTTCATAAGACTTTCATGACACCTTTATAATCATAACATGACACATTGCCAAGAATATATAACTTGTTACAAATCTGTCATAAAGATGATGGTCATGAGGTCGTTATAACTGTGTCATGAATGTTTCTCTGCTTACATTTTTAGGTGGAACAAAATTAATGTGTCATTACAGTGTGACAATAAACAGAATGTATATTTATTTAAATAATAATAATAATAAGCTAAAGAGGTCATTTCTTTAAACTGGAAAAATGTACACCAAATTTAGGATGTTGGCTGAAAAACATGGCTACATGACAATGGAAAAAAATAAAGAAACATATACAGTATACTAAGAGATAAATACAAGGGTTTTAAGGTAGTTTGGGGTGCTTTCAAATTGTTTCTATAATGTGGAGTTATATGTCAAATATGTTGACTGATAAATTATGCTATGGGATTTGTATTCCTGATCAAAGCTCAATTTTTACAACAGAAGCAACGGCTCTATTTTTGGCTTTGGAACACACTGAAAATGCTGAGGAACACAATAGAATTTTATTATTTTTACTGGCTCAAAATCTTTGTCTACAAAATTGAATTCTTTTAAACTGGAGCATCCTAGTATTATTGACATTTGTATCTAAGTAAATGAACTGGAGGGAACATTTCCGAATATAGTTTTCGCAGGACATGTTGGAAATGAACAGGCAGACAAAGCTGCCAAAACAGCTCTTACAGGAAAGATAAAGGAGTGCAAAATCCCACCTTCATATTTAAAGCCACTAATAAAAGGCTACATTTTTAATATATGTCAAGCAGAATGGGATCAATGCTCAAAATTATCTTTTTGAAATCCAGCCTGAAATAGGAAGAACATCCAACTATTTTTTTTTAAACTTAATACATGATGAGATTTTTTACCAACGATGCCGTATCAGACACACGAGACTCACACATGAATATTTACCCAACTCCAAAATGTCAATATTGCATCAGAAACCAAACTGTTAAACATATTCTTGTGGAATGCCCTGTTATTAAACAACGATTTTTATCTGGAGAGCCTTTAAATTAAATATTTTTAAATGTAAATTCTTCTAAAATTGTAAAAAAAAAAATCAAAAGTAAATCTTAAAAACTGTTTTAGATTTTTATCTTAAATATTATTATTATTATTTATGTATTTTGTATTATTTATTGCTGTTGATGACTTTTAATTGTTAGAATATTTTAATAATTTTAGAAAATTGATATTTATAAATGTGGCAAACCTGATCTGATTTTTTTTTTTTATTTATTTATTTGCCATGACACAGCCAGAGAAGCTGATGGCAATAAACTCAAAATTAACTAAAAAAAAAAAAGTAACTCTCTTTCTCTCTCTCTCTCTCTTTACTGACACTCCAAATTTAGCCAAAATATCTATTGTTTGTGTTTCTATTAGATGTCTTTTAAACACAAAATTGCTTGGTGGACCAACATCACCACAAATTTATCAAAATGATTTTAAGCACTTTAGAAGATCAAAATTTTTAAAATATTTTTTTTTTCATATCTTTATTATGCTCTAGTGTAGCATAATCAGACAGTAACAGTCACTGTAATTCAGATGCTGTTTTTACCCATATCTATGCCGGGCAACGTCTCTGGATAGTCTCTCTGAAAGGTAGGCACCGATACGGTCTAGTTTCTCCGGAGCAGACAAGGCGTAAAAGGTAAGCTTCTCCATGTTAGCTTTTACCAGACCGTCCTTAAAAGAAAAAGAGAAGATCGACAGACAGACGGTTAGCAAGAGAAACCTATTAGAAGAACATAAGATAGAAAAAAGATGGTGGAACATAATTATCTCCACAAAAAGAGCATTCAGTGGATAATTTGTATTCTATTATAAGTCTAATACAGATCCTGAAGCTTGTCTAATTATTTAGAAGAGAGAGAAACTCAAATGTGCTAAAGAAATTCATGGTCGAATAGATTAGGGGTTCTTTCGAAAATTAAATACTGTCTTTAATTTGCCCATATATGGTAACATTTGTTCCAAAATTAAAATAAATCAAAAACACTTGCTAATATTACTTCAAAAATCTGTCTGTTTGATGTCTAGATTTAAACTATTGTTCCTTATCTATTCTATTTTCACTGACAGCCCAAATTTAGCTGTTATTCATTTTAGCCAAGAGTCTATGTTTGGATATCTGTTAGATGTCTTTCAAACATAAAATTGTTTGGTGGGCCAACATCACCTTAATTATATTACTTTCCAATAGAAAGTTTTTCAGTATTCCAATCAATATTTTTTCAAAACTGTACAGATAATGGTGCACAATTACTGCACAAGATAAGGAGTAAAATATGACATTTATACAGATTATGTTCAAATGCACATAATAACTGTAAGAAACAGGTTGATAGTAATTTGTCACACACAAATCTCGGGAACAGAAAAGATGTTGTCTGTAAAGATGACTGGTGTCAGTCAGGTGACCCAGCAGCAGATCTGCTACGCCACAGTGGCTCTGAAACTAATAAACATCACAGCTGAAAGCCTGAATGTCTACATCACTGCATTGATCACTGATGACTGATAAGCACTAGAAAGCTGGCGAACCGTCCCTTTCTCAGACTCAGCAGGTTTCCATTCATCTGACCTTACCTCAGGGTCTTCAGGAAAGATGTTATCCACCAGCCTCTTATAACGGGGTCTCAAAGCCCCACAGCATCCACACACACCTGAAACATATGCAAAGAGATGGACAAATAAATAGTGATCTTGTTTTTTCTAGGCTGATTCCAACTGTATTTTTTTACCAGCAAACTAGCCAATAGGGCTGCGTGATTAATCGAAAAGTAATTGAAATCGACATTCATAACCTAAAATCGCTTTATTTTTTCCTGCACAATTTTTTCAATTACTTTCCCTACCGAGTTACATGACGCAGTTCTGTTCTACATGTAGTCACATACCCGGGCCACGCACCTCTCAAAAAATGTAACTACTCAATGCAACGACGCATAGAGAAGGCTTTGTGATTGGTCGGTTTAATAACAGTGATGAGCGTGGGCACGGCGGATTACTTTTAACTGTTCAATGCTGAAGTTCAATAGTGTGCGTTTCCTTTATTTATTTTAAAACCAAGTAATGCATCCTTCATTCAAAAAATCTCTCACTGGATATCTGAACATATTTACTGCACAAAACTTGTCAGTGAACTATGAGGGCAAAAAAAATTTTAATAAATAAATATAATAATCGACCATTAAACATAATTGAGTTAAAATGTTCAATCAATCGAAATTTAGATTTTAGGCAAATCGCTCAGCCCTACTAGCCAATTCAATACCATTTTTACAAAAATCTTTTTTAATTATTATTAATTATATCATCTCAAGCTCAATAATTAAAGTCTATCATCTCAAAATTTTAAGTATAGTCATAAAAATGTATCTTTATCTATTAAAATTATATGCTATAGCTGTCTTTCCACTGCACACAACATTTAGACATGACTGTAGGATTATGCCCCCTTGTTGCTGTCGCACAGAATTTAAAATTTTGTTATGCACCATGAGAGAGATTCTTGAGGTGTCTGAAATAAAGGCGTGCAAAAGCAAAAGCCTTTATTGTCTGTGCGTTCACCATGGTTAAATGAATGAATGAATACTATAAACTCATAAATCACTAAAACCATTGGAGGAAATAAGGAGACAACGTTAAAATATAATATTTTTATTTCATTTATGAATAGAAATGTTTTTTAATATAGACAGAATATCAGTTTTTCTAATTAAAAAAAAATATATATATATATATATATATATATATATATATATATATATATATATATATATATATATATATATATATATATATATATTCTCATGTCAACATTGGAATACATCACATCTGGTTGACTAGTCGCATACAGTCTAGTCGCAGAAGTTCAAATATTTAACGGATGATATAATAACGGATGCGCAGCTCAAATCTATCCAAATTTTCCACATACCGAGATGATCGGAACTCAGGCAGCTTCTGGACTTTTCTCCATTGGAAATAAATGACTTTGTCCTGACGCTTTTCAGTTGTCGTATTCAGTGGAAAGGCTGCACCAGTACAAAAAAAAAACTGTAGAAAGGCTAAATGAAAATGCAAATTCATTTTCATCTAGCAGGTGGCACTTAACAGGACAACAGCAATAAAAAGTTCAATCACGTGGTAGTTGTGGTAGAATCATGTGAACGCATTTTACAGCATCATGAGATTTTGATTGTTAAAATGTGTTTACATCCTCATAGTATTCATTCATTCATTTTCTTTTTGGCTTGGTCTCTTTATTAATCTGGGGTCGCCATATTGGAATGAACCGCCAACTTATCCAGCATATGTTTTACACAGCGGATGCCCTTCCAGCTTTAACCCATCTCTGGGAAACATCCATACAGACTCATACACTACAGAAAATTGAGCCCACCCAATTCACCTGTACCGCATGTCTTTTCCTCACAGAAACGCCTACTGACCCAGCCGTGGCTCCTTCTTTCTGTGAGGCGACAGCACTACCTACTACACCACCATGCCACCCATCCTTATAGTACAACTACTAAATACAACTTGTAAACTGGGAATTATTCCCTTGGCTATTGCTGTAAAAATGCATCTGCTCTTATTTTATATGCATTTAGAAAAAAGATGCTAATCTTTTTTTATTTTTAAAAAAAGAAGTATAAGCACTACTTTTTTAGGGTACAGTCAGTCTGGTACATTATTTTGTTTATTGACAATTGTGGCTAAATTCACTCAAAAACGATTTTTGCTGCTTGTTCATTATACTTATTTAAAATGAGCTGAAACAACATACTTCTTGAGAATTTTGGGAGACAACCTTATTGATTTATCTTCAATCTACTTAAATTTAAGTAAACTTAATACATTTTTGTTGAGACAACATGGGTAAATTGTGGGAACCCAGCATTTTTACAGTGTTGGCCTCTGTTACACAGGTTACATAGTTTGCACTATAAAATCATTGCAATGCAAGTCCAGAACAATGTTTTAAACAATTAAAACCAAACTGCTGCATCTTTGAACCCAAAAAGCACAGAAATACTAACAAAAATACATCTGAGATAAAAGCAAGTTTAGAAGTTATCTCTCCAAAGCTTTTTGTTTCCATGATGTAGGGCAGTATTGATCAACAGTCTTTGTAATTATACTCAACGTGAGCTTTATTTATTGCATCGACACATTAAATAAATTAGACCTGTGCCGTAATCTAGTAAGTGAAGCCAGTCGATTCAGGGGAAAGGCATTAATCTGTATTTAGGAAACGTCTGCAGCTCGGCGTGCTGCTTAAATGGATTTGAAAAGAATCTGTTGAAAGCATTTAGAATTGTTTCTGCTTTTACACCAGCACTTGAAAGCCCATAAAAGGCTTGTATAGGCTTATAAAGGGGCACATTGTAAATCACAGGGGGGAATAGAAACAGTAAAAAGCACTGTTGATTTTTATTTACATTTTTAATATATTTTTTTAATTATAAATTGGGTGTTTATGTCCTAACAAATTATTTAAAAACATTGATTTAGCAGTGTTAGATGGGTTATGTTTATTTATTGATATTTTGAATTAGCTTTTATTTTATTTATTTATTTATTTTTTTACTTTTAATAATATTTTTATGTGCTTTTGTGATTCTTAGGCCCTGTTTACACCAATACCTTTTAGTTTTAAAACGTAAAACGTTTTTAAATGTTTGGCTACGGTTACGCCATCCGTTCACACTACATCTAAGCTTTCGAGCTTTTTGGAAACACTGAAGAGGCTGTTTTCATTTTAAAATGCTGCTGCTCTCTGTCAGGGAGACATCTGAAAATGGAGGCATTTGATTGGAGCTTTTTCCTAAATATTAACTAGCCTACACAAAGATCAGTCTTGCATCCTTTCAAGTTCAGACTGGAAAACAAACTCCCGAAGACACGTCAGGTAAATCTTCAAAGGGAACCGTGTATTTTATAAGCTCATTCACATCATCCTGGATAAAATTGTTAAGAAATTGTTAAAAAAAACTACATCAGAAATGTTGAGGCGTCATCTGGCAACATATTTAAATAAGTGTAATCGTCTCTGTATGTATATTTATACCAAAACAAAGCCTATAACATAACTGCCTTCTTACATTTTCATTGAAAATACGAAACATACCCTCTCTTATGCTGAATATCAGTTTTAATAATCAATAATGGCCATTATAACAGTATAACGTACAATAAGTTTATACATTATAGGAAATAAAGGCAAGCAATCAGTTAATGTGTAGAATCAGTGTGCGTGGTTACATAAATTAATATAGCCTAATAACTTATCTTTGCATGCAACTAAAACATGCTACCTGAGAACAAGTAACGGATTCAAAAGACCAAAGTTGAGAAATATGTCGTTAGATATAGACAACAAGATGAATTAAATATCACGTTTAACAAATCTAGTGGGATTAGATCCAGCAGTAGATCCTTGATGAACAGTCCGCATGCACAGCTCTCATCAAAGTGGTCACGAAAAGTGCATTTTCAGAGGTATAGTGTGGATGGAGAGTTGTTCAGAAACGCTGTAGGTGAAACGCCAGAGTGAACGTGGATCGTTTTCATTTTTAATTGCAGGTTTAAAGCTAAAATGTATTAGTGTAAACGGGGCCTCAATAACTATTTAGATTAATTTACTTTTATTGCATTTTTAGTAATTATATATCAAATCAAATTGTACAATACTGTGCAAAAGTCATTAACTTTGGTGGACTAAGGCTACGTTCACACTGTAAAGCTTAGTGCTCAAATCTGATATTTTCTCAGATCTTATTTTTTAGCATGGCTGTTCCTACTGCTCTTATAAATGTGGCCTATATCAGATTTGCAGTGTGAACAGATCACGTGTGTGCTGCATGAGTAAGCACGTTGTCAGATCATGCTTATATTATTATTACCCTTTTCACAGACAACCGTGGCGTATTTCATGTACTGTAAATGATTGTTCTGCTACTACTAAGGTGTATTTCAGCATTTAAGACCTAAAATAAGTCCTGTGATAAAAAAAAACACTGATCGTTTGTGATTTATGACAACCGCGGTGCGTGGCGCTATGATCAACGGTGTAGTGAACTCATCAAGGGTTAATGAGCAGCCGCAGACTGAGCTGTGAAGGCGGAGTTGGTTTATCTCCGTTTGCAGAGTTATGTAATTTTACTTCGTTATAAGCAACAGACACGTGCAGAAGGGCGGTTTGGGTGCTCGAACACCTGCCATTTTTTCTCTCGGAGAGAAAGTTCTACCTCATTTGCACACGGATCCCCTATCCGCAACACCCATGGCTTCCGATCAACCCGTGCCTCAATCGTTAACCAGATTAGTTAACAAGCACCAGTTTTGCCTTCAAAATTGTTTTTAACATGAACAACCAACTTTCAATCGCCCTGTGTGCCATTCTACTGTGCAGCTGAGGAGTAGAGGATGTTTGCAGCACAGAATGATGACGCATGTCACTCAAAGATTGTGTAAAAGTCACATGAAATCCGACATGACCGTTCACACTGCGGTCGCATTGCATAACATCAGATCTGTGTCTGATTTAAGACCACATATGAAAGAGCACAGATCTGACCTGAAAAGACAGATTCCATGCGGTTTGGGCTGTTCACACTGTCATTACCTGAGTCACATGAGGGGAAAAAATCAGATT